AAATAAAGAATTAAAAAAAAGTTTAATAATTTTTAAATATATAAATTCTTAAAAATTAAAAAAATATATTATAATACTTTTTTATAACTTATATATTAAAAAAATAATAAATAAATATAATTTATTAAAAAGTAAAAACTTTTTATTATTTACTTTAATATTTAAAGAAAAGCTTAAGCCTTTTTTTATATAAACCTTAAAATAAAAGATTTAAAAGTTTTAAAAAAAGTTAATTTTATACTTTATATAATAATAATAATATATTTAAATATAACATTTTTATACTTTATATTATTAAAATTCCTTATAAATTTAAGTTTAAGTTATCTTAAAATAATAAATTATATAATTTAATATTTATATATTATTTAATTCCTTAAATTATAATTTAAAAAGAATTAAAAAGCTTAAATACTTTTAATAATTAAAAAAGCTTTATTTATTAATAATAAAAAGAATTATAAATCTTTTTAAAAATATATAATAACCTTTTTTAAAAGCTTTATATATTAAAAAGTATATAAATAAGTAATTATTTTTATTTTAATTATTAAAGTTAAATTATTAACTTTAAAGCTTATAATTAAAGAAATAATAACTTTAAAATGCTTATTTAAAAATATAACCTTAAATTTAAATAAATCTTAAATTATTTATTATAATAATTAAATAATTATATATTTAATTATTAATAAATATAAAAAGTTAAAAATAAAGCTTAAGTAATATAGTTTATTAATAAATAGCGGATATTAATAAGTAGCGGATTTTTATAACTTTACTTAACTTTAATTAATATTAATACTACCTTAAGGTTAATAAATAAATAAAAAGTTAATATTAATTAATGCTAATTGCTTTTAATTCTTTATTTTTAATTAATTTAATTAATTTAAAGTAATTAAGGGTAATTATATTAAAATTTAAAGTAATTAACTTTTAATAAAGGGGTTTTATTTTAATATTAATTATATCTTACTTTTTTGCATTAATTTTGCTTTAATCCACTTACTTAAATATTTAATATATTAAACATTAATAATTATTGTTCTTTATTTAAAGAAAATAAAATCTTTTTAATTATTTAAGTAATTTAAAATTTTAAAAAAAATAATATAAAATTCCTACTTATAATTTAAGCTGCTAAGATTTTTTATATTCTTAAAATTATATTTTATTATAAAATAAAATTAATAATGCTTTTGCAAAGAATTATATATTAATATATATAAACTTAATTAAATTAAAGAATAAATACATATTTAATATATTATTAAGCAAAATATTTAAGGAGTTTTCTTATAACTTTTTAATATAAAAGATATAGCTAACCTTTTATTAACATTATATAATATTAAATTTATTAATAAGCATTAAGCTTAATGCTTTATAAACTTATAATTTATTTTTAAGATTAAGTTTAATTATCTTTATAATTATTAAAAGGCCCTTTATAAAGATTTAAAGATTATTAAAAATTAATTTAAATTGCTTTATAATATAATAGCTAAGTATAAGATTATAAATAATAATCTTTATAATTTTAATAAAATTAACTTTATAATAAGTATAATTATTATATTAATAATAATTATATATATTAATAAATATAAAAAGGCTAAATTAATTTAACTTAATGATTAAAAATAAGCTATAATTATTAAATATATTAATATAAAAGGTTAATATATCTTATTATTTATAATTATTTAAGGTGCTTATTATTTTATAAGCTAAGCTATAAAATTAAGTTTTTTAAATAATTAAGTTATTAAATTTACTTTAAATGGATAAATAAATAATAAGATTAATTTAAAATAGATTTAGCATTTTAATAAGCATATTAAGTAGTAAATAAAGGGTATATATTAAATATTAATATTAAATAGTTATAAGAGCTATATATTAGCTAAATTTAATTAATATTATAAGAATAATAACATATCTTTATTAACATATCATTACATTCTTTTTATTTACTTTAGCTATTAAATATTGCATTATACTTACCTTTAAAGCATATATATAGTAATTAAATTAACCTTTTTATTTAAGTATTTATTAATTATATTATTAAGTTTAAGTTTTTTTTTATATTTATAATAGCTTATAATAAAACCTTTAAAAAGGATAATATTAAGGCGATATTTAAAGAAGCTAGAATTTTACTTTAGGATTTAAATTATATTATTTTTAAGCTTAATATATACTTATAAACTCCTATGCAAACCCTTTTTATTTCTTTTTAATATTAAAAGTTTTAAATATTATTTAATGCTTAATAAATTATTAAGTAATTAAGCTTTATTAACGGCAAAATCTTTGCTTATTAAAAAAGCTTTCTTATATTAATTATAAAGGCTATTAATTAAATAACAAAAAATATATAAATAATAATGCATAAACTTATTATTTTAAAGGATTGGGTTTATATTTTTAAAAGTATTAATATAGCACTTATTAAATACTAAAGGGCTAAAAGAATTTAAATATAGCTTAAAAAAATACTTATTATTAAGGAATCTTAAGCTTCTATTTAAGAGAAATAAAAGGGAAAGCGGCTAATTAATAAAATAAGTAGTAATGCTAAGGAGGTAATTTATAATAAATTAAATAAATAATAATATAATAATTATAATAAGATTAAATATAATGCAAGAACTTATAAGAAAGATAAAAAAGGGTTAAGTTAATTAAATTTTAATTATAATATAATAAATCCAGCCTAATTAGCATTAAATAATATAAATATATTTATTTTAATGATTTACAGCAAACTGCGTTTTTAATAATGTAATTAACATTATTTAATGCAAAATATAGGTTTCTTATTAAAAATTGCTTATTTTAAACCTATATTATATTTATATTAATTATTTTAAATTAATTAAATTAATTAAAATAAGGAATTAAAAGCAATTAGCATTAATTAATGCTAACTTTTTATTTATTTATTAGCCTTAAGGTAGTATTAATATTAGTTAAAATTAAGTAAAGTTGCGAAAATCCGCTATTTATTAATATCCGCTATTTATTAATAAGCTACGTTATATAAATATTTAATAAATATAATTAAAATAAAAATTTAAAAAAATATTTTTAATATTATATATTTAAAAACTAAGAAAATACTTATAAATAAACTTATTAAAGTTTTATTATATATTTAATTTAAATATTTTAAAGCTTTTTTAAATCTTTAAAATATAAGGAAGTTAATAAAAGGGAATTAATATATTTATTAATTTTTTTTATTATTAAGTTTTTATTAAAACTTTTAAAAATTATATTTTTTAAAAACTATAATATAATCCTTATATAAAAACTATTTTATAATTAAAAATTACTTTTTAATCTTTATAATAATATATTAATTAATTTAAAACCTTTTTTTAATTATTATAATAACCTTTTAATTTTTTAAAAAACCTTATTAACTTTTAATTAAATTCTTAATTATAATTTTAAATTAAAATTTAATAATATTTACTCCTTAATATTATTTTTAAAATTAAAAAACTTAATCTTAATAATAATATAATCTTAATATTCTTTTATAATTTTTAAATTATTAATAACTTAATTTTAAAGCTTTTAAATCTTTATATTAATCTTATTATATTACTTTAAAGTAATTATAATTTAAACTTTAAGGCGCTTTATTATATTTTTATACTTATTTTTTATAACCTTTAAAAGCTATTATTATAAAATAAAGATCTTTTAAATATTAAAAGGAATTATGAAAATATAATTAAAATAAATATAATTAAACTTTTTATACTTATATATATTTAAGGCCTCCTTTTAAGCATATTAAAACTTTTTAAATATTAAAGAATTGCTAAATTAAGTACAATAAAAATAAAGTATAAATAATAAAAAATAAATTAAAAGTAGCTTATAAGAATTACTTTAAATATAATAATAATAATAATTATCTTTATTATTATAATTTATATAAGAATTATTATTATAGCTATATATAAGGCTTTTAATATAAAGAAAATAAGGAATATAATGCTTATTAATTTTCTTAAGTTTTTTTATATATTTTTTTTATATTTTATTTTAGCCTTTTTTTTTAAAAAAGCATTTTATTTTAAGCTTTAAGCTATTTATATATATTTAAAGATTCTTTAAAGTTATATTAAGAATTAATATATATTTTAATATTAGTTTTTAAATTAATTAAGAAATTTACTTTTAAGTATATTATTTAATAACATTTTAATAAGAGTATTAAAGCTTTTATTATTTTTATTAATAAGCTTTTTATTAATTTAACTACGCTTATATTTCTTTTTTTAAATTTTAAGGGTATAAAAAGGCTAAATAACTTATAGCTTAAAAGCTTATTTTTTATTATTTTTAATTATTTTTAATATAATTAAAAAAATACTTAAAATTAATAAAAATAAGTATTTTTAAATATAAATTTAATTAAAAAATTTTAAAAAAGATTTAATTATTAATTATAAGTTGCATTATAAGGCTATAAATAGTTAAAGTTTAAGTAATAAAGTATATATATTATATGAAAGATTAAATGGTTAATTACTTAATAAGCTATAGCTAATGTTTTTAAATATAAATTAGCTATTTAAAAAAGTAAGGTAGTTAATAAAGTAAGAATTGCCTTTTAATTAAGAAATATATTATATATATATCCCTAACTTTAGTTTGTAATTACTTTTTAAAATACTTAAATAGCTAGATTTCTTTTATTTCTTCCTTTTAAATTACTCTTAAAAGATAAACGCTTTTATAATTATGCTTTCAAACCCTCACGGCACTTGTAGCCTTCCACAAATTCAACACCACTTCCAGACCTGCCAGACACACCACCGCCCGTTTTCCAGCGCTGGCATGCCTTCGACAAAACAATCTGCGAATGGGTGCCCATTCAAACCGGTCATGTAGATGCACGGACACTCAGTCAACCCTTAAGACTTGTGACATGGAATGTCGACGCTTTCGGCGATAGCCCTGGGCCACGCATGGACGGAATTCTTTCCAAACTCCAGCGGATGCTGACGAACGGCAGCGGACCCGACATCGTGTTCTTCCAAGAGGTGTCACGAAAGGCCCTCACCCATCTCCTCCAATCCGACAGGTTCAGAGAGCACTGGGTTTCAAGCGAGGTCGACGAGACAAATTGGGCCGAGGTGCCCTTCGCTACCATGACTCTGCTTTCGCGGTCCTCGTTCTGCAACCCCGAGAACACACCAGATTCTACTTCCTCCTCCACCGCCGACGCTGGGAGTGGGATCTGCCCGGTCTGGAGAATCAAGTACCCAAGTCGCTTCAAGCGGGACGCTCTCTGCTGCGACATCTTCTGGGGGAGGGAAACAAGGATCCGCCTGGTCAACGTGCACCTCGACTCCCTTCCCATCCAGCCGAACCAGAGACCACGTCAGGCGGCTATCGCTGCTAGCATTCTGCGCACAGCTGGTGTGGGATGCGGGGTCATTGCTGGCGATTGGACAAAGTTGCCGTGCTGGGCCTCAAGCCTTTGGATATACAAGTGATACATCCGGGGACTTTATCGGCCGCGCCTGACTCTGGAAAGGAGATGATGGCGGGTAATGGTGGAGATGGAGTGCCGTGGAGTGATCACTCGGGACTTTTTTGCAGCTTTGTTATTGATGAGACGACGGTGTAGGGAGGTTACTTGCAGACCAGACAACTAGCCTCTCCTTCTTCCATACGAGCATTTAGAAATACCGGCAGTTTTTAACAGCCGGTGGCCTCTGGCTTTGGTAATTTTCGAGATTGCTGCAATGTCAAAACAAGCTGACCTGGTGACTTCCCAACCCCAAACTGTGTTTGCAAACTCCTTGACCATCGGGCTCGAAATAGTTTCTGGAATAATCTGGTGGTATTGGGCCTCTCTGGCTCGTCATCGGACTTTCGCTTGTCATTTCTATTTGTAGCCCATCTTGATCAAACTGAGTAATGAAAAAAGCCTGGCTGAATCATTGACTCAAGCAACTGCGTAATATGAACATGGATTCTCCCTTAATTTATTCTCATCTGTCGAAAATGCCCTAGTAGTGACTGGCATTGTGTGTGGGCGGCCTTGTGCGGTGTCATAAAGAGCGCCGAGGCTCAGTTGGGTTGCTTTGAGAGAATCACTTTATCAGCAATTCGGGAAGGTCAGCAAGGGAATTCCTCATTCGTAGCAACTCAGAATACTTGAGTGCTGTCCACGCCCCATCGTTTTCAGCAGCAAAGTCCGACGTCGAAGTTGCCACGCTACTGCTTAGCGCGATATATGACTTTTCAGACGAGGCTGACGACTCACGGAACGGGCCACTTAGACGAGGCTGACGAGTCAGGCTGTAGCCGCTTGGGAAACAGGGTGAAAGACCGCTTCAACATTCACCCTGGTGGCTTCTCATTCGGGAACTGTAGGTTAGAAAGACTCTTCCAAACTTTTAGAAATACAAAGTAGGTCTTCTGGCAACTGCAAGTGCTGAGGTAGCTCTTGCCCACCGTGACAAGGTTGCAAGCGCAACACGCAGCGACTTCCGTGAGTCGACCTTGCACATACCTGCAGAAATGTGCACGGGGATTGCATGGACCACGCTCAGCCAATCCCGAAAACGTTCGCCAGCCTTCAGCCACACCTGAGCAGGAAAGAAAGATATGGAAAGAAAAGACGCAAAAAGAGAGCAGTCTACTGGGCAAGCAGAGTTTCGATTGATTCCATGGGCAGTCATTCTTTGACTAACCCACACCATCTGGGACTTCATGCCTTTGCCGTCAAGACGAAGTATGGGGAAAGGAAATGGCAAGCGGATTGAGGTGATGGTGTTTCAAGTAATTGCACGGCTCACCTACTCGTCTGCTTAGTTTCGGTGCTATAGATCAAACTTTGCAGTGCAACAGCCACGCAGCCCTTAGGAATTAAAAACGTACATCTAGGGCGATACAGGAGCAGGGACAAGCCAAAGTCGAACGGTTATGATGGTTTCTGCAGATGAAAGAGATGATTCAGCCTCCTTGTGGCCCAGTCACTTGCTCCTCGGTCCAATCCCTCTCATCCAAACAGATATTGGTCCACAGAAGGCATTCAAACCAAGGCTTCTTGTGGTCAGCCGATATGGGTGAAGGTCGATTATTGAATCCATCTAAAAGCTCAGATGTCACGTCTTGCTTCCTACCATAGAATCGGATCCATAGAAAAAGCTTTGACGTTTTGTTTGAGTAAAATCCAGCCCAATCGTTGTTAATGGTGCCCGTCCCTCGCGCGTCTACAGTCTCCTGACCATTTGTTGCTCATCGACTATCCCATGACAATGATACTTAAAACAAACAATGTATCTCAATAATGGGATACGCCTGTATTTTGGGCATAAGAGTATTTCTCCCTAGTTACTGAGGCCAAACCATATTCGAAGCTGTAGGAAATGCAGACTGACGTAAGCTGTTGAACTGCAAAGGAGAATGGTTACAGTCCCTGCCTCTAGAGCGGGTCAACTTGTTTGCCCCGAGACCACAGTGTAAACTGGCTGAAATTGTTTACTTGCTTGACGAGTTCTCCTCTTGGTGAAACGCCCTATGAATTATAGAACTATTCGAGCCCCTCACTGGGTGATGGGCCGATTTGCCCGGGCCCAGGACGAAAAGGCAGGGTAGCCAAGACACGATCTAAAGTCGGGCCTGCACCCGCTGAGAGACCTCGAGACTTGAGAAGTGTACTGAATAGTAAGCTGGGTTGCAAATTAGTTTCTTAGTTTTAATTAATTTAGTTAGTTTTCTTAGTTGGTTTTTTAGTCTTAATTAATAAGATTAATTAAGAATTAAAATTAATTTTAATTATTATTATTAATTAATTATTAATTAATTATTAATTAAAAACTAATAAAAATAAGTAATATAAAGGTAAATTTTCCAACTTTTATTTTTAAAAATTACTTTTCCTTACCTTAAAGGGCTATAATTTAAATTATATTAAAGCTAAAGTTATTTTACCCCACTTTTTTCTTAATTAATTTAATAGCTTTAATTAATCTTATTAATTAAAATTAATTAATTGGTTTTTTAAATTAATTAAGATAAATTAATTAGTTTTTAAAATTAACTAAACTAATTTAACTAATTGTAACCCTGATAGTAAGTCCAGTCTTGCATCCAAGAAAGCACGGAAGAAAAAGCGCGAAATCCAGCACCCACCATAGCAAATGCTAGGACTGCCATGGCTAATTTTGCCATTCTGTGTGCTTCCCTCTGAGCGAAGTTGCTGAGAAGGCTGGATATGAGGAATTAGATGGCAGGAAATGAAGGACTCCACCTCGGCCGTGGAGTCCGTCACCAAGAGTACATAGAGAGGCCGTTTTCTTCTATATAAGATTGCCCATGGAAACATGTATCCAAGGCCAGAGGTTCAAGACCTGTCCCTCCTCCAGACACCCGCGGCAAAAGCCTTCAAACGTAAATTGAGCGGTAGGATTCCATTTGAGCAGTGTATATTTCTCTCTCGGGCACCACTGATTACCGCATCCTATGTCTAATCTGGGGCCAAGCAGTTCATTTTTCAATGCGAAATTTCCATTCTCAGCGTGATGCACTCCGAGCTACACCACAGCGCCTTGTAACCGGAGAGCTGCACCGGGGTATCGCTCATCGCAATTTGTGGGACAAGGCACAAAGTAGTACCAAACGAGTGAGTAGAAACATGCGATGCGGATAATGTATTATTTTTCGTGGTCCCATGAAAACACCAACACCAAACACCCCATGGCTCAACCCCTCAGAAACGCCAGTACACGCAAGGCCAAGAGCTGTTAGTGATACTAGACGCATTGCCGCAAACACAAAGGCGCAAACCATTTCGACCGCCATCATATTCTCATACTGTCGTCCCGTTGACCAAGATTCGCTTATAATAACGTCTGGCGGTAAGGCCAGACAGACAACCGACACCCGATGAGAGTAATCATAGAGCATCCTCAAACGGACAGTCCACGCTATTATGCCCGTCCTTCTCGCACAGCGCGCACCACGCCTCCGCATCGATGACGCCGGACTCCTTGCCCGCCACTGGGCCCGGGTCGTTCAGGTTCGGTATCATCTTGACGGGCTCGGAGGATGGTGGTAAGTGGGGCGACAGCGGAGCCACCTTATAATCGTCGTGTTCATTGGCGAGGGGTGGCGCGAGGCCCCCTTGGCTCGAGACCTTTGGCGTCGGCAGAGGCTCGGACGGCGCTGCGGGCGGGTTGCCGAACATGTTGGTGCAGGTCAGGATGTCATGGCCCGAAGTCTCGCACAGCTCGCACCAGAGTGTGCTGTTCTCCGTGACCGAGGACAGGGCGTCGCTCTCGGCCATTGTGTCCAACGTGTGGGCCCGTTGATGCGACCGCCTCTGCCCTGGCTGCTGCTGCTCCGGCGACCGGTGCTCGAACTCCTGGGCCAGGACGACCGTGTCGCGGGAGTCACGGACAGATGAGCGCTGAGCCATGGTTCCATTGCTGCGACCGTCGCGCACGGTCGCAGCGCTGCCCCTCCTAAGGGCCTCGATCTCATGCTCCATGTCTTCTTCCTTGCTCGTCTTGTCATCCAGTGCGGCTCGTAGTTCTGCGACCTGGCGCTCGAGCTTTTCGCGCGCGATGCGGTCGTCCGCGTTTCCCGGGAGTCGTGTGATACAGACCGATGAGGCTGTGGCCTGTCGGCGTCGTCCGGTAGCGAATCTCTACCCAGAGAGTGGATGATTGCTTTGAGGCCCCGGATCTCGTCCTCTTTCTGCTCCAGCTCTTTGAAGAGGGCCGAGTTGTCCCCATGAGATTGACCAGCTGTGCCGTTTGGCGCACTGGCCGCCTTCTCTCTTTCTCTCCTGAGCTCGGTCCTTGTCCTCTCAACCTCACCCCTCAGGAACTCCACCTCCCCACGGGCCTCGGCCTCCCCTCTCCTGGCATCTTCGAGGCCTTCCTCAAGTTCCTGCACGAGTTCTTCCAGTTGTTTCAGTTGCGTCGCAACCACATCAACGTCGCTGTTCCGCTCTTGGATTTGTTGTATATCTTGCATCAGCTCATCTATACGCTTCTCATACACTCTCTCCGTCTCGGCACTTGCCAGTTCCAATGTGTCGATAGTGCTCCTGAAATCGGCTCTGTGCGTATCGAATTCGGACGTGAGCATTGCGATCTTTTCGTTCTTTTCCCGGATCAGTGCTCGTAGCTCCCCTGTTTCCTTGTCGCCCAGGCTGTCCTTCCGACTTGGAGGTGGGGGCATTTCAGCATGCTCCATAAGATTTTGCACTTCCGTGAGGCTGCTCTCCATGTCTGCCAGTGTTGCCGCCTGTTCCCTGAGTTGTCTGTCGCGATGCTCCAACTCAGCACGTAGTCGCTCGATCTCCTCGTCATGGCCGCCGGCCTGCCGCGACGGGGCCCTATACTTGAGGGCTGACGCTCTTCCGTTCCCGGCAGGTATTGTCTCCTCGTCTGTGGTGAAGCCTGCAGTCGGTCCGGAAAGCGCCGACGAACTCCGTGGTCCCGTACTGAAATTGCGACTCGGCTGAAGCATTCCCTTCTTGGGCGGGTCGCCTGGCGCCATTGCGCTGTGCACGCTCTTCGAGAACTTGCTTTGTGTCGGACTTCCATATCGGGGAGCAGGCTTGCCAGAGGGTGTGGCGATGCTGGGGCGCGCGGCAGGCGTCAGCTGTAGCTTTCGTGTTGGCGACTCTGGCCGCGGTAGTGAGGGCCTTGATTTCTTTCCCAACGGACTGGGCGGGCGTGCAGGGCCGACTGATTTGGAGAACTGCGGTAATGAAGGCGTCGGCGGTGTAAAGTTTGTGGAATTCTGTGTGCCGGCCTTCAAGCCATTCGCAGCAGAAACAGGAGTCTTCGGGAAGGAGATGGCGGATGCTGAGGTGGGTTCGCGCCTCACGGCCTTATTCAGCGGCAGGAAGATACCGGCACCAGGTATATTTGTAGCGAAATAAGATACGCTGTAAAGGATGTGTTAGCATGCGAGGATGCGGTGACAGCTGCGCAAGAGTCTAGTATTCTACGCAGGACCAGAGCGAACATACCCGTCAACGTCGCCGTTGTTCTTCCCGCGTGCAGCAAAGTCAGGGTGCAGCTCGACGCCGGCGAATGTGCCCTTCTTCCCCTCGACAGTGCCGACGAAGCGAATGGTCCCGCGCATGTTGCCGGGCACATCCACTTCGTCCCCCAGAGCAAGGTCGTCGCCAGCAGCGGCTGGGGCGCCCGCCCTGGGACTGGGAGGCATCTTGTCTCTGCGCGGGGGCGATTCGTTCAGGGAGGCGAGTGCGTAGCTCTCGGTGGCATCGGGGACGGCGGCGGCGAGAGAGGTCGAGGTCAGGGTGGCCTGTGATGCCTTGCGCTGCAGCGATGAAGCGAGTTTGGAGTGCGCAGAGAAGAGGCCACTCAGGTTGGGGGTCGAGGCCGTGACGATCTTGCCTATTCCTGAGGCCTTGCGGGTGGGATGTCGAAGAGTGCGAGGTGCTGTTGGCAGGGCCGAGTGTGTTTGTTGTGGTGACGAGGTTGCAGGGGAGGAGAGGAGGGTTGCGGTTTGCCCAGCGGACGCCATGGTGGGGGGAGGGGGGTGGTCAAAAAGGAGACGGCGAATTTGTACTGTCCCTTTCAGCTTTTCGTATAACACTCAGTCACTCATCTCATTTACCACTCTGGCCCCAGCGTGGTGGTCCCAAGGCGACCCTATAACCCTGCTCCTTTTGGACGCCACAGACGCCGAAAAAACGGGGGGAGTCCAGCACACCAGCCCTTGGACAGGCTGGCGCTGAAGGCGTGTAAATCTGCCGGGATCCCAAGGGCACAGGCGGCGACACGCTCCTGACGCGACTGTCAGCCTCAAGCTAACGCGGGCCGTCCCAGTCTTTATTGATGGTCTGCTCCTGTCGCGGAACTGACAAAGATGGGAAGAGATGACTGGAGTTTTGAGTTTCGACTATTGGCCTGAGCGAGGGCTAAGCGGCCCGCAAGGATGTTTCTTGTTGATGCTTCCCGTCTCCGACTTTTAGCTCCCAAGGTTGGGCTCGTCCCCAAAGACCCGTGTCGTTCGTAGTGGCGTCTGTGTGTCTCTGGATTGACTTCAGGCGATCCAACGTCTGGCACGCTCCGTTGGAAACTTCGACTGCTTGTCTCTGAAGGTTGAGCGTAGGATGTGGTTCGCGACGATGCCGAGATGCGCAGCAGTAACAGGGCTCGTCTCTTTTAATCGGACAGAAACAGAGATCCGCGTAAACAAAGACGAGAAAAACGCAAACAGCGCCCACGCCAACGCGCTCCCTGTCGCTGCTGTCGCGGATAGAGGGGTGATTGTTTATATGCAAGGGCCTGCAGGCGGCATGCGGGCGTCAAGAGGTCTGTCTGGGCAACGGCAGATGTCCAGCTTGCCTCAGGCTCAACGTGTTGTGCAGTTGTGACAGACAGGCAGACAAGCAGACGAACAGCATAGATGCTATGAGAAGCTGATCACGCATCGGAAGATGCCAGGCGCACAGGATATCGTCTTATTATTATACACACATGCCACAATCTTTTTCCCTCCCAGTGACCCAATGACGTGCCTGCGTGTCCCCAAGTGCTCCGCATGGTACTATAGGTATGGAGCATTTAGTAGTGCAGTTGCAGAGGGCATGCTTCTCGATGCTGGCGGCCCGTCGTATCAGCACCCAGGATCGTGCAGGTAGATGGTCTGGTTCAATTTCCCCCATCTGGCCGTCATCTCCCCCGTGTGCGGCGGTTGATCGGGCATGGAGAAGGCAAAGGAGATGAGAAGGGTCTGCTGCAGAGAACAAATGGTAGGACCCAGAGATCATCAGGCCGGTTCGTCGGCAAACTCTTCTCACATAGAATGCCAGAATGCTACCCAACCAGAGCAGTGTGACCAGTTCGCGACTTTTTTTTTTCTGCGGTACGGCCGCGCCACAGGGAAACATCGCGGTCTGCCTGTGGCCAAGTATCACCACATCATTGGCCTTGAGCCCGCGTCACTGACGAGGCGATCCATGTAAAGGGGCAGCTCACTGCCCAGTAGCAGTAGCTGTAGAACTCAGGCTCCCATTATCCTGATGTGAGGCGTCGATCGAACACCTGATGAAGACAATCAAGACTCGGCCAGATAGCCGGGAAAGGCGTGTTGGCGCACGGCGGACGGTTCCCTGCAGACGGGAGCACCCACAACGGTCCCAGGACCCCAGGGCCGGCCCCTAGCTGGCCTTGCACGACCCACTCCACGCACCTGGGGACAGGGTCTGGCCCAACTGGGGCAGCTCGGAGATTACCCATTGACGGTCAATGACAATGACGCCCAACTCGGGAAGTGATCCGGCACATTGAGTTGGGCCCAAGATGCTCATCATCTTCTGCCCTAATAGCGCCAACCAAAAGGCTTGGTGTCCTCCGTCAAAATGGCAATTGGGCGGGTTCCTCCGCATGACCAATGCAGGCTAGACAATGATACTCCAAGATCGGAAGATGCCTAAGTAAGTTTTTGGGTCGCTGTGGGCCAAGGGCTCGGGGCACCGTCGGTATCTGGCAGCTGGCCTACCTGTGGAGCAAGGCCGACCCGGGTCCGGCTTCTGTCTTCGGACCATGCTCGGCAGCGCATGTCGCATGTGTCTTCTAACGTCCTGTAGGCCGCTGCCCTGTTGGCTCATGGATTTTCTTCTTTTAACCCTGTGCAGTACTCAATAGAATATCTGCTATTGCAAAGAAGACGGCCTCGTGCCCTAGCACTTAAACCCTGAGACGACCGGCGTCAAGGACGTGATTCGATCACCTCCGACTGTGTCTCATTCCACCCAAAGAGTAACAAGGACATCTGGACCCCAATACATTCCTGTCAACTTAGCGCTTCGCGGCCGAGAGCTGCTATTAACCACAGAAGCCGATTCGCTCATTGCGAGCTGGCTTTTGCTACCAACTGCTAACCGCCTCTGTAAATGCATGGACCCTCCTTGAGGACCGTTGGCTTAAATCATAAGATTGCCGTGAGCTATCGAGAAGCCTTTCCCATGTCTCTCGACACTTCAGTGCTCTCCGTATCAAGCCCACACTCGACGGCCGCATTGTGACAGCGCTTGTGATAGCTGGGCGGCCCCAGCTAAATGCCAGCACGAACATAGTCTTCTGGGCACCGATTTCCCCTTGAATGGATTGATAAGTTGGATATCGTCGAGCTCGCCCCGATGCTCCTTCAAGGCGGTGGCGTGTGATGTTCCCTCTCGATGATATCGGACCGCCCCAGTGGCCTTGTCCCGTCATTCAAGACCATGGCCTCGCGGTGTCGATGTCTAATCCTCTGCTCTTCAGGGCTCTGTTCCAGGTTCCTCGGCGTGGGCTCCGCGTTGTCGCCATCCAGGATCTCCGTCTCGATATGTATCGACGCGAAGACGTCGAAGCTCTGCGAGACAGTCTTCGGCATGAGCCCCGCCTTTTCTAAAGCATCTCGGCCGATAGCACTCTGCTGGATTTTCTGGATAATCTCGACAATCCTGTTCGTCTTGTACATGTACTGGAAGAAGTTGTGCTCCCTCTCCTCGGGCTTGTCGCCCCAGTTCTGCTTCGCCAGCCACTTCTCCACGATCCCGGCCTGAATGAACTTGTCTGGCCCGTACTTCTGCATGAGCTGCGAGATGAACATGAAGCAGAGCTTCTCGGCCATATCGCGAAGCCCGTATTCATCAAACCACCTGTCGTCAAGCTTCTCCAGCGGTGCGCGGTCGGCAAGGCAATGCTCGAGGGAGCGGACGAATGCGGAGTAAGCGCGCCCGGTGTTCAGCTTGGATAGGCTTTCTGTGAATTGGGTCAGTCTTGACTAAGGTTGGCCAGGTCTGTTGTAATATAGTAAGTGCCGGAAGCGTGGAGGCACTTGGTCCACGCAGAAGCCCTCCACATGCTGCTTCTGCTGGGCAGTGCTGCGCACCTACCCTTCCGCCACTTACCAGTACAACAGCGGTGGTAACTCATACGAGGGTCTGTTATGAAGGCAAGCGTCCGCAGGTTCTTCATGCGCTCGTCGTAATCCGGCCGTGTGATTCCCCAGAGCAGATAGTCAATCGTCTCGCCGTCGTTAACAGCTCTATCGCATACAATCTTGGCTGCAACCTCGCGGATCGCAAAGTTGTAATGACCTAGAAGCATATCTAGGGTGCTTGGTCTGAGGGAGTCCTCGGTCTCCTGTGTGATGTACTGCGTCGTGGGCTGCTGCGGCTTGATCTCAGTTCCGTCGCGCCATTGTTGGAGGAGCACGCGCATCGTGGCAACGACACCCACGAAGGCCGCAGTGAGGCCCACCACCAACACGCGCTCGTCGCGCGCATATGTAAGGAATGACATGATCGTTGTCTGGTGGCTTGTTCCAGCGACGAAGCTGGGCTGCGACGCAGCTTACTTGAAAGCTACCAAGGCACCTAAGCACATGTAAACGACCAATTACCAAGCAGTGCCTGCCACTAGCTCCCCATTCTGCCGCCCAAGGAGCTCTCACCGCCAAAATTCATCGATAAGATAAGCCATTTACTACGACTGGGACGGATCGAAATTTCATCAATCACTGCGACAAGTGCATTCTCATTGGAGGCTTTCCTAAAGGCTTCAGATTTTCGACAACATGCCTGCCTCACAACTTAAGAGGCTGAAGGCCTCCCTCCGAGACCAGGGAATTATCGGGCCTCAGCAATCAAAAAAGCAGAAAAAGGCAACCGCCAAGGATGGACGAGCTCGTAATGAGAAGCGCCTTCAGCGCGGCGCCGCCCTCGAGAACATCCGCGAGCAGTTCAACCCGTTTCAGTTCAAGACGAATGCCCGAGGTCCGAAGTTTGCCGTGACCACTGACAAGCCTGACCCGAAGAAAGGGGTCGTGGGACGTCCAGGGATGGCAAAGGCTCTGGGCGAGGAGAGGAGGAAGGAGACTCTCTTGGTCGAGATGCAGAGGCGGAACCGGATTGGCGGAATCTTCGACAGACGGTTTGGTGAGGGCGACCCAAGCTTGACACCCGAGGCGGCCGCCGCACAGCGATTCGCGCTGGAGAAGCAGAAGGCGCACAAGAAAACCTCAATGTTCGATTTGGAAGATGACGACGAGCCGGTTTTGACACACGGAGGAAAGTCTTTTGAGTTTGACGAGGATGGAGAACTTAAGGACGACTTCAACGAGGAATTTTCCGATAGCGGCTCGGACATGTCAGACCTAGAAGAGCACAACCGGAAGAGACTAAAGCGGTTGCGAGACCAAGTGGAGGCCAACGAAGAAGGCGATGAGAAGGAGTCGGAGAGGAAGAAGTCCAAGAAAGAGGTAATGGAGGAAGTTATCGCCAAGTCAAAATTCCACAAGTACGAGCGCCAGGCTGCGAAGGAAGACGACGAGGACCTCAGATTGGAGCTGGACAAGGAGACGGCCGACATCCGGTCACTTCTCATGGGCCAGCGCATGAAGAAGAATGGGGAGACGCCGATCGACGACAATAAAGCGGCAGCTGTCACAGGGCTGGACAGGGATGCCTTCGAAAAGGATTACGACCTCGCTGTGAGAAAGATGACGCAGGACAAGCGAGCAAAACCCACCATGAGGACGAAAACGGACGAAGAAGTTGCAGAGAAAGAGGCTGAGCGGCTGCGGGAGCTTGAAGAGAAGAGGCTCAAGCGGATGAGAGGCGAGGAAGTGAGCGACTCGGAAGAAGACGAAGAGAGCGAGGCAGACGCCGAGGACGATATCGATGACAACAAGCCTGCATTCGAAGTTATCAGGACCGATGGCGAGGACGTTGATTTCGGCCTTGGAAAAGGCATCAAAGCACGTCCAACCGCAACAGAACTTGGGTTTGACGACGAGGATGACTTCGTGATTGAGGACGACTTGGTTGCCAGCGGCTCGGACCTGGGCGACATTGACGACGCTGATTTCACTTCGAGCGAAGATGAGGATGCGGCCGCCCAAGAGGATGAAGACGACGAGTTCACGAAAGGACTTCTTACGGAGAGCGAAGCAAAAGACTCCCTCTTCAACAAGGAAACGAACCTGAGCAACACGAACACAACCGATGATGGCTTGCCATACACATTTCCATGCCCGCAAAGCCATGCCGAATTCCTCGAGGTTGTTAAGGACATCCCGTTGCCTAAACAGCCAACCGTCATTCAACGTATCCGAGCACTATACCACCCTAAGCTCCGGCGTGAATACAAAGAGAAATTGGGGAACTTCTCCAGAGCCCTGGTGCAGCATATCGCGTACCTGGGCACAGTCTCTGAGGATGGTTTGTACTCCACCTTGGAGAACGTGATTCGGCATGTACATTCTCTGGCCAAGATGTTCCCAGTCGAGATCGCGCAAGAGTTCCGCTCGCACATCGAAGAGATGGGACATCAGCGACCCTTAGCACTTGAAGTTGGGGACTTGTATATCTTGACAGCAATTGGTTCTATGTTCCCCACATCAGATCATTTCCACCAGGTAGCCACGCCGGCGATGCTCTCGATGGGGCGTTTCTTGGGCCAAAAGGTTCCGAGCAACCTGGCGGACTATGCCACCGGCACTTATCTGTGCACCCAGTCCTTACACTACCAGAAGCTTGCCAAGCGCTTTGTGCCAGAGGTCATGAACTTCACACTGAACACTATTTGCGCCCTGGCACCTGAAAAGCCCAAACGAAAGCTTGGCTTTTTCCCCGTACACGAACCAAGCCCTTCGATACGGACCAATGGTGCAAAGAAGACTGCGATCCGCAAACTGGGCTGCAATGACTGCCGAGCATCACAGAACGAGGTCTCTCATGAGAGAAAGGTCGCACTATTGAGCACCAACATATCATTACTGATGGCCGCCTCCGAGACATGGGCCGGAAAGCCTTCCTTCCTCGAGACCTTTGAACCAGCACTCAAAACACTGCAGTGTCTCACGTCCAAGCCAAACCGACCGCATCTTCCCGACGCGCTGCTACAGGACGCTGAGAAGGTAGCTGCACACCTCTCTCGTGCCCTCAAGGTGGCGACACTGTCACGGAGACCACTGGAGCTCCACCACCACAAGCCGCTCGCCATCAAGACATTCATCCCCAAGTTCGAGGACGGCTTCGACCCGGAGAAGCACTACGACCCGGACCGAGAGCGGGCGGAGATGGCCAAGCTGCGGGCGGAGCACAAGAAGGAGCGCAAGGGGGCGATGCGGGAGCTCCGCAAGGACGCCAACTTCCTGGCGCGCGAGAAGCTGCGCCTCAAGAAGGAGAAGGACGCGGCGTACGAGAAGAAGTACAAGAGGCTCGTGGCGGAGATCCAGGGCGAGGAAGGCCACGCGGCGAACGAGTACGAGAGGGAGAGGCAGAAACGGAAGCAGTCGAAGAACAGGTAGTAGTCGACTCAGGCGGTCTGGAAGACCTGAGTTTGGTGGTTTCCTACTCCACAGCGTACAAATTCCACAGATTGTGCATTCCCTCAACAGGCTTTAAGTTCAGATCTCACTCCTCTGGTACCACAATGACATAAAAGATTGAGCCGCCAGGTACCTGTCGATGTTGCTGAATGTCTATCTGAACAAACTTGAGGAGGATGTGGTTGTGGTTGTATGCATGTCCCTAAATCTGGATGCATGACATGTCACTCACCTAACACCCAATTTACATACCCAATTAGTAAATCAAATTAGCCCTAGGTATACAAATTAGCTGTGTAAACTAGATACATAGGTGTTGGGTGTGTAGGTGTTAGGTATGTAGATGTGTTGGTGTGTGGGTGTGTTGGTGTGTTGGTCACCAGTGGGGGTGGCCTGGGCGATGTGCTCTAAACGTTACAGCTATGGCGCGAGCGATGTACCGGTATACCCTCCGTTTTTGCAGGTGCGAATCTCCACGTTCTTTTCGATGGGTAAGGCTCCGTGGGGACTCTTCCTTGACCAAAGCTGTTCTGCAGAGGGCTCATGTTACAACAGTATGATGGTCCAAATTCTGGCTTTGGTCTATCTGCATATACTCGCATGGCTTTGCAGCCGTCACTGCTCACTTTTTGTATACCATCTTCTTCCTGCCTGGCACAAATCTAGAACTTGAGCAGGACGTACCAAGTGTTCAGACAGGCTGCAAATGGGATGTGCTATGTGACGGGTCTAGGCCAGGCCGAGAGTTGCACGAGACGTTGGCCCTTTCCCTAGTTGAAGCTGGAATCGAAGGCTGCCTAGAGTACGTACAGTCTGTGCTTTCCACATTGCAGGCCGGGCTGGGAGACTCTGACCCAAAATAGGCAGACACGGATACTGCAAATCACGATGTTGTGATGAAGGCTTCCATCCCTACAACACCAGTCCCATCACAGCTGGGCTGCGAATATCAGTGCTATCCCGGACATGGGCAGCCCTTCATCCTCACCTTCAGACCTGTCACACAAACATGCCTCGCCGTCTTCTCCAATCTCCTTGGTCTGCATAGGCTTAGCTGTCACACCCTACGGCCTCTGATTTTGTTCCACCTCCTTCAACCTTCGCTTCACTACCTCGGACGCCTTCCGGCCTCCATTCCCACTCTTCATTCATTTATTACGTGACAACCACACCCAACAACTGTTATGGACAGCGACGGCTGCCACAAAATGACGGTTCACAAGGTGAGGTAAGTCAAAAGGAGAAGACTGATGGAGTAGGCATTGCTGCCGACTTGTTGTCACCAAACCGGTTTACTTGGACCATTCCGGCCGCACGACACACACCGGCCAACGCATAATGCAGACCATTTTCAACTGTCTCATTCCTACATGTCACACGCCCGCCTGGATATATTTCCTCTACACCCTCCCAACCTCCCTTGGTCTGCCCTACTTACACAGCACTCATTCCACTTTGGGCCGTGTCAGATCATGCCCCCAGCCAGCCCAGACAGACAGACAGACAGACAGACGGACAGACGTCTCCAACGGTTCCCCGCTCCCCAAGAAGTCTATTTCCGGTCTAATCCCCGCCACGAACCCCGCACGATCCAAGGGTGGCGCCGTCTGCCCCTGCGTCGTCCCACAAGGGTCCGGGGTCAACTACGTACAGCAGACTACAACAGGAGCTCATGTGGGCCTGGTCAGGTTACATCACTCCCAGAGCTGTGAGCTCCTCGTGAGCTTGAAACATAGGCGATCATATCCAACCACAACAACGAACACTCTTGCTGTCGTTTTGGATCAAGGACCACAGGACCGGCATTTTACAATCAGCATAACTGTTTTCTATATCTGCAGCGTGCCCACTAACATCATTCGTTTTCTCAGCAAACCTTCGGTCGAGAACAAGGACAACATGGGCGGCGACAGAAACCTCTCCCGGCTCTCGCAGCCCAAGGCCGACTACCCTCTGCTGGCCCGAAAGCCGGTCGGGAAGCTGATTGATAACATCTATCTCGGCCGGATTGAACGCGAATACAAGGATGGCCAGTACGGGAAGGTCACTCTCTCGGCGTCAGTCTCTCCTCTTGACTACCCAGTACACATAACCGTGCGTGTTCCCCGCTGACGGATGCTCATGGGTCCAGAATGTATGATGAAGGCCGTGCCTCGGGTCGACCACATGTGAAACTCTCTACTTGGGCAGCTCCAGGACAAGAGCGTCCCGGGTTCAAGGATGCTGTCTCGCATGAGTTCAAGGACACGGAAGTCGGCCATGCCTTTGGTCCTTCGTGGACTACCCACTGGTTCAAGGTCCAGATCACAGTCCCAGACGATCTTCAGAGCAAGGAGCGTCTGGAATTTCACTGGGACTCCGGCAGTGAGGGCATGGTCTGGTCTGCAGACGGGAAACCACTGCAGGGCTTGACCGGCAACAATGAGCGTATCGAATGGGTTCTTCCGGAGGCTTTCCGCGACGGCAAGGAGCACACCTTCTACGTCGAGATGGCCTGTAATGGCATGTTTGGAAACCCTACCGGAGGCGACACCATCCAACCTCCTGAACCTAACCGATACTTCGGTCTCAGCAAGGCCGACATTGTTGCTGTCAACGTACAGGCTCGACAGCTCCGTATCGACATGTGGATCATTGGAGATGCTGCTAGGGAACTTCCCAGGGACTCATGGGAGCAGCACCAGGCCCTTTCTGTCATTAACCGGATCATCGAAACCATCGAGGTGGGCAACCAGGACTCCGTCCTGAGGGCTCGTGAGATCGCCCGGGAGTACATCGGCAACGTCGACTCTGCGAAAGTCTACGATAGCGAGAAAGAGCCCCTTGTCTATGGCATCGGGCACTGCCACATTGACACATGCTGGCTCTGGCCTTGGGACGAGACGAAGCGCAAGGTAGCACGGTCTTGGACGAGTCAGTGCAACCTGATGGAGGAGTATCCTGAACTGAACTTCGCTTGCTCTCAGGCCCAGCAGTACAAGTGGCTCAAGCAGTACTACCCGTATGTATTCGACCGGGTCAAGGAGAAGGTCAAGTCTGGACAGTTCCACCCGATTGGGGGTAGCTGGGTGGAGCACGACACCAACTTGCCTAGCGGCGAGTCTCTTGTTCGTCAGTTCGTCTACGGCCAGCGGTTCTTCGAGTCCCACTTTGGCCAGCGCAGCCAGACCTTTTGGCTTCCTGACACGTTCGGCTACTCCTCGCAGCTTCCTCAGCTATGCAGATTGGCCGGCATGGATCGCTTCCTGACCCAGAAGCTGAGCTGGAACAACATCAACAACTTCCCGCACACCACCTTTAACTGGGTTGCTCTGGATGGCTCTCAGGTCGTTTGCCATATGCCACCAGCAGAGACCTACACTTCTGATGCCCATTACGGCGACGTCAGGCGTAGCGTTAGCCAGCACAAATCCATGGACCAGGATCATACCTCTCTCCTCGTCTTCGGCAAGGGCGACGGTGGCGGTGGCCCAACCTGGGAACACCTCGAGAAGCTTCGCCGTTGCAGAGGCATATCGGACAGGACCGGCGGCCTGCCGCGGGTTCACATGGGCAACTCCGTCGACGACTTTTTCGACAAAATCATCCCCAAGGCCAACAAGCTCGTGACGTGGTATGGTGAGCTCTATTTCGAGCTTCACCGAGGAACCTACACCACCCAGGCGCGTAACAAGCGCAACAATCGGACTTGCGAGTTCATGCTGAGGGCTATAGAGCTCTTTGCCACAATCGCCTCGCTGAAAAACTCCTCGTACAAGTACCCCAAGGCGGACATCGACAGCATGTGGGAGGATGTTCTCCTTTGCCAGTTCCACGACTGCCTTCCTGGAAGCTGCATTGAAATGTGTTACGACGACTCTGATAAGGTAAATACCCTCTATTTTCCCATCTACCCTGGAGCCTCGCCCTACGTCCTTATTCATTATCGGCAAAATAATTAACCTTGAACAGCTCTATGCCCGCGTGTACGAGACTGGGAAGAAATGTCTCGCAGACGCCAGGGCTGCGCTAGGTGTAGGCGAGGAAACCACCAACACCACTGCGATCGAGGACGCCACAGCACTCAACAGCCTTTTCTGGCCCAGGAAGAGTCTTGTGGAGCTAGGCAACACGGCGGCTGTCGCTTGCGGCGAAGGCCCATACCTGACCCTGAGGGCTTTCAAGACGCCAACTGTGGAAGGGGCCGCTGTCTCGATAGAAGAGGTGTCTAAGGGAGTCTTCGTCATGGAGAACGACCAACTTCGGGTCAAGGTCGAGAATGGCGTTATCACATCCCTTTACGACCGCCTCGCTGATCGCGAGGTCCTCTCAGGGAAGGCTAACCAGTTCGTAATCTTCGACGACAAGCCACTGTACTGGCAGGCCTGGGACGTCGAGGTCTTCCACCTCGATTCCCGCAAGGAGCTCCGCGTCCACGACACTCAGATCAGCGAGAAAAAGAGCTACCGTGTCAGCCTGACCAGCCGCGTTAAGATCAGCGAGAAGAGCAACCTTGTCTCCACTATCAGCCTGTCCGCCGCTCTCAAGGGCCAGCAATCATATGTCGAGGTCAGCACCGAGGTTGACTGGCACGAGGACATGAAGTTCCTCAAGGTTGAGTTCCCCGTCGACTTCAGAAACACCGAGGCCAGCTACGAGACCCAGTATGGCATCGTGAAGCGACCAACCCACTATAATACGACGTGGGACATGGCCAAATTCGAGGTGTGCTGCCACAAATTTGCCGATCTATCAGAATCCAACTACGGCGTCTCCATTCTCAACGACAGCAAGTATGGATTCGCCACCTGTGGCAGTCTGATGCGCCTGTCCCTCCTCCGCTCCCCGAAGGCTCCCGATGCACATGCGGACATGGGAACCCACAAGATCCGGTACGCAATCTTGCCACACGAGGGCCCTCTCGGCAGCGCCACCGTCCGCGCCGGCTACGAATTCAACAGCCCCCTGGTGCTGGCTCGAAAGCCCAAGACGTTGTCATTCGAGGCCCCTGTCAAGCTGGTAGGCGACTCCGCAATCGTTTTGGACGCAGTCAAGCGAGGCGAGGACGATGTCGATGTCAGCCGCGGCGACCTCCCCGCCCGCAAAGGCAAGTGTGTCATCATCCGACTGTACGAGTCCCTGGGAGGCCGTTCCCGCGCCGCCATCAAGACGACATGGGACGTCAAGAAGATCACCAAGGTCAACTTGCTCGAGGATGAGATCCCCGGCGAAGGTGCGCTGGACACGGATGAGGATGGAAACTATCCCATCACCCTGCGACCGTTTGAGGTTGCCACCTACAAGCTGTGGCTTTGAGTGCGTTTGTGGTCCATTATCTTAGCGATGGAAGGTTAGGGCTGGGAGACTGCATTGATAGGTCAGCCGCTACTGGTGTCACGTTAGTGGTCATGGTAGGAGTAGCTTGATTAAATTGAACTATTGTCTTGATTATCTGAGCACTGTCGGGCCAGCTTGACTGTTCATTTGTTATTAGAGCTTCAAAGAGGCCTTGCAAAAAGTAGGCCAGGAGGAAAGATGGACTAAAGGCGATTAAACAACATTATCTCTGAGGTTAAAGGTCATTCCACAAAAGACTATCCCAGAGGTAAACCCAGAGAGGTACGTTCCCCGTCTCAACCCGTTTCAAGTGCCTTCCTCGATCTTTTGAGCATACCCCCAGCTAAATCAGGACTCATAAGAGATGCCAGAGTACATCCCGGCTAGGCTCAAGAATCTTTAGAAGATGTACAGCAGGTACTACACACTTGAGCTTGTAGTCAAATGCTGCAGGAAAACTTCATGTGGAGTAATCTCCTATAGGAAAACGGCTTATAGGATAACCTCTCTAGGATATACTTTAATGGGATAGCCTCCTACCTCTAATTAGATAATCTCCTTTGTAAAAACCTCTTAATTCCTGTGGGGTACTCTTCTGTGGGATAACCTTTTATAGAATACCGTCTTTTAGGACATAGACCTATAGGATAACCTCCTATGGGATGACCTCCTGTGGGACAGCCTCCTGTGGGATAACTTCCTATGGGACAACCTCCTGTGGGACAACCTCCTCTAGGACAACCTCCTCTAGGATAGCCTCCTCCGGGATAATCTCTCATCTCCTTTGGGACAACCTCTCCTCTCCTCTGGGATAACCTCTATTGGGATAAACTCCTCTTTCCTTCAAGGTAGTCTCTCCTCACTCTGAGGATAACCGCATGTAGTATGGCCTCCTTTGAGATGCCTCCTATGGGGTTACCGGTGGGCCACATCAGCTTCTCATGCTTGCTTGCTCAATTGGAAATCATTTTCAGTGGTATTCGATTGAAAGAGACTTTTTATATCGCCACAGCTCCCAACCACACAATCCACCAGTGGTCGAGTTAGCTGCCTTGAAGCCCTCACGCTTCCTAAGCTCCTCTAAAGCAGGGAAGACAGAGTGGTATCCCGCTTTTCTGATAATTCCAGATGCCACAGCTTATTTGCACATAAGCACAAAAGTAAAAAAGAACGAGCAAGACCTGTTAACGCCGCCCAAGAGATATCCTTTGCCTTTTCTGGCTTCCACCATTCCACCCATCTAGACTGGGTTATCTACAAAGGCTTGCCCTGGAGAAATTCCGACCAACGGCGGACCTCGGACGGGATGCCTTCGGGCCGAGGCAGCTTCTCGCTCATGCACTGGGCGAACAGGATCGCAGTCTAATTATCGCGGCAGGGTCAGCAATGCTTTGTCACGCTTGAAGGTGGGGTGGTCATTTTGCCAGGATTCCGGAACTCACCTGTGGCTCCATGAACAGTGGCACGCCAAAGTCGACAGCATTCCGCCGCATTACATAATCGACGTCCATTACTGTCTTGCCCCTGGCCAGGGCAAGGTTGAACACACCGCGGATGTCATACTTCTTGAACACCTCACGAAGGGCCCGCTTGTCCTCCTTGGGGAATTCGATAACTTCAACGGTCACCTTGTTCTTGGACGTCGACTCGATGAATTGCTTCACCTCGTTGTCCGCAGCAAACAACTTGTAACCGAGAGGAGAGAGGTAGTCGACAATCTTGGTAAGCCACTCCTTCTTCAGCTCGCCGCCGAAGAGAAGACCCTCACCAGGCTCGGGCATGCGGAAGTTCATCGAACTCTGCATGGAAGCCCAGTACGCGTCCACAAGGTCCTTACCGAAGCAAGCCATCTCTCCCGTACTACTCATTTCGACCCCCAGGTAAGGGTCGGCACCGGCGAGACGCGTCCATGAGAACTGTGGGACCTTGGTGGCAAGGTAGTCGCGCTTGACAGCCATCAGGTCGGTGGGCTCTGGTACCTGCTCACCGACGAGCGCCTTGGTAGCCACGTCGATAAAATTTGTTCCGAGAACCTTGCTGACGAAGGGGAAGGATCGAGAGGCACGCAGGTTGCATTCGATGATCTTCAGTTGAGGTTCGCCGCCTTCAGGACTGTCGGCTTTTATGATCTGCATGTTGAATGGGCCAGTGATCTTCCAAGCCTTTGCAACCTTCTCGGCGATTTCCTTGACCCGTGCCATTACCTTGTCGTCGAGAGTGTGGGGAGGTAGAACAAGAGTCGCATCACCGGAGTGGACGCCAGCATTCTCGACGTGTTCTGAGACTGAGTGAATGATGAGCTTGCCCTCAGATGCGACTGCGTCGACGTCAATTTCTTGGGCTCCCTCAATGTAGGAGGAAATCACCACAGGGTGGTCGGGCGACACGTTGCTGGCAGCCTCTAGCTTTTCCTTAAGCTCGTCCTTGCTCCGTATCACAGTCATCGCAGCTCCAGACAGGACGTAGGAGGGCCTGACGAGAACAGGGTATCCGACTTTGTTCGCAAACTCCTCGGCCTCCGCAACAGATTTCAACTCAGCCCATGCAGGTTGGTCAAGGCCGATGCTGTCCAAGATCGCGGAGAACTTTTGACGGTCCTCAGCCTTGTCAATCTGGACGGGGCTCGTCCCAAGAACGTTGGCCTTCCCGGTCTCGTGGAGGCGAAGAGCGATGTTCTGGGGAAGCTGTCCGCCAACCGAAACGACGACACCACTGGAGTTTTCGAGCTCGTAGATGTCCATGACCCGCTCATAGGACAGCTCTTCGAAGTACAGCTTGTCGGCAGTATCGAAATCGGTCGAGTAGGTTTCTGGGTTGTAGTTGATCATCACGGTCTTGTGTCCCATCTTGCGCAGAGCTTGTGTGGCGCTCACAGCACACCAATCGAACTCCACAGAGCTACCGATACGGTACACTCCGCTGCCCAGGATGATAGTTCCGTTGTCTTCAAATGTAACGTCGTGGGTTGAGGCGTTGTAAGTGGTGTAGAGGTAGTTTGTGTCTGCAGGGAACTCGGCCGCAAGAGTATCAATTTTCTTGACCCACGGCCTGATACCGAACTCCAGACGAAGACTCCGCACCTTGTCTTCGGTGCTGTTGACGGCGTCTGCGATCTGCCGGTCCGAGAAACCCAACTTCTTGGCCTTGAGAACGATGTCCTTCTTAAGACCATCGAGGTTGCCAATTTCCTGGAGCTCCTTGGACATGTCGACGATGTTTTGCAGCTTGTACAAGAACCACTTATCAATCTTGGTCAGCTCGTGAACCTTCTCGACGGAATAGTTCTCGTGAAGCATGGCTTGACCAACGGCGAGCCATCGACGATCAGTGGGATTCTGAAGCTCAAAGTCCAGGTCCTCGAATTTGTCACCCTGGAAACCGACGAATTTGGGGTCGACCTGACGGATAGCCTTCTGGAATGATTCCTCGAAGGTCCGGCCAATAGCCATAACCTCTCCAACGGACTTCATAGAACTGCCAATGTCGCGCTTCACATGTTGGAACTTGGCAAGATCCCACCGAGGAATCTTGGTGACGATATAGTCGAGAGAAGGCTCGAAGTTTGCAGTAGTCGTCTTTGTCACGGCATTGGGGAGCTCAGGCAAGCTGTGTCCAAGACCGATCTTAGCCCTGCTGTGTGTTAGTAACCTGCCACAGAGCCTAAAGTGACGCAGTCCTGTCCATTCGAAAGCACAACGAATAGGGAACTGTAAAAGGAAAAGACATACGCAGTATAAGCTAACGGGTAGCCCGTTGCTTTTGATGCAAGAGCAGAAGATCGAGAGAGACGAGCGTTGACCTCGATCACACGGTAGTCCAGGCCATCTGGCTGCAGAGCGTACTGGACGTTACACTCGCCAACGACACCCAAGTGGCGAACGATCTTGATGGCTGCCGAACGGAGCATGTGATACTCCTCGTCGCTGAGTGTCTGACTAGGCGCGACCACAATGGAGTCTCCAGTGTGAATACCCAATGGATCGAAGTTCTCCATGTTGCACACAGTAATGCAGTTGTTGTTCGCGTCTCTGACGACCTCGTATTCGACCTCTTTCCAGCCCTTAAGAGATTTCTCCACCAGAATTTGCGGGGACAGCGTCAGTGAGCGAGCAGCCATGTTGCGGAGCTCCTCCTCGTTGTTGGCGAAACCTGATCCGAGACCGCCCAGTGCGTAGGCCGCGCGGACAATCAATGGGTAGCCTATGCTCTTTCCTGCATCCAGCGCTTCCTCGATCGTGTTGACAGCGATGGATTTCGCGATGGGGATGTTGATCTCATCCAAGGCCCTCGCAAAGAGATCGCGATCCTCACTGAGCTCGAGGGTTCGAACACTGGTTCCCAGAACCTTGACACCATATTTCTCAAAGGTGCCCATTTTCTGCATCTGGACACCCAGGTTCAGGGCCGTTTGCCCACCAAAGGAGAGGAAGATGCCATCGGGTCGCTCACGCTCGATAACGTACGTGACATATTCAGGTGTGACCGGAACTACACAAGGCGCGGTCAGCATTTACCCTACACGTTTCCATGCCGTTACATATCCAGGCAAAGACATGTGTATGGAGTCATGCGGCATGAGTGAATGGTGCTTCGTGTATTCGAGGGGGGTATTTACGGTAGTATATCTCATCCGCTATGAAATGGTTCGTCTGGATGGTTGCAATGTTGGGGTTGATCAGCACAGAGGAGACTCCGGCTTCTTTCAGGGCTTTCAGAGCCTGAGATCCTGTATGATGAACATATCATGTCAGTAGTCAAGTCCTTATCGTAGTGCCATGTCGTGTGACTCATTTCCCTCAACCAGCAGAGGTCTCCACGATTTGAGTGACGAACCTGAGTAGTCGAACTCTCCAGCTTGGCCAATTGCAAGACCACCAGATCCAATGACGAGGACCTTCTTGACGTCCACAGTCTCCTTGGGCTTGACCACGCCGCTCTCAAGGTACGCCTGGGGGTTCGGCGCAGACTGGGTGGCCGCGGCCGCCAGACAGCGGGCGCTGCTCAGAAAGTTGCGCTTCTGAACAAGCTGTTTGGCCTGGACCTGTAACCTGGCAGAGGCATTGGGCGTTGCGGCTGTGAAGGTCCTGAGAGAGTGTGCGGCAGGAATTGGGACCTTTCGAGTGGTGTTTCGGAGGAGGGCAGGCGTTCGAGCTGCCAGCGCGATCGGCGCCATGGTGTGTGAAGGAGATTTGGGGGTAGAGGGGGGGGACGAGGACGGCGACGACGCTGGGCGCTGTTACCCAATTGCGGCTCTAGTAACCCTTTCCGTCCTCTTTATACCCAATTGACAAAGTGACAGAGCTGGATTCGAAAAGTTGAGGTGTGATTCATACCCGGGACATGTGAACCCCGGGGGGGATTCTTTTTTCTGGCGGGGCTGATAAGATGCTAGATATGTACATACCGAGCTCGCCCTATCAGTCCAGATCTGGGTCAGGTTGGGAGCTCCCCTGTCCAAACTTTCCTAGGTCCCCAATTTTTCTCCCACCCCGTTTGGTCTCCCGCCCAGCCTACCCAGCTGCAATATTCTACAAGTCCAATGCGTACATACAGGCACCGTGGTTGCGTGTCTCTACTACTGCAAGCCAATGCAGCCTGCGAGGGGTGTGAGCAAGGACGCGGGCTAACTGGCGAGCAGCCATTCCTAGTAGTCTGAGATAGTTTGGGAGAGGAAAAATTTGAATCTCTCGTGCAACGGGGCTCCGAAGTAGGAGCCACACGTTTTGGGCCGTGGGAAGTCCCGCCCATCGGCTCCGCCAAACTGGATCGGAGCATGGGGAAATGACGATGCCCGGAGGGAGATGACTCTAGCCTCTCAAATGACTCTTAATTGACCTTGGATTAGGTTCTGGCAGAACAGGGTCGACTTGGGCACGAACAGCAGTCAACATCCCGCCTGCCCAGTACCTCTAGGTTTATCACTGCAGATGTTGCGTCTGGCATGCAGTCCACAGTTGACTAGCTCTTCCACCAGGAATGGGTGTCGATCTCCAAGCTGTCTCTCTATCCCCATAGCATGAAGCTGAGTCCATGGAGCTCGTGGGGTCAATAAAAGCATCGGTATCCTCGATCAATTGAGTGAACGAGCCCTCGGATCCATTCCCCGCTGCCATTACGTACCACTGCAATCTATCCCCAAGCCCTTGGCCGCGAGGAGACTTTCTGTTCTTCAAGGCGTCCCTCCCCTTCGAGAACGAATCCGACGTCAATTGGCGATGCAGACAGACAATGCATAAAACATACTAAGCCACTTCGCTCCTTTTCTTCTTTTATGCGCCTAAAACCGATCCGGATCTAGCCTACGCGTGTGGATGTCAAAATAAACCACACCCTCCGCAACACACTCTTTCTGCGCCAATCCTTCTCCGCCTTCTCTTCTCGTACGAGTACATACATACCATGGGTATTTGCGCATCATGCCTAGGTGGTGGCCAACCACGAGGTTCTGTCGAGCAGGAGCAGGACGAGGTCGAGTCGGGGCCGCTCCTCTTTAGCGTCCCCAACGGCATGCACTACGGCAGCTTTGCGGAGCCACAAATGATGGCGCCGCACAGTGACCCTTCACGCTCCCAGCGTGAGACCGAGGCCCTGCAACGCGTTGTCGCCCGAACGTCGGACGGCTTAGTTGATATTTACGACACAACGCCCGGCGCGTATTCCCGGCACAAGCATGGTGGTGTGCGGGACCGGAATGCACAGTACCAGTTCCTGCTCACCAAGGTCGACTGCGACGGCTCGCTCTCAACGGACGAAGAGGATGACGCGCCATTGCAGGGGGTTGTCACACACATTCAGGCTGACCCCAGGAGGAAATTGGTCGGTAGCTTCAGAGAAGCTGCTGCGGCGATGGCATGAAGATGTCCATGCGTCTCAAAAGTATGTTCTTCAAGTTTAGAGAAATGTAATCGACACGGAGCCAGTCTCCAGACTTTTGTTCTCCAGTTGGCATCAAATTTCAATCCTCTAGCCCATCATTCCGCCCCTTGTGAAATGCACTCATGGATTCTTGAAGTTTCTAATTATGATGCTGCCGCGCCTCGTTCTCGCATCTAGAAACGAACAGCCGGATTCCGCTCGATGAAATTCAGATCCACCTTATGTCCAAGCAGCTCGCGGATGTTCGAGATGCCGTACTTGATCATGGTCGGTCTCTCCAAACTCAGACCAAAGCCGTACACCCGCATGTCCTTGGGCAGGCCCATAGGCTCCAGCATCTCCGGCCGGAACATACCGCTGTTGCCAATCTCGACGATCTTGTTCAAACCCTTGTGGTAGCTGAAGATCTCCATGCTGGGCTCGGTGTAAGGGTTGTACGCAGGCTTGAACTTCAGGTCTGTGATACCCATCCTGTTGAAGAAATCCTCCATGAACGCCATCAGACCTCCCAGTGTCAGTCCGTAGTCGGCGACAACACCCTCGACCTGGTGGAACTCTGCCAAGTGCGTCGCATCGACTGATTCGTTCCGGAAGACTCTGTCGATCGAGAAACATTTTGCTGGTGGTGGCCGTCCAGCAGGGCCCTTTTGTTGGGCAAGCTTGTGCAGCACAGCTGTCGAGATAGCGGTCGTGTGTGTCCGCAGAACCAGCCTCTTCGACTCCTCCTCTGACCAAGGGTATCTGTAGCCAATGGATCCGAACTTTCCGTTCTCGTGCACCGCCCTGATGTTCTCCACGTACGTCTTGTAATCAGCCTTGTCATCTGGGCCCGTCGCTCGAGGCAGATCTGCTTGCTTCGGGTCCGAAATGTAGAAGGTATCTTGCAAATCTCGGGCGGGATGTTGCTGTGGCACGAACAGCGCATCGAAGTTCCAGAAACCAGACTCGACGAACTTGTTGGTCGGCATCTCCTCGAAGCCCATGTCGAAGAAGATCTGCCGGAACTCGGATCGCACCTTGTTCAGCGGGTGCAGAGCTCCTGCGCGTTGGTCCGCTCCCAGTGCCTTGAAATTGTATGGTTTGAAGGTTGCAGTCTTCCATGCGCCTGAGTGTAGCATCTCCGCCGTGAGGTCCGTCTCCTCCTTGGCGATTTCCAATGCAAACTTGTCGCCCTTCTGTATCCTGAAGTGGATGACTTTCTGTATCTTGACCAGCTTTCGCTTCTTCAGATCGGTTAGGATTTTGGCGTCGGGGAACGTTTTCGTCTCTTTGATGGCCTTGAGCTGCTCCCTGGTCGTGTCTTTGATCGAATCGGTCTGCAGAGACAGTCAGCGTCGGGCTCTCCGTTGTTGGGATCTTGGGATACTCACAGAGGCCTTGAGCTTGCCATCGCTAGTTTTTGAAATCCACTTCTCCTTGAAGGCTTTCCCCTGGCCGACCTTGGTGACGTTTTTGTCACCAATGGTCTTCTCGAGGTCCTGGACAGTGAGGCCCTCAACAGCCTGTCGCAAAGCTTCGAAGACTCTTGCCTCATGACTACCGTTGGCGACAATGCCCTCTGCCTCGGGCTCGAGGGCTGCTTCGTCATTCTCAATCGTTTTGTAGGTGACCATAGACCGCGACGCAAGTTTGTCGAGAGCTGCCTTGACCTCTGCGAAGGTGGCATTAGGGAAGGCTTCTTGGGACAGAATAGGTTCCGACTTGGATAATGCCAGGAGGATCTCCGAAGGGAGATCGCCTGAGGACGCCATCTCGTCGACTGTGGGGTTTGTAGGTGGAAGGATTGCACTCGAGGGGGCGGGCGGATTACCTGGACGTGTTGTAGATCTAAAATGCTGCTTCGGTCATTTTGAGTCACAGCGAGGGGCCCTCAGGAAGTCTGGAAAATGCACTCGACCCCTGTCACTTCCAGGTGGGGTGTCTGTGTAAACTGTCTGCGCCTGTGCCCCTCCATTCCAGAGTGCCTAGGTACATGCCAAAACTGCTGCTTGTACTGCACGAATTACCTGGCATTACATCGAAATGTCCAGACAACTTGGGAAAAGCGAACACAGGAGGAAGAAACGAGTCAGTACCACTAGAAATCAATTTTCATTTAATATATATGTGTCTTGTAAACAATTGCTTGATATACTTTGTATCAGCTTGGTTCTAGTACTACCTACGTATGCAACACCCGAGCCGATAAACGCTCCCACGAAACTGGCCGTGTCAATTCGGCACGGAGCTATGTCTCAGTCAACAATCAAGGGAAAATGAGGCTCCCAAGCATGTAGAATTCAGTCGCAGCCACATGCTGGCCACCAGTCCATCGCACGGGACATGGTCGGCTCGGCCCTTTCACCGCCAGGCTGTGTGCCAAAGCCGTTTTCTAGCACCACCGAAGGACCTAAGAGAGCGGCAAATATGGCGGTGGACAGACGCCGTCGTACTGGAATAGTCGACGTACCAACCCTTGCGGCCAAGCATACGCCCGCGGCCCTTGTACGAACATGACTGCCAGATGCATTGATGCCTTCTCATTTAATGCATCGAGATATGGCCAACATGGTCGGCAACGGAAATCGCTTACTACAGCCAAGCAATGACGAGATGATGTGGGGCTTGGCTGCTTCAACGCAAGACTCTTCAAGCCATTAGGAGTTCCAATCGAAAGATACGGAGTTTAAGTGAGGAGGTTGAGGCCATCCAGGCACATATCCTAAGCTGCTAACAGTGTGATAATTCACAGCTCTATTTATTGAATAGAGATCATAGCAAGTGGAAGATGGCCTGAATGAGCCATGACAGGTCTACCTCTGGCTTGATTTCATTTTCTGCAGAGGATTCAACAAAAAATACCCTTTCCAACTATTTTCACACCAGGTTGTGTGTAAATTGCTGCTGGGTAGCAGGGGCCTTGCATAATGATGTTGGGCGACTAGTAAGCGGCCGGCTCGAATGGCTCGGCGGCCCTCGCCTCGACTTCCGTCATCCCCAGCTTATTAACCGTATCTCGCCCATCGTCTGAGCCCCGACTCTTCGATCCCACAGCGGACTCCAGAGGCCCCAGAGGTGCCAGTGATTAATTGTGCGAACACGACCCGACGACAAATGATTCATCCTGACCACCAACATAACATGTGCGGCCCAACCTAACCAAATCCGACCCGACAAGCCTTCCTCACCAGGTGCGGCGGAGCTATGAACAATGATCCCACACCAGCGAGCTCCGCGGCCCGCTTGCCAACCCACGACGACAACGACAGCGACGCCAGATCCCAGGACGAGGGCGATGCCCAAGGGCCATCCAGACAACAGTCCCAGCGACGGCGGCGCTCTCGCCATGGACGGCGACGCTCGTCTTCCCGGGTACGCCGGGCCAAGGTCGGCATCGCGAAGAAGCTCGAATTCATGACACACCTCATGAGCAGCTTGGACGTCCTGGTGTTCGCTGAGCTGTGTGTGTTGTACTACATGGAGTATGGCCGTCCATCTCGCCCCTCACAAATCCCGCCCTGGCTGACGTTTGCTAACCCGTTTGTCCTTGAAGCTGTTCCTTTGCCCGCCTCGTCATGCGCTCCCTCGTACAGTACATGTACCTGACGCCGAAACCCGAAGACTTCCTCAAACTCATGCCCGCGCCACGGCCGCAGATATACACCGTCTTCGCCACCAACATAATATGCATGCTCCTCCACCTCCTGCTTGCCCTTCCCGAAGCAAGCGAGACCATGCGAGGCTATCTACACGGGGGCGTCATCATCGACTTCGTGGGACAGAAGGCGCCGGCCTCCAGGGTCGGCCTCTTGCTGCTGGACTGCCTGGTCCTGATGCTGCAGTGCGTCATGTGCGCGGTGTGGCTGGAGAAGGACCGCCTCAAGAAGATTGAGGTCACACTTCGAAGTGTTGCCGCCGGGGGTGTTCCAAAAACAAATGCCAACACACCGGTTCCGCGGGCGCAGCCCGCCGTTGTGGGGGATGCTACATCAACTCAGGATCTGGATGCCGAAGAGCGAGGGGTGCTGAGAGATGACCCGCTTGGCGAGGATGAATCCAGGGACATCGAATTGCAGCCACTGGTGACGGAACGACCGCCCCCGGCCGTTGCGGAGAGCAGCCGTAATGGGCAACTGGAGGCTCGATATCAGCGGATCTTGAGATCGTTGGGCGGCTCGGACTCACGGGAAGAAGGAGCAGACAGACCGAGCTTACTGGACGTGTTGATGTCCGGCAACGGTCTGTTGGCGAATTTCCACGTCGTGCACTCCTTGCGCACATTGGCCGCCGAGAGTAATGGTGCCTCTAATGTGGCTGGCTACCCACTGCGCCTCACCGGATATACAACAACGTGGGCTGCGCTCGCCGCTGAAAGCCAGGCGAGGTTAGAGCGCCGCACAAGACAGCGATGATAGGCGATGATAAGTATAGCATGGACTTTTCTACGAAGCATCTGATAATTATCACGTCCCTTCCTAAGGGGCTTTGCATTACTGGGGTATTATGCGATCTTCCTGCCCACATTCCCGACTCCAGAGCCTTTCACAGATACCAATATATCACCCGAATCGTCATCTTCAACAGGTCGTAGGCCCCAGCTTGCTCCGCCGAAACTCCTTAAATCCCTGGCCAGCTGCAAAACCTCCTCAGTACCCACAGTATCCTTGCTTAACCTCAATCGTCCGACGTCTTCTGACCCCATAGCCATCAGCGTGAGAATCGTTCTGGCTGCCGACCACGTCACACATCCTCCTTGTTGTATTGTCTCGGCGAGCTGATATGCGCATCGCGTACCAATATCCTCCGGGACCACACCACCCTCTGGCGGTGCAACAACATCCGCAGAGTACAACACACCTGGCACACTAGACTCTGCCACCAGGCTCAGCCCAAAGCCTATGCCCAGCTTCTTCTTTCCCTTCCCAGGCGCGTTCTTGTCTGGCACCAGCGGCGCAGTGTCGTACTGCGCAGCGATGTGTATGTCCGACACCAGTGGGTTCAGCACCTTCCTCGCCTCGTGGATCATGCGAGCGTTATTACTCGCCGACACACCTGTGCAATATGCGACACCGCGGATCCTCCGTATCCGCCCGGGCGACCTGTTGAGATGCAGGGTCTTCGGGAGGCGCACCTGGCTGGCGAAGCGCAGCTCGACCGAGCCGCCGCCGCCGCCGCCCCTGGGCCCCGGGCAGGATCTTTGCAGCACGCGGAGCTCGATGCGCGCGGGAGGGATGCCGAAGAGGGCGTAGAGTGGGAGGATGGCTGTGCGGAAGGAATCGACGGACATGTCGCCGGTGTTGGTCGCGGAGGTGATGACGCCTGGCCCCGAGAAGCGGACGTTCATGTGTGCTTTTGAAAAGGGTGCGAGGAGGGCCAGTGGCAGCAGGAAGTAGGTGACGCCCCTGGAGCAATTTGCGGGCAGCGCGTGCTCGATGACATCGTCCGAGGCGGCGCCTGCTCCGGCCACGGTGCCGGTGATCAAACCAGGGTGATATGTTATCGTTGTGCCGGTGTAGGAGATCTGCATGGAGCTGCCGTTGGTGACAGCCTCGAGGAGGCGCAGGAAGGAGACTTCATGGGGGGCAAGTCCGGGTGCGGTGGGAGACGAGCTGCGGATGCCAGAGATGTGGACGGGTCTGCCGGTGAGGGTCGAGAGGATGAGGCGGTGGGTGAAGGATTTGTGGCCCGTCAAGCGCAGGTACTCGGGGTTTGCAGTCGACATGGCGCCGATAGTCGAATGTACTGCGTTGTGTCTCGAGAGTCTGTCAAGGCGGAACGCAATGAACGAAGGAAGAGAGAATCGGGAGGAAAATTCTGACCGCCTTCGGCAGAACGGTCTCGCTAGCTGCTTATCGCAAGACGATTAGGGACGAGCTCCCCAAAATTTGGAGCTTGCGAAAGAGACGTCACTTTTTTTTTTTTTGGCCCGCCGCCACCCCCCCCCCAAATCAGACTGCGCTTGACTTTCTCTACTGGGGATGTTCCTCAACTAGCACTTGTCCTCCCTACTTCTTGTAGATTTGCCATCCATGGCCGACTTTTAAAGATTCTTCATGCCTCCCAAGACTGCCCTTGTCAGGTTGGCGACGCGAAGAAGCCCTTACGTTTGCCACTCCTGCCTCAGCGGCCTCGCCAAAGAGCGACCCAACCCGAGTGCCGGGCGGCCCTATGCCAGGGCTTCGAGGGGTCAGGCTCGCCTGTCCCCCGATTCGAAAAGGCCAGTCGAGACGCCAGAAAAAAATTACACAGTAAAATACTTTGAAAAGGATGCTAAGGGCGAGGTCCGGGAGGTGCCCGTCGGAGAGGACGGCGATGATGTCGACATGGAGGATATAAAGGCGCTCGAGGCCAGTGCGTTGGCCAAGATTGAGAAGCTCGACGCGACACTGGAATCGCTGAACAACAAATCTGAGTTTCTCGAAAGGATACTGAGAAATCACGGGCCCAAGGGCGCATTCGAGGCCTACAGGAACGCGTTGGAAACCTATGAGGTTGTAAGCGACACCACGCCCATCCCTCTCATTGCTGAGGTGAAGAATGGCCAGCGCATGAGCAGGAGCGAGATACAAAAGATCAATAAACCCCTGGGCTATCTTAATAGGTCCATCGAGCGTTGCACAATCCTTCTAAGAAAGAATGAACTGGATAACAGCCATATCTCGAAAACATGGTCATACTTCGTGCAGGCAAAATCTGTCTTGTCCGATCCACAAAGGCTAGTGCCGACGAATGCGTGGAACGACCTGTGGGCCATCTTTTCTTGGGAGAGCGACAGAAACCCTCACCGCATGGCCCATATCCTCGGCCTGTGTGATGCAATGGCAGGGCAGGGGGTTCAATTGAGCGACGAGCAGCAATTGCTACAGATCGAGGCAACATATTCCGAGGGTTACGAGAAGGTCGCGACTGAGAATTGGATGAGGCTCTGCCCAACCCTTGGCAATAGTGATTCCTCTGCGATGGCTTTCTGGGAGCTGGGAGTACGTTTATGGTCACAACAAGGGGACACAGGGCGCGCGGAAAGGGCATGTCAAGCTGTTCTCGACCGGGCAAGTGCTTCGACCCCCGCGGATTCCCGCGTGCTCCTGCACCTCATAAAAGCATACGCCAGTTCGTTAGACCTCGCCAATGCGGAGAAGGGCTTCAGGTTGTATAGGCGCATGCGAGATCTCGCGGCACAGCTCGACAAGCCGATGGAAATTGACGACTATGACGATGTCATCTCGATCTTCCTTACAACGGGCCATACAGATTATGCGATGTACGCGTTCACGGACATGATATATTCGGGCACCGTCAATCTGTACGGTAACAAGAAGCTGCCCAGCTCGGTGAAGAACAATTTCTTCTTTGGCAAGTGGCTGAAGAGACTCATTGGTGCCAGAGATCTCGATGGGGCCTACAAGGTCCTTGTCTTCATGCAGGACAATGGCGTCATGGCCGCATCTGTACAAGTCAACGGTCTCATCGGGGCCTGGTTCCGATCGAGAACAGCAGAGAACCGCAAGAAGGCTGAAATTCTTGCGTGGTCCATGATTCACGCCCGAAAGGCTTTCGTTGACCTGCGCCAGCGAGAACGCAACGTAGATTGGCCCATCAGGCTCTACGACGGCCGTCCGAAAAACTCTGGGCACAAGGGCGATGACCTCGACTACACGATGGTGCCACGTGCAACTGCCGAGACATTCATCCTCCTGGCCGAAAACTATCGCGAGCGCGGCCTCTTCCGCCGGCTCGAGGAATTGTTCGTGGCGTATAAGGAATGCGAGATCGGCGGAGATGCCATGATGATGAACGAGCTGATCATGGCGGCGGCTGCACAAGGCGATGCGGAAAAGGCGCGGGAACTTTATGGTCTGATGGTGCACGAGCATTCCATCCTGCCCAACACGGACACATACGCCGTCCTGTTCAAGTCACTCCCCATCAACTCCCTCCGGGGAAGAGAGCTCCATCAGATCGCGCCCGAGCTGAGTGCCGAGTCACAGAGACAGGCGCGCGCCTTCTTCAGGGACATGATCAGCTCGACCGGCCTGCACCTGGAGAGGCGGCGCACACGCCACGGCGAACTGTCTGAGGCGCAGGTGAAGCTGATCCTGCACAGCTTCCGCAAGTGCGCCGACTGGGCCGGCATGATCGTCGCGCTCGTGAGCCTTCGGGACCTGATGCGCTTCAAGATCACGCGCAACGTCCTGCTGGAGATGATCGCCGAGTACGAGGGGATCGACCGCCCATCGGCGCGGTCGACCAAGCTCGTGATGCTGACCACGATGAAGCTGCAGACCATGATCGACAGAATGCAGAAGAGGCGGCTGCGAGAGCAGGCCCAGAACGAACGTGCAGGCGCGGGCACGGGCGAGGGCGAGGGCGTGGGGGTCGTCGATGCGCCCAAGAGCCCGAGCGAGGTCAAGGATCCACACGTGCTCTACGACATACTGCTAGAGTACTACTACAAGAAGGCAGAAGTGGATTATCACACCCCAAAAAAGTTGAAAAAGGCCTTCTGGAAAGCAGAGGAGGAGATGGGCGCTGCCGATATTGCAGCGTATGAACTTCCCCCTCCTGAGGACGAAGTGGATCTCACAGAGCTAGGGGAAGAGGTGCAACCAGTAGCAGGCGATGATGGGGAAGTGTACAAGCAGTTGTAAATAAATACCACACGAACAATATACCTCTCAACCAAATGACATAATAGAAGTCCATACAACACATCCTTGAGGTCACCGCTCTGGAAATATTCAACGTTTCATGGCAATCACCAGTATCAGTGTGACAACAATCAGAGCCGACTTTCAGCACCTGATTTGATGTATCAAGGGCAGATCATGTCAGATACATCATTCTGCTCGGATTCAATGCTTTTATGGCTGGCACACAGGCAGTGTCCTTGCCGTCGTCCTTCTAATGCTCTCTATGCGGTATGCCATAACGCCGATTCGCCGAACCCAAGTAAGCCGATGCCTTTGCTCCTGCTCGTCACAAGTCAAAGATTGCCCTCGCCATTCCTGTCACAACCCATCCCTCCGATTCCACCGCGTCAATTCGAAACCGTTTCGTTGATGGCATCTTTTGGTAGGGTCGAGTTCAGCCTAACGGCAGCAACGCGCTTAGCAAGATGTTCGGTAGCTGGGTCGTAATGGGGTGTATGAGAAGGGGAGGAAGAGCCGGAGCTGGAGTCCAGGTCCATCAGCTCCTCAAGGCCGCGTTTGGGGATTCTCTCACCAGTCGACTGTAAGATTGCCAGTAATGTCTGCCACCCTGTTGTTGATTTCAGCTGGAACGCATCCGCGAGGTCGTGGCCTGTTGCCACACGGCAGAGAAGGGCTTCCTCATCCTGTTCATAATTTTGGTCAGAAAAGGCTCAGAAAGAAGTGCAGCCACTGCCTGCTTGCTCACCTTGCTCAATATGCCCATGCCGTGCAGGAAGCACAGGAAGTGGAAGTTCGAGACGACGAGTTGTCCATTGTCTGACTTTGAGCTGGCCTTGAGCTTCTGCGCGACAGCGCTTGGGTCCTGAGCCTCGCCCATGTACTCGCGGTTCTCAACTGGGAAGCCCAAGTCCGTGAACGTCGGCTGTGCGTTGTCGGGAAAACCGTGAGTCAAGGTCACGAACAAGTACTCAACCGGGAAATCCGGTTTCGCGTTCTCTTGCACGTTGGCGCCGTATTCGTTGATCTTGCGGTAGAACACCTCGGGTATGTACCGTGTCCGGCTGGTTGACCCATCGTCTTCCTCCTCCTCCTGCACCAGCATTCTTCCAGGATCAGCAGAAGGCTCGATGATGTTGGCCCTGACCATCTCCACGGCGTCGTTGGTCATTTGGTATGCACTGATTTCAATACCACCCTCTCCGTTACCCGAGATGACGCAGGTGACAAAGTCCGAGCCAAAGCGACCCGTGTCACTCCACTTCGAAGGCTTTGGGTGCTGTGCTTGCAAGCGGGAGGCGAAAGTGATCTCCTGTGACGCGATGTAATACGAGTCCTCGTGTCGCTTGCACACCACAGTCCCGTCTCCATTTCCCGCGTCGAGAAGATCGGTCCATATCACACCAACTTGTTGCAAGCCGCACAACCTCGCAACATCTGTAACCTCCTTCTCGTTCTCCCAAGGGTTCAGGTTGATCCCATCTATCTCGTCCACCTGCGGCGGCTCATAAATGGCTTCCACCACAGCTTTGATCCCCAGCGGAACGACCTCGTATTCTTCGTACCTGCCGTACAAGAAGCCTAGCCGCTGAGTCCCGGTCATGCGCCAAGCGTTCAGGAACGTGTCGATGATGGCTGGAGAGGCAAACTCGACGTGGTCGACCATCCGGAATTGCTGGGGCTGCAGCGTGATAGCACTCGGCTGACATTTCGTGCAGATGCCTTCCGGCCACTGTGGGTGGCCTGAGGGACAGTCGCGTTTGACCCGGTAGTATGGTTCGACGAGGGGAGGAATGTAGGAGCTGCCCAACTCGGGCTTGTTCTTGTCTGCGTTGATCTTCTTGAGGTATGCATGGAATGACATATACTTGATCTTCTTCTCGTTGAGGTACTTAGAGTCGAAAGGGTCTAGGGGCTGGCAGTAATCACACATGCCCTTGGGGCCGTGGCGGCACATGGTATCCATCTTCCGAGGGATCTTGCCGGTCTTCTTGTCCAGGGAGTCGTCGAGCTTGGACTGCACGACGACCTCCCATGGATTCTTGATCCTCTCGTTCGGCGAGGTCAGGGGCGGTGGGTCGATGGGGAGGTCCTCGGTCGGTAGGATGGGCTTCCCATTCAGTCGGTTCGTAGAGGATGCCAACGGCGCCTTGCCCTTGTCTGTGTCCCCGTTCGCATTGCCATTGCCCATGACCTGGGCATGTTGGTATCTTATGAAGACCACGTCGCCATGTTTGAGACCAGTCTGGGCAACATTCACATGCCCTACTTCAGCAACAGTCTTGTAGTCGTTGCCTCCGGGTGCGTTGGAGAAGGTAATCGTGGTGGGATCGACGGTGGGTGGGAGTTCGGCCAAGAACTTGGTGGCAACGTCTGCAAAGGAGTCCGTCTCTTTGACATTGATGCGCAGCATGCCATCAGGCCCACGGATTCTCAGCAACATCGCGGTGACTACCAGTGGGTGGATGTAGTGAAAAGAGAGGGAGTCAGAAGACGGGGTGGGTGATGACTGCGGGACAGTAGGAGCCTCGGGGCTATGGAAATTGAGGACAAGAAAACGGTTCAAGGCAGGCAGCTTTTGGGAGTGTAGGTTGTTAGGAGGGTGGTTTAAGACCAAGGCTGGTGTTTGCTGGTTAAGTGCCTAGTCAGTATTCCTGCTTTGTAAACAAGTAGATCAGATCATTGAAGTGATGTGCCGGGTGAAAGCTTGCCTGGCCCCTCCTCCGGTGAGCAGGTGAAAATGGGTGGGGGAGACGGCCAGAGCTCCCGGGGCAAAATGGCAGCTCTCAGGTTTCGTCATTGCTATTGCCTGCTCGAGCACGGACCTGCAGAGGCACCTACACGGATGGATAGACTAGGTACCTACTAGAGCAAGTCTCGGCATTAATAAGGCCAGGTACAGCTACAGCTCCAGCTCCAGCAGGTATGCCACTCACAAAGTCATGTGTTGGTACTTACGTTCGCCGCCTTTTTTGTTGGGCATCCCCTATCAATCTTACGTGAACCAGCCCGTTTGCGACCCGTTTGCGGATATCAGGCTGGTCAGGTTGGAGCTATCCGTGTGTCTAAGTGACTGGCACTGACAGGTACCGATGTACCTAATTGGGGTCTGTCCGCCCGGCAGGCACCAAACAGCCGGCACCAGGTTGCACACCTAGCGCTGGTGGCACTGCGTCCGCTCGGTGGTGCTGTGGTAAACCTGTCTTTTTCTTTGAATACGGTCACTTTGGCTTCCCCATCCTCTCCTCAAGGTGAACTTCCCACCCTTCAAAGACAGACGTGCCGGCGCACTTAATTCTACCCCGGTATTTATTGTCGCTCACTTCTGTCCACATCTCATCTTCTTTATTGAAACATTTTCCTTTCGAGACCCCACCTGTCTTCGTACTCTGATTGCCCTGCGCCATGTTCTCCCTGGATTGGAGGGGACTCATCCTCCCTATCGCTTACATACTGGTTTTGGGCGGGACCTTTATTACATTTTCAAGCGTATACAGGAAGCGCAAGGCTGGTGAGTGCCTCTTGAGTACCCAAATTTCTATGTTCCGGCACCAGCTGACAGACGCGGCAGCACAAAAAGCAAACCTCGAGCCATGGTTCGGCCCACACTTGCAACGAAATGTCTACCTATCGCTACTCCATCTAGAGCCTGAGGAGGGCCAAGAAAAGGCCCCTCAAGTCCCCCAGAGTATCCTCCGGGCCGCCCTCATCCGCCGCGCAGTCGAGGACATCCACCGTATCATCCAGATCCGCACGGCTAAGCAGGCATGCTCGACTTTGCTGCAGAGAGGAAGCGTTGGCGATGACTTGTGGCAGAGGTTCACGCGCGCTGAAGGCGAGATGGAGGCTGAGCTGCGCGACGTAGTTATGGAGGTGCGTTTGAGACATGAGACACATGGATTGCCCTTTCAACAAGTTCCCTTTGTGCTGACCGACCTTTGTCCCCTTCTAGGCCAATGGTCTCGCGCCCAACTGGGGCCAGAGTATCTTCCAGACCGCGAACGAGATTGCCGCAAACACGATGTTCCAGAAGAAGCTCGAGGAGATAACCGCCAGGACAGACGCCGAGAAGGAGTGGTGGGAGAAGCGCCGCGCCGCCATCTCTTCCGATTTCATGAAGGAGCTCGACGAGGATGGCGAAAAGTCGCAGGCCACGGCCCCGAGCGACGACGGCATCCTGGTCGACGCGGGCACACCGGGCGAGGGCACAGGAGCTTCCAAGAAGAAGAAGGGGAAGAAATAGGGCAAATCCCCTCGCAACGGAAGATCCGGCGCTCGGAAGAGGACTTGAGCGTGTACGACGGGGCCGAACGCTACCTGGCTATCGGTGGCGTACCTATAGAAGGGCCCTATCCCATGGACAGTCTGGCCGTGGACATTGTACAAAATTCACATTAGTTCTTGCGGGATCCCAAGCTCGGCATTCAAGCTCGGCATTCACGGCATTTCTACGGTTGCGCGGCGTTCAAGGCTTACTATCCGTCTAGATAATCTCGAATCAGACACCATGGTTGTTGGGGCTAACAGAGGACATCAATTGATAAATTCGTGCTACGAAAAATCGGACTAAATCACCGCGACTCCTGGCTATGGGACATATCTTTGATAATCTCGAGATATTATGTGACAATCTCCAAAATGCTAGACAGGCGAAGGAAATCAACGTGCGACGCTAGATGCGGATCAGGATGAGGCTTGAAATAGAGACAGGATTCGAAGGCTTCCGGGCGAGCGGTTACTACCGATACCACGGTAACTTCCTCCTCGCTGCCTCGTCCTCGTCTTCCCTCATTCTGGCTTGTCTGGCTTCCTCCATGATTTCGTCCTCGGTCTTGATATGTAATGGCGTCTCGCACTTATCTCACTTAACTGTCAGTCTTCAGCCTCTTTTCGAGTTCTTTTAACAACGCCATCTCGCGCCAGGGGTCTCTGCAGTGAAAGGGGAAGGGGAGGAAGAAAAAAGATTACTCACGCCTCTAAGCCCGATGAACTTCCCGATCTTCCTCCGCTTCTCCTCGATGCCCAGCCCTTCCTCCCAGGTTATGGGGCACGGATAGTGCCGCGTCCACTGGCACGGCGTCCGCTGGTGGTAGAAGTGCGCGATCTCGTCCAGCTGAGCGTCCGTCAGGAGCCAGAAGTTGAGCAGCGTCGGCGGGAAGCTAGGGTGGACCTGCCCGCTCGTCAGCTGGACGAGCGGCGCGAGGGGGAGCGACATCTGCCTGAGCTTCGCCTCCAGTGCCTCGTTGCGGTCCGCGCGGCGGCTGCCCACGCTGCTGCTGCTGCTGTAGCTGCCGCCCAGGGGGATCCGTGGTTGGGAGGGTGATGGCGGGGGCTGGTGCTGCTGTGTGCCCTGGGGGCCGTTGTTCCAGTTGCTCATGGTTGAGTGTTTGGATGGTAGGTAGGCAGAGATGGTATTTTTCTTTTCTTCAGATGAGGGAGAGTCGAGAATTTGGTATTACCAGAAAGGGTCTGTCAAACCGTAATGCTTTAAATAGAAGAGATCTGGGAAGCCAAAAAGAGCGAGCTCCTTTCATCAATAGTCAAAACAGTTGGAAGGCCAAAGAGAATGATGGATGGATGGTGTGAGTTACAAGAGACTGTGTGTCAGTTGGCTAAGGCTATCGCTGTGCCAGCAGCAACAATCTATTTGTTCCCTTTTTTGTGTCGAGTGAGCAGAACCGTGAATCAAATCGGTCCTCTGGTAAAACGCCAAATCGTGATCAGTGCAGATCGAGGAGGTGTGTCTGATTCTGCGGGCTTACGAGTGCTACTTGTAAGAGCGCGACTACAGGAGTTGGTCTTTGTTGGGTTTCTCGGGTCACCTCATTAGAGGTATTCTTGAGGGGGGGGGGTGTGCAAAAGGGTCCAGCCGTTTCTAAGAGGTCCTCGGACCTCCTTTGTGTCTTTTATACTGGCCATGTGAGCCACACGGTTCCTTAAATTCTTCGGCCGCAGTGACCGTCAATGAAAGCACCTTTATGAGGTGTGAGACATCATGACAGCTTTGGAAGTCAAGCCGCCAAATGGCCGGGAACTACGTTTAGTGTCATCCGCAATAGGACAAATCCAACGAGTGCAGGCCCTTTCCTAACTGTCTAAGCCGGAGGGCCATTCCTCTTCACGTGAGAAGCTACCAGTCACAAATCTTTCCCCATCATACCAACCCCCTGATAAGGCATCACAGCCATTTCAGTCTAGCAATGTGATCGGCTCTCTTCTTAGTCGGCTTAACAAACCCCATGGCCTTCAGTTCCGCAAGGCCCTGGTAAAAGAGAACCAACGCAGCACGTTCGTCAAAGCCGTCTTCGCCACGTGGTTTGGTCGATTTGGTTTTCGGTTTCGATTTCGGGTCCTCGTCCTCGTCGTCACCACGGCCAACGAGCGCGTAGAAGGCAGACCATAAGTCAGCGACATTGACCAGCGCTCCCGCTTCTCCGTACAGGTGATACAGGATTGACGTCGCCGGCAACGTGGAGGCGTTCCCATCGGCTGCGCTACAGCAAGCGCAAGCCAGGTAGTCATTAGGCTTCGAGAGGGCACGCTCAAAAACAACCCCAGGTCGCGGAATAAATACATCTTTATGAGGCGATATGGACTCGTACATCCACAGTTCATGAAAGAGGATTGCGTCTGCGGGTTGGCATGATATTTCTGCAGCCAGAGATCTCACGAGAGCGTCGACCAGTTCTGTGAAGGCCTTGTCCTCCTCTGACAGGCTTGTCTCATCCCGGCTCAGTTGCACCTTCTGTGCCACGACCGTAGTTCTGAGTAGCCTGGTCTGGGTATTGTACTGGCTGCGCAAGGGCTTCCCCGTTAGCTGTGATTGAGCTTGAAGCGAGGCAAGTCGCTCCAGCATGTCGGATAGAGCGTGCACGAAGTTCTTCTCTTCAGTGGCCCATCCTGACATGCCAAGCTCCCGGTCGCCGCTCCGAATTGTGTCCAAAAGACGCTGTAGAAGCGACGAAATTTCATCAGGAGACATTCTCTTCATCACATCCAGAAGACCGCTCTTATCAGAATGCAGATCAATGCCATCATCAAGAGCGTTTGTGTATGTGGCGATGAAGCTTTCCTGGAGGAGCCCGCTAGCATCAAGTAGTGATAGTGACCTGAGAAGCTGAGTTTCCCATTTCGCTGTGACTTTGACGGCTGTCCTTTGCTGCTCGGCCAGGAGATAGGCGTCATCATCCAGCAGTGATCGTACGTGCTTTAGCCTTCCGGCTTCGAGAGAATTCTCGATATGAGACCGGAAAGATGGAAGATTACGAAGCGCTTCAAGGTGCTCCGGCTGTGGCTTGATCTCCGAGAGAAGAACTGACAGAGGGTTGGCGTAGAAGTGGCACATATAAGCGTACTGCAGATTGTGAGTTCCTTGGTCTTCATTAATACCAGATCGGGTACTTACCTTCAACGAGTTCATGAATATCTGTCTCCCGGCAACTTGGCTCTGCTGCCGCTCGATCAAGTCACGAAGCAGGCCAGGGCCGATAATCAACGGGTTGGCTCCATGGGCCACGGCAGCCTTGAATATGTTCTCGAGAACAGATGACATCTGCACGACATCGAATTGGGCGCCATAGAGATTTTGGCTGGTCGACTTCGGGAGCCGGGCCTGGAAGAGTTCAACCGAGGTTGCAATCCCGAACAGGAGAGTGAACGGAATCCTATCTTTCCATGACCTAAGATACTGTGTCAGTTGCAGGTTCTCATGATTAATGGGGCAGAAGACTCCATACTTGAACAGGGCGATCAGATCGGACAAGAGGCCGGTATCAAACGCCTCACTATCCTGGAAAGCAACAATGACTTGTTCTGCCTCATGATGTTTGACGTGTGCATGCAGCGCCTCCAAGTCATAATCGAGATATTTGCGACCCTGCTCCAGGAGATCCCATCAGTCACATTCTCAAATCGAGATCCATAATTTGTCTTTGACTCACATCCCTCCCTACGGAGAGTTCGGCATCCTCTCCCACATGCTCGGAAGACCGTTGCGTGCCATCGCGAATGATCTTCTTCAGCGTCGCCTTCAAATTCGGCGCTTCCGCCGACTGGAGTCTGACAAAGGTACCCTTAGCAGAGCCTCCCAGGTCTTCGGCTAACTGCTCGAATAGGAGGTCTTGAGACGAGATGTTCGGTCCGGTAACAATAAGCGCCGCTCGGATCTTGGAATCCCCGTCCGCGGGGGCCTCGCCTACGAATGATGCAACTGCATCCAAGGTGCTGCGGTTTGACTCCTTCAGAACAAGCTATACAACACAACAAAGTCAGCACGCCTGTGATTTGGCAAGTTCACATTCTGAATGACTTTGACGCACCTGCATTCTCGCATCGATGGCGGTCCAGGCATCGGCGAACAACGCTTGCCTTAAGTTCACAAACTCGGCATTCTCTACCCCATGAAGCAGTGGTACAAACTCTGACGCAGGCTGGGAATGGGCGCCAGGTTTGGATTTCACCGGAGCTGACTTTCCAGAGATCTTTCTGCGTTTCGCCGGACGTGAGGCCCGATCAATCCCGTCATCTTGCCCAAAGATGAAAGCTGCCTGGATAGCTTCTGTTAGCAGAAAATCAACCGCAAACTGGGCAGAACTCACTCTGTGATCATCGTGGGTGTAGCCACTCTCGTCGGCTTCCATACTGGCTGCTTTCCATGCGGGGGTGGAGGTGAGCGTGAAAGCGAAATGAAAGGAGCCGGATAGCCTCCAGCCCCTTGCACAGCGAGACGCGAGGTAGTCGCGTCTGCTTGGGAGACGTATGTTACGTAAGAATCACCCCCCGTAGTTTTCATCAACGTGAGGCCAGCAGCACAATATCAAGGCAAGCGCGGCCGCAAGCAGTCTTTTTGCCACCGAGTCTGGTGTTTTGTTCTGTCATTTGATTCGTACTTGATACCGGCCGAGCTAACTGCATTATCCCAATGAATTCACGACCTTTTTTGCTCGCAAAAAGATGATGCCTTGCGCCTCTAACAAAAAGCGGCACCCTCCTTTTCTCAGCAGCTTGCTGCCTGCCAGGTTGTCGTTCTAGGTCCTGCAGAAGAAACTATTATGGTTCTCTGCACCCGCCCGTCCCCGGCCACCCGCCTAAACCAATTTGTTCTCTCGCTAAGGGCAATGCTCCCTGGAATTGCCATCAAGACAAACGTCTCCCGGTCTCGCCCGGCCTAGAACCATATGGGAATGATCGCAGTCCCCGAGAACACCAGCCCACTTCATCCTTGGCCCTTTCGCGTGTAAAGCATAGAACGGAGGTACTTATTTTACAAAAAACGCCGTCGTTCTCAGTCCCAGAGCAACAGTGTGGTCCACTATAACCCACTCCTAACCGTTGATGTTGCCAGTCCTCAAGCCGTAGTCTCAACAGCCTCAGCAGCCTTGACATTCTGTGACTGATTAGCGACCTACGTTCATAGTAAGGTTTGATTGGGCCATCGAGCAAAGACAGGACGCAGAGCTTGATAGTTGAAGTGAGCACTCTCGGTAGCGTCCACAGATGGATTTCTCGAGGACAACGCCCGGAAGACCGGGCACAACAGAGTAAGAGAAGCGCAATTATGACACACGTACCTCTTCAGCAGCTGGCTTTCCCTCGGCGGCAGCCTCTTCCTTTGTATCATCCTGCGCATCCTTCTTCTCCTGCTCCTTGATCTCGGCTTTGCTCTCCTCCGGAACCTCAGCCTTGGCCTCGGACTCCTCGGTGTCGGCCTTCTTGACGCCATTGACGCCCGTCTTGGCCTCCTCCTTGACCGGACCTTCAGAGTGACCGTTGACACCGTTAGCTTCCTCGGGTGCTGCAGAAGCAGCGCCGTCCTCTGCTTGCAAAAGCTTGTTCCACTTCTCAAGCAAAGCCTGCGATCGGGGCTTGAAGTTGAACTCTTCTTCCTTGGGAATCGAGTCCAACTTCAGCATAGCCTTCAGCACCTTGTTGATCTTGGTCGCCCGGATAATCTCGGTTTCGAGATCAGGAAATTGCTCAAGCTTCACCAAGTAGTCTGAGAGCACTTTAACCTCATCTTCCTTGGGCAGCTGGTCTCTCGTCAGGAGACCCTTCTGGAGCTTGTGGCGAAGGAAAAGAACCTCCTTCTTCTTGCGCTCAAAGCGGTCCTCGGCGCTCATCTCGGGCTCTTTCGGAGACTGCGCCTTGTCTTCTTCGTCGGCCTCCTTTGCAGGCTTCTTTGCCTTCTTAGCCTTCGCCTCACCACCGGCCTTGGCGGACTTGGGAGTGGCGCCGTTGGCAGTCTTGGGCGTCGCATTATTAGTGAGCTTGATCTTCGGCTTCTTAACCGACTCGGAGCGCTGGGGTGTCTCGGAGTCCTCGGTATTCTTGCGCTTCTTCTCCGACTTCTTGGCCTTGGCCGTGGACGGTTCGTCGTCAACGTCTTCCATCTCGACATCCTCGACGTCGGCTGATGACTTGGCCTGCTTCTTGGACTTCTTTGGCGTGGCGGCGGCAGCTGCTTTGGCCTCAGCGGCCTTTTGCTTCTCAATGAGCTCCTCCTGGAATTGTTGCAGGAGGTCCTTGTAATAATCCAGGTCGTGCCCTTCAGCGGCAATTTGGTGGGCTAATTGGAGATCTTTGCGCATCTTCGCAGTGATCAGGTCAGCTACCTTCTCGGGGTCGAGGTCGACCAAGTCCTTGTTTGAGACCCAGCCACTGCGTCATAATGTTAGTCGGGATGCCAACTAGCTAATATCGCTCTAGAGATTGGGAGATTCCTCACAATTCATTGGTCGCGAGGTACATGATGGGAAATGTTCGGTCGGCGGCGCGCTTCCCACCGTCCGCGAAGTCCTCACGGTAGGTCCCATCAGATCTCGCGGCGCTCACAGGTCGCGTCTTGATAAGTGCATGGGGCAGCATATCCTCGTCGCAGATGATGCATGGCCATTGTGGGTAGCCCTTGAGCTTGATGAAAAAGTGCTGGCCTGGCTGCGCATCGATGTGTGTTATGGCGGCCCGGGAACCCTTCTTGTTCAGCTTCTTTCCCTTAGCGCTGTCAGCACCGGCAGTCGACTTCCTGCGCACGGGAGTCTTGGTCTTGGAGGCATTGGGTGCGGCAGCTTTGGCGTCATCTCCGCCGGCGTTCGGTCCTCCAGCATCAGCCTGCTCTGTCTTGTCCTCAGTAGAAGCTCCCTCGGCGGGAGGGGAGGTCGTCGCGTCTGGTGCGTCCTTCATCTCGACGTCGCCGTCTTCAGTGGGTTTCTCGGCTGGGATTTTGCTTGGCTCTGGTCAAGTTGACGCGACGGTCAGCAGATGATCACATTCGCGAGAGTCGGTGCAGGTGCAGGCGTAGGCGAAAAAGAGTTTTTACCTTCAGCTTGTTTGGGTGTCTCGTCCTCCTTAGCTGGCTCGGCAGCTTCCTTCTCAGCCTTCTCCCCGGTAGGATTGGGACCCTCGGCTTTCGCCTCAGCAGCTGCAGAATCAGGCGCGTCGGTTACCTTTGTGTCAACAGTGTTGTTGTCAGCTGCACTGTTGACCTCTGCAGTAGGCGCAGCAACAGGTTGCGCACTGCCCTCGTCAGACATAGTGAGGATGGTTGGGCGACGTGATGCCTGGGCGCGTTGGGGGGAAACAATGCCGGGGGTCGATGCGAAACGGCGTGAATGCACGCGTTATTCGCGTTGAGGATGGGTGGGGATGGAAAAATTGATGCAAGTTGATGACAAGGGTGCACGATAAGTGGCCAAGATGATGCGATGGAAGGAGGAAAACAGATGGTGACAGTGGACGAGCAATGTCGGTGCTGGTCCGGTCTATCTTGTTGGAGTGGAAAGTTGGAGACGAAAAGATTGGCGGCGACACCGTTTGATGGCAGTGAAGGCGCAGAGCTTTGGCACGCACGTGACGTAACGTAACGTAAGTCAATGGAAGGCGGGAGGCGGAGGCGGAGGCGGAGGGATAACTCTGGATGGGCAGAGAGGGAGGGAGGGAGCAAGCAGGAAACGGTGGAAGGCTGGAGACGGCCGCGCGCAGTGCCCAGGTGAATTGAATTGGATGGGTACGTGCTGGGGTTCGCGGTGCTGGGCTTGGGACTTGGACCGGGACTGGGACTGGGGAGAGCTGATTTTCGTTGGTGGGTACCTGCCTGTCGAGCTTGCGAAATCCTATCTGCCAACTGCCCGTACTGACCCAGGTAGCACACACCCTACATGCCACAGCACACAGCAAAGTCTGCCTGATGCCCGAGCTTGCTCCTGACGCCCCCTTCCACGCCACTCCATCCGTTTCGTCACCCAGACCACTCCCCGTCAAAGCACAAGAGCACCGTCTCTGGCACCGTAGATGCCCTCCGCACACGGCACCATCGCCATCGAAGCCCTCCATGCCACCACCCCTCTTCCTCCAAGACTGCCCACGCCTCCTTCGAGGTCGGCCTCGTCATCACCCTCCTCCTTGGCCACCTGGTGCTGCAGCGCCTGGGCTGCTCAGACGGCCATTCCACATCTCCGAACTCCGTGGCTGACTATCTCACATGCCCAGTCAAACGGATAGAGACTGGCTGATTGTCCCACTGTCATAGACCCCACCGTCAAGAGGAAGGGGGAGGGGTTGCCCAGGCATCCCCCAGGCAGGTAGTCGTGAGGGCAGTGCCGCAGCGGTCACGAGCAGGAGGGAACGTAAGACACTTTTTGAAATGACTGAGTTTCTGTTGCGTACTTGCCTACTGTTGTCCAGCATAGTCCTCCAATATGATAACCCGTCAACATTTCGAATCCCCGGGTAGGTGAGGCCCAGCCGCCCGTCGAGTTTGCGTTCCGTTCGTCGATCGCCCTCACTCGTCCTCGTCCTCGTCCTCGTCCTCGTCATCCTCGTCAACTTCCATGCCTTCCGCCACCGTCACTTCGAAACTGGGCTCCTGATCGACTCCAATGTAGCTATCGCTCATCAAGAAGAGCTTGAGTTCATGCTTGCCGGGAGTCGGCACCGTGAACTCCAGCTTGACATTCAACTTGAGGCCAACAGTCACGCGCTTGATTGCTAGGAGCGTCTTTGTGCTCTCATCGCCCACCACAAGCCACCAGTTCTCCAGTTTCTTTCCTGGATAGAATGGCGCGTGGACCACGGTGTCGATTTCATCGCCTTCCTCAACCTCACGCTCGATTTGGATGTTGAGATAAGAGGCCTCACCAGCACGGAGGTTCTCGGGGTCCTCGACCTCAAACTCTAGCGAGACGTCGGGGTACTTCTGGTTGGTGAACTTAGCCGCGTCTTCCAGTTGCTTCTGCGAGAGACCCATGGCCTTGACTAGCTCGCCGTACTGGGAGTTTTCCTCGGGGTTCATGGCTTCCATGAAGTCAAAGACATCCTTGACCCCGAAGCTGTTTGCCGCCTTGACGACTTCCGGCGTGAAGTGGGGTATCTGCTTCAGTGGGCTGTCGCGGTCCCACATCGCCTGGACCACCATCTGGGACATTTCCATGGCGTTCATGGCGTTGAGGTGCCCATCTGACGAGAGGATGTCTACGGTCGCGCTCAGAAGGCTGACAACCTTGGAGACAATTGTTTCCTGGTCCTTCACCAGGTCAATCGGAAGCTGCATCCTGGAGAAGTGGGCCTGCAGCAAAACGAACGCCCTGAAGTGAGGCGAGTCGTAGTCTGGCTGTGCCATCTTGACAGGCACACGATCGTAGATACGACGAAGCAGACCATCCTCGTGTCTCCTGATTTGTATTGCCTCGAACTCGGTGGCTGAGGTGACGATTTCGAGGATCCCCTTGAGCTTCGTGCGGGCACTGAGAGACAGAAGGAACGTCTGCATAGTGATGTAGGAGATGTTGTAATAAGCACCGATCATGGCAGCATTCTGGGGCGTTACCGAGCCGTCTTCCTCATCAAACTCGATGATCTTTGACTCGTCAAGTTCCCTCAGCGTCGTTTCGACAAGGTCAGACAAATATTGACTGAGCCCATCTTCTGTGGTGTTGGTCAAGCTGTAGAAGCTGGGGTTGGCCAAGAGACGCCGGTAGAAGTATGTGAATGTCATCCAGGCTATGGCGTCGTCCCCAGATTCTACCATGCGAGTGCTAATCTCCGTAACGAAAGCATCGTGCAGGTATGAGTGCAGATGTGACTCAACTGGTAGAGCCTCGTTGAGGAACTTCTTGTAGTACTCCCTCTTGACGCCAGGCAGCATCAGAACCCCGCGGCCGCGGCCATCCTTTGACGATTTCAGAGCTTTGCCGAACATTTGCAACACGTCTGTCATAGGATAGTCCACGTAGCGGTGCTCACGACCTTCGAAGTACTGCGTTCCCATCACGACGACAAGATGTGCGGTGCAATCAAGCTCCCAGCAGACATCACGGGATGCCACCAAGACTTGTATAGCGCCGTTGTCGTAGAGGTATTTGACGATTCGCTTATCATCGGTGCTGAGAGCCTCGTGGTAGTAACCGACACCATGAGACAGTGCCTCGGCCAGTGCTTCTTCACTAACACGCTCCAAGAGGGGCTTGATCTGCTCCACCTCGACATGAAGAAATCTGTCCTCGTCGTCTTCAGCCAAGCAAGCGGTGAGGATGTCTCGAGTGGTCGCGCGTGTTTGCTTCCTGTTCGGAACAAAAACTAGCGCAGGCTTGTCCGGGGACATCTGAGTGATGGCAAGGTAAGTCGGCCGTGCCATCGCCAGCATGAGTGAAGGGAAATGGGGGATTGTGTAACTCTGGATATGAAGCTCCAAGGGCACGGGGCGCACGTGTGGGCTGAAATTGTAAATGTCGTGCTGCTTGGCTCCAATCCACTCTCCGATGTCTCTTGCATTAGCAAGTGATACACCAAGACCGACAATCCTCATTGGCAACTCGGTCTGAGTCCGGATGTAGTGCATCCTGGAGACGATAGTTTCGTATATGTAGCCCATGGAGCCACCAAGGAGCTGCAACTCGTCTGCAATGAAGAGCTCGACAGTCTGCACATTCTTCCTCCTCTTCCATTGCCTGGAGAGAACGTCCCACTGAGTTGGGGTCGCAAGAACCAGGTCTGCGGCCTCCAAGATCTTGATATCAGCTACCGTTTCGCCAGTCAACTTCATGATGTCCTTGCCACCCTTGAGCGCAGACAGACGCTTCTGCCAATCCTGAAGCCGAATGTCTACTAGCTCCTGGAAGGGAGCGATGTAAACAGCGCGACCCGCATCAGACTTGGACCAGAGATGGAGAAGGGCAAACTCTGCACACACAGTCTTGCCACTCCCTGTTGGTGCACCTATAAAAACGTTGTTGTCTGTGGCGTACAGAGTGTTGAAGGTCTGGGTCTGGACTTTGTTGAAGTATTGCCACTGAGGATATAGAGCCGCGTATTCCTTCACCTTAAGAGCAAATGGTGGCAGAGGCTGCAGATCCAGAAGTTCGGTATGAGGTGGGAACTTCTCGGGCAGTATGAGTTTCTGGAATGAGACTGCAACACGTGTCTCGGAATGCATCCATCTGTCAGAGACCACGGAGATGAAGTAGTTGGGCGGCATGGGCTCGGTAATCGGAACTGTAAACTCAACGATGTGCTCGTTTGTCTCCGATTCGGCATAGTCCTTGCGCAGAAGGAATGTGTCGTGGAAAAGGATCTCTTCGCCATCGCAGTCTTCGACGAGAATCCAGAAGCTTTCAGCAAGACCATGCACTTCCTCATCCCATTCGAAATTGGGCGAGATCGTGAGCTCAACGCGAAGCATGGATCTTGTAAGTGGTTGGATCTGAGCCTGCACTTCGACCCTTGGGAACTTGTTTACAAGCCCAACAACTGTCCTACCAGCTTTGGGCATCCCCAAGAGCTCGCCCATGCGTGGTGGATCCAGGTCGAAGAAGCTGCTCCAAGGAACCTCGGTACGCTCTGCTTTCTGCACAATGTCCCTCGGGCAATTCGGGAATTGGCGCAACGGCGTCATCGTGGGCCACATCCGCTTCTCTGCCATCTTGCACAGATTCAACGCCGTCTTCGCCACAGAGGACCAGCCCTTCTTCAGCGCAATCTCGAAGATAGCTCTGAGGATACGCCCTGCGGATTGCGTGACGTAGACCATGTCGGCCATCAGAGCCAAGCCATCAAGTTTGAGGCGAGAAATATACGCCTGCAGAAGGACATTGATCTTGCAATGTGGCTCTTCAATGCTCTCCTTGACAGGTATTGGAACTCGTCCCAGCAGCTTGGCAAGCTCGAGCTTCTCTTCTTGGCGGACCGGGATGTATTTGAACTCCGCGCTGAGGGAAAACACCCGGAAAAGCTCAATATTGGTGATAGATGGCTGGATGTGCGTGTTGTAGGTCTCCATGGAACCGTATGTGATGTAATAGTGCGAAGCAATGCGCCCCAGTTCAGTCGCCTGCATGCGTCCGGCCTTCTCATCATATTTGACGAGGTTCGCCTTACGGAGAACGTGGGCTGCAGAATGAATGAGATCAACCCGCTTCTGTTCCAGACCCTCGTCATCTTCGTATTCGACGCCAACACTGTAAAGACCCGGCGATCTCAGCATCCTCACGAAGAGATATGTGTAGCCAAGCCAGTCCACACCCTCATCTCGAGAGCGCACGTTGCCAAGCACAATCTCCGCGTTCAGGTTGTCGACCAAACGACTAACCAGCTGGCTTTCGATGGGCAACTGTTGATTCATAAGTGAAAGATAATACTGCATCTCACTCTGAGTGGTGATAATGATGCCCTCACCAAACGTATCGTACTGAGGCCGCCCAGCACGACCCAGCATCTGAAGGACATCTTGCGGGCTGAGCTCGACCCAGCTACCTTTCTCTGGAGAGTAAACTTGCGTTCCCTTGATGATGACCGTATGTGCAGGTAGATTGACACCCCAAGCGAGCGTGGCTGTGCAGACCAGCACTTGAATGTGTCCTCCCTCGAAGAGATCCTCTACGTCGGTCCTATCAGCTCGGCTCATGCCAGCGTGGTGGATGCCAAAGCCGTAGGGCAAGATGTCCTTGAGGTCCTTGTCCGTCGCTTCGTCTGCCGTGGCTTGCAGAATCTCTCGGCTTCCAACGTCGCTTTTGAGGATCTGATTGATGGTATCCATCTCGAGCGCTTTGTCACGGATATAGCGGGCAGTCTTTGCGGTCTCTTTGCGAGAGTGCACGAAGATGAGCATCTGGTTGCGGTTCTTGCCCACATGCTCCAGCACTTTGTTGTAAGTAACGTCGTTCATGACCTTCAGCTGTTTGATGGCCTTCCTTTCGGTCACGCCAATGAATTCTTGGCGTAGGGGGCAGGGCCTATATGATCCATCGAAATGGAACATGCCTTTTTGCGGGTCGACCCGAAGGAAACTGGCGACGTCCTTATAGTTTGGAAGTGTCGCTGATAAACCGAGGATCCTGACCGGTTCTCCAGTCTGTTCAGTCTTTCGGATTGTGCGGGAGACGATGCTTTCGAGGACGGGCCCACGGTCATCGTGAAGAAGATGGATCTCGTCGATGCAGATCAAGCGCACGAGGTTGGTATAAGAGGTGTCGGTCGCTTTGCGAGTGATGACATCCCACTTCTCGGGCGTGGTGACAATGATTTGAGTCTCGGCAATTTGTTGCTTGGTGAGTTGACGATCACCAGTCAGCTCGGAAACCTTGATTCCATAAGGAGCCAATCGACTGCCGAAGTTGCCTACTTGCTCTTGGACCAGAGCCTTCAGAGGCGCGATGCTGACAATCTTGAACGAGTCCAAATCAATCTCTCCTGTCTCGGGATCCCGATGCTTGCCAATCTCTCGCAACATTGCTAAGAATGCAACGTTGGTTTTTCCGGATCCTGTAGGCGCACAAACTAGCATGTTCCCGTCGTCTTCAAAGGCCGACGGGTAGCATTTAGACTGAATCTTGTTGAGAGATTTGACAGACTTGAAAGGTTCGCGCGCCCATTCAGGTATCTCGGAGATGGGCACCAGACTGTCGCTTGGGTCACTACGCTTTTTGGGTGGCGGAACGTGTATTTCTTCATAGCCCTTTCCAGCCCGTTTTGTGGAACCCTCGGGGAGTCGCACCTTGGGATTCGTCATCAAGTGATTCCCCTGGTCAAAGACGAGGTTTTCCAAGTTGATGAGTTTCTTGGGTTGGAGGCCGCCTATGAGCTGGCCCTCCGGGCGCTCTGGCTTCGACTCCTGCTTGTGTTCGGGCTGGTCGAGATCCATCTTGATCTCCAACTTGCCCTTCTTCTCCTCGCCTGTCTTTCCGTGAAGCTCGTCGAGAATCCACTGCAAGCCTTCAGAGACCATTTCGCGTTCGAGAGTCTCACGAGCCTGGGTGTTCTCTGCTCGAGCGATCCTGGTGAGCCATACGACCTTTTCCCTGTTCGAAATGAGTTCTTGGACAATTTCGTGGTGCTCGTAGTCGAACAGTTCCATGAGGTCGTTTTCGATTTCTCTGAGCTGCTTCTCGTCACCGCCTTCCTCATCCGGCTCGCCAGACAGGATGTGCAAAGCCTGTATCGTCTTGTCGTGCTGTATGTGAGCGTCTGGGTACAGCCGGCCTATTTGTCGTTGCAACCAGAATGCATCTATCTGGAAAGCCGGTATGTAATTCGTCTCTTGTGTCTTCTTCTGGACTTTGCCTGCTGGAGCTGAGTCGATGACCATCGCGTCGCCGTCAGCCAGGCCGGCCTCATCGCCGTCCCTGTCTTCCGCGGCACCTCCCGCCCCGGCTTCCTCTTCGAGACCTGGGCGATCTTCCTCGTCCTCGTCTTCGTCTTCGTCTTCTGATGATTCTTCGCGGACTTCGTTGACGATGCCCTCTCCGTCTTCGTCCTCCTCTTCGAAGGCGACGGCGACACCCTGGCGTTCATCGATCTCTTGGTCATCGTCAGCACCGTCCATCTCTTCGTCATCATCCTCCGCATCGTAGTCCGTGATCTTCTTGCCGAGGTTGACCAGCTCGTTGAACTCCTTAGGACTTAAAGAGGCGCCGAGGAGATCATCGATTTCCTTCTTCTTGTCGAAGTCCTTGAGATCCTCGTCCTTGAGATACTCCAGTGTGGCATCGGCAGCACTGCGTACAACCTCTTGAGGCACGTCGCCCAGATTCTTGGCTACGATGGTCAAAATGAAGTCGAATGTCGCTCGTGTCGCCTGGGTCCGCGGTCGGTACCTAAGACCTTCGACCAGGGCTTCTGCACCAGACAGAATGCCACCTCCTCTCGACAGGTCTGCGCCCTTCTTCTTTTGTTGCCGCAGGATGTCCTCGCCTTCCCGTACTGAGCCCCTTTCCACAGCGGGAATGTGGGATCTCTTCTGTTTTGGCGCCGTGTCCCGAGCAACGCGCCCGCCCATCTCCTGTATTGAGAGTCGTCCTGCCAAAGACTCTGGGTCCCCAGTGGCCTCGTCTGTCCGTCGCGTAACGAAACGACGGTCCGCCTGGAGGACCAGGTTGGACATCGCCGAGTACTTGTACTGCGACACATCGCGTTGGTAGTTGTCGCCCGACATGTTGGCGGTTGTGTTGTGTATCAACCAGAATGTTCTCAGCCCAGCTAGTCACGACAATATAGCTTTTTCGCTGTAGATAGAGGTGGTTGTAGTGATGGAAAATTCCCGTGGGAGCTTCGTGTTGCCGGCCAGTAGAAGGATTGTTTGAGGACGTCGAATGTTTGGCAGGCAGCAGGCTGGCCTCGTGCAGCGTGTTTAGATTATACACACAGAGGCGGCACGATAGCCACGGCAGCGGCGAGGACCTGGTGGTCACAGGAAGTGTCGATTATCTCATTACAACGCCAGTAGAAGAGCGTCAACTCGGTTCTCGAAACGGGCTCAAGGGCGAGGGGTGGCTGGCGATAGTTGCGGCTGGGGTAAAAGTGAAGTTCGGAATGCCGTGTTGACGAAATGCAGAATGAGTGGTCGCAAGTGATAATTTTCATGCACCAGTTGACAGGGGTGGTTCCACTAGCTACACCACAGTTGCACCGCCCCTTGCAGGTGTTTACGGGTCTGCTGCCCCCCCCCCCGTCTCCATAAGTCGCCAACCTACCATGGTAACCTCCATGGGCAAACATACTGTGCCCTGAGACAATAAGTACCACAGGCACACTGCGTCGTGAGACTCGCTCTCAACGCTATCTTTTCGACCCTCATAATAAAATTTCTTTTTTTGAGGCATGAGTCTAAGCGCTCGAGAAACGGTCGAGAGGATCCAGACGGCGCTGGAGCCTCACGTTCGGTCGCGTGAGGAAGTGTCACATATTCGAAGGGTGCTGTCCCTGCACCTGCTCTCAAGTTACGAAAATGGCCCTCAACCTGGAGCCTTGGCCTTGTCGGGCGCAGACTGTACCATCAAATCTACAGCTGGCGTGCGCGGCCTGCAGAGAGATTATCTGAAGGCACTTCACGCCAACATCAAAGCCAAACACGACCATGACGCAGTCAGACAAGCGGGGCAGGAAGGCAGCACCGTCGCTACGAGGACGCTTGATGGTTCTGGACGACTGGAAGAACACGTCATCTCCATCAAGCTCAAGAGAAAGCAGGAACGACTTCAGGCTGTTGAGAAGCATCTGGAACTCCTGGGCCAGAAGCCGGCCGCGTCGCCAGAATTTGTGCGGTCAGAGGAGATATTCAAGCACAGCAATAGCTTGCCAAAGGTTCCCAAAACCGTCGTCAGCGGCTTCACTGTGGATAATGGCTCAGCCAAAACCGACCTGAAGGCCGTTGTCGATCGCTTGGAGAAGGCAGTGCTGAGGTCTAAGCTACTGCTGACGAAGGAAGAACAGCTACTGGAGGAAGTCAGGTCTCGTTCCACAGCAACGCGCGGGACAATGAGCGACGGTGCAAAGCTTGCAGCGTTGAGTGCGACTCGGGACGAGCTCATCAGCTGGATGGAGGCGGAACTGGGTAAGGCTTCGCGTCTTGATAATTCACAACATGAGGATGGGGACGGGAAGCAGAAAACTACGCCGGACAAAGGTCATGTGCACGAGCAGCTTGCAATCGTCAAGGAGAAATACGCCAACTACCTCGCAGCACGCAAGGCTCTCGTTCAGCTGGTCCAACAGCCAACACAGCCCGAGATCCAGATGGAGGCCCCTCCGAAGAAGACCGTTCACACTCAGTCTGGGGTCGCACGCACCACCCCATCAACTCATCTGATCACACCTTACATCGAGGGTCTGGTACAAGTCAGCCAGGACCAGAGGAACTATATTGCCCAGAAATCACACATAGACACCGTTTTGGCGAAACAAACGGAAGAGGTCGTTCGGGCTTTGGATCGTCTGACGGAAGAAAGTCAGCTAATACCTGACCATCCCATGCCAGGCGCCGCAAGACGGAAGAAAAGACTTGGGCCCGGCCCTCCCAGTAATGACGTCGACAAACTCTCAGATCGTGTGCAGCCGTGGGCTTTTGCGGCGGATACAGCAAAGCTTGCCACACTCGAGGCTGTGGCAGAGAGAATCGAGGAAGGACAAGTCGCTCTTGAAAGGTCTACAAAGTCCTTGGCCGAGATCGACCAGCTGCTGGGTCGAAATACGAACCCAGGCGGCCAGTCCACAGAAGAGGAGGATACAACCCTGGACGACATCTGGTTGACAGAGTCTGCGTCCCCAAAGAAAGAGCCTACGGCAAAGTCTCATGCCAGGAATAAGAGCAACATGGTCAAAGAGAAAGGGGATGTCTGGTCGACGTTGGATGGTAGTGTCGGGCTTATCAAAGCCGAAGACTCCCCACGAAAGCTTCTATAGTTGCGTATCATCTGGCATCGAGCCTCGCGAATAGCCATTGTATTACCATGCCTTCAAACGCCATGCTTTTCCTACCCCCGTCCCAGCCAATTTTCCAGCTCTCCAGTAATCTAGTAGCTTAGCTAAGTGGGAGCACTCCGTCCGTATCCACACCCATCCATTTCCAGAGTGAGGTCACGCTTCCTCGCCACGAAACTCCCGTAACCAGGTCCCTGGTCAATGCTTCTGAGTAGCTTCTGCTGCGCATGTAGCCTACGTTCTGGAGTTGCCGTTGACCTCAACGATACTAGACACTGCCTTCTCAGTACATCATCAACGGTTGTCGGCCCTACCGTCCAGCCATGATGGTTGATATGCGGAGTGAGAGATCTAGTATCGAGAGGTGTTCGTCGGCACCGTCGACCAGACGCTTGTCGACCTCAGAGAAGACCAGCACAATCTGGTTCTTCTGGATGTCCGGAACAGTCTCGTCCAAAATAATCGCCTGGTAGAGCTGGGTGACCACCTGCCCGGCACTCCATCCATCCGCGACCATGTCCTCCACAACCTTCGACACCGCTGCGTATGCCTCTCCAGATGAGCGTGGCTTGATCGCTTTTACCAGCCTGTCGATAGTGGCGCTGGGTATCACACCAGCGATATCCTCCACAATTTTCACAGTCACCGGCTTCGTGTCCACCTCCATACTGTCACCCTCAGTATCACTCTTTGTGGCGATTGCGCCAACTAGCCGCGCCGCGCTCTGCAAGAAAGTGATGGCTTTCCGCAGGTCACCCTCGCTACACCTGATGAGCGCATCCACTGCCCCATCGTCCAGCTGGACGCCCTCCTTCTCCGCAATCTCTTCCAGCCTCTTCTTCGCATTGCCCTGATCCAAACTCTTGAAGCGGAATTTGCTGCACCGACTCGCTAGGGGGTCGATTATGCGGGTAACGTAGTTGCAGATCAGACAGAACCGTGTAATCTTGCTGTATGTCTCCATCGTCCGTCGCAGCGCGCTCTGTGCGTCCTGCGTCATGCTGTCGGCCTCGTCGAGGATGATGATCTTGAACGGCGGGCAGGGATAACGAGATTTGTATCCCGGAGGTGGGTTGGTCAACTGCATGCGCGCAAAGTCTTTGACCTTCTCCCGGACGATGGAAATGCCGCGTTCGTCAGACGCGTTGAGCTCGAGAACACGCTGTTTCACGAACTCAGGGCCATATAGTTCCTTGGCGAGGGCAAGGATTGTGGATGTCTTTCCAGTACCGGGCGGCCCGTAGAAGAGCATGTGAGGGAGATTGGATGCCTGCAGGGTCCGTTGCAGGACGGTGATTGTGTGGTCTTGGGCGGTGACATCGCTGAGGCTCTTTGGACGACTGCAATGGGCGCATGGTCAGAAACAGGCAGCAGAGACAGCATGCAAGCAAGGACATTGTCGTTGACATACTACTTCTCTACCCAGGGCTGCGCTCGTGGTGTGTCTGACGTCTTTTTCTCTTGTTTGCCTGCGCCATTGGCGGCGGCGGCCTTCCTGGCCTTGATGTCGAAAAAGCTGGCCATCCTAGCCGTTAGTCTGTGTTTGCCAGTCTGGCCGGTTCGACTGTCACAGGTAGGGGAACTGTCCTGCGGGAGAATGACTGTGTGAAAGAAGTGAACCTTGTAGGTCTGAGGACACCCATTTACGCGTCTCAACGCAAGGACGCGTCTGGCTGCTTTGTCCCCTCCACCACTGTCGGGGTCCCCACATCGAGTTGCCTGCCCCTACCCTGTCATGCTGCCTGGGTCAGCGTAGCTTCCTTGTACTTCCCCACTTAGTCCTGGGGCCGCTGCTGAAAGTCACCCGCCCGGGCAGACTTACGGCAACTTCTCCGCTAACTTTGGAAAGCAGACAAGTTACGGTATTTCAGGTCGCATCCACCACTCACTTCGTCGACGGCTCTATCTCAACATCCCCGGGAATCAATACCATCAGTCCTATGCGAATCTTTCTTTCCCCCGCGCCTTGAGGACTGCCCGCCATGGCGGATCAATCCATCATCAGGATAACCAAGGCATGTCTGCCGCCTCACTGCGGGGTCACACCAGGCTGGCATCACAGTCGATGGCCTCGGTTTGCAACCCACCAGCATCATGCTAATTAGTTGTTCAGGAGCTGAGCGACATCCAGAGGAACTCCGATCTTTGTACGCGCACACTTTGCAGACATCTGCATCATCTCACTCCGCTAACTTGTCTCAAGCCCTGGCCGTTGCATGCCGCGATGTCGACGTACGCAACGTGAAAGCGCTCATCATCGGTCCGCACGAGACACCTTACGAGTTTGGCTTCTTCGAGGTTTGTTGACTCCTACCTCCCGGCTTGTTGCATGTTCGAGGCTAACACGAACAGTTTACGTTCAAATTCAATAAAGGTCAGCCTTCCTTGCTGCAAAGTGTGCCGACACCTATCGACCGTCTAACACCTCTCCTACCGCAGACTATCCCCGAAAGTCGCCCAGCGTGAACGCAGTCACCACGAATGGTGGTCGATGCCGATTCAACCCTAACATATATGCTCAAGGGCGAGTGTGTCTGTAAGTCCAGCTCCAACCCCGGCCCTACTGGAGAATCCTTGGCTGACCTCTGACGGACAGGTCTATTCTTGGGTATGTTGCTTCCTGCAAGTCGACCGCCTGGCGAGATTACTGAACATGGCTATAGAACATGGCGCGGCGAGCGAGGCGAAGAGTGGTCTTCTGCCCAAGGTCTCGAGTCTATCCTACTCTCGATCCAAAGCTTAATGTCGTCCAACCCGTACGAGAACGAGCCAGGCTTTGAGGATGCCAACGAGGCTCAAGACAAGAAGAACCAGAAGGACTACGTTCAAAAGGTACTTAATCCAAGCTACCGTGGCAGAAGAACAGCCGTTGACATTGTCACTGTTAGATCCGCCACGAAAGCCTGCGAATCTCTGTCATTCAGCGACTGGAAGAATACCTGGGCATCGGTGCTGATGGCAACGTCGCTGCGTCTTCGAACACAGACAAAGAAGACTACGAGGTGGACATGGATGGTCTCGAGGACGCCGGCACAGCCTTTGAACCTTTCAAGGACCTGTGCAAGCGCCGTTTCCTTTGGTACTTCGAGTCGTACCTTGAGTCGATCCGCAAAGCCAAGGAGGAGGTCAAGGACGGCCAGGCGTTTGTCAGGATGCCGTTCGAGGGCCAAGGAAATACCATGGATGGAAAGTTCCACTACACAGAGCTGGAAAGGCGGCTGCGAAACATCAAGAAAGTTCTGGACGAGGAGACCAATCAGTGGGCGGCGCAGGGATTGTCACCTGAGTTCAAGGATGCAACAGTCACTGTCAACCTGCGCCGGCAGTACGAACAAGTCCTCGAGCATTTCAGGCAGCACGGCCTTGCGCATCACGTGGAGTTGGAGGGTGGCAATCCTTTCGTCTGGGTTCTGACGTACATCGGCAAGACCATGACTCCGTTAGAGGACGGATTAATCCGTGTCAGGCTTCACCTGAGCCCACGGTTCCCCGAGGAGCAGCCTCGTGCCAGGTTCGAGACGAGAATCTTCCACCACCGCATTGCCCCAGATGGAACGCCCTGTTACTACTCGAGCCCCTCGCGTCGGGAGGACATGAAGACCCACCTCGAGGCAATCATTGAGATGCTGGAGGACGAAAAACCCCCTTACGACCCGCGGACTCTCGTCTACCCCGAAGCTTTCAAACTTTTCTGGGGCAGTCCCCAGGACAGGAGGCAATACAACCAACGACTACGCCGGTCAGTTCAGGCGTCCATGGAGCTTTAGACACGCCTCAATGGCAACCATTACACAGGATTGCATGGTTGAGCGGGGGGTTTGCTTATGCGGTTATGGAATTTTCTCGGACAGGCGTTAAGGAACAGGACACGAACGGTCAGGCATACTCACGGACGGCAAACAGGACTAGCACGGAAACACACTTTCGGTGACTTTTTTCCCCTTTCATTCTCAGTGGTCGGCTTCTACGGAGGGTCGCCTGTTCACGTCCTCGGAGGGTTTTGCTTGCCAACGGCGTTATGGCTCACATTGAGGTTGACATTTGATACCTTTGCTGGGCCTCGGAAATAGGGGTCGGTAGCACGTCCTTTCTTCATGGCCCGGTAGTTTTCATATACACAAATGGAATTGACATCGCCCGTGGCAGGTGCCACTTGACCACCGTGGTTTTTGATACTGCAGGACTTGATTTTATCCATGCGCCAGTGTGCACTTTCGTTCGACTTTGTGGATATGCCTCCCTTTTTGGTATGAGAACGTGCGGCCGACTCGGTTTTTGGGCCTCGCTTGCTCCTTGGTATTTACACTATGACACAACAAAGAGTTGAGTCTCGTGCCTGCCATGTTCGATCAGGTCGCGCTTTATAGTGGACTGAGACCAGTCAGCTTCTGATGAATAGCAGCTGGTTGGATCGTCGAATAATCATTGCTCCTAATGCAGGGCCATGACCTCTCTGGGCAAGACTATAATGAACTGATAGAATCGCACGTGGCAAGCATATTGACTGAAAACTGAGAGTGAATTGTGACCTGTGCAATTGGCATCACTTTCAGAGAGAGCCTTGATAATGATGTTTAATTTCTCCGTGGTTTCTTCCACACCAGAGGCATCATAGAGTAGATGAAAACAGAAGAGATTAGGGTATACTTATGTGGTATCACGGGAGAGTTCCCACATCTCCGTTATCTCGGATATTTCATGCGCTGAACACAAGATGGGCAGTTCTATGCCGCAGCACGGCTGTTATATATGGCCCAGAGACTGGTTGTGTGAGTGGTACTGGTGTAGCCGAACACAACTCGCGAAGGGGGCTAGGATTTTTGCAGTTATGTTTGATTGTACCATGTAGTTGCAGATGGAAAACAGGCGGCTGACGGTGCATACAAGTCAATGTATTGCACGCGAGGTTCTAAATTTGTGGTCGGTGTTTTGGTGGAGGGAGTGATATAGTTGGGTATCTTCTGTCTCATAAACACTAAAACGTGCAAAAAACATCTCCTCCTCACTTGCGAGGCTTCTTGATCTTGTCGTGTAAGGGATCGTACGGCGCAGCAATCCCGACAGACTTCTTGCCGTCGTCCGGGTTCGGCCCGCCCTTGAACTCGTACGCCTTGCCGTCCGCCGACGCCGCGGCCGGCGTGCCGAGCGTGGGCTTCGCGAGCTGCTCCCGGTGCAGCTTGTCGAGCGACTCGCCCACGACGGCGTACTTGGACCAGTTTATGGCGGGCATGCGCACCACGTCCTGCGGCGTGGGCAGGTTTGTCCACGATGGTGGTGGCTGTGCGGCTGCGCCTTTGCCTTTGCCTGGCGCTTTCATCGGTGAGGGCCCGAGGCCGCTGCTGGATGCCTCCCCTCCATCTTGGCCCTCCGTCTCAGCATCGCTTTCCTCATCGTCATCCTCCTCGTCGTCGTCCTCATCGTCATCATCATCATCCTCCCCGCCAGGCGCCACCGGCTGGGGCCCCTGCCCGACCTTCCCACTGGCCAGGTCCTGCACGAACTCGGCCGGCTTTCTGGTGGCCTCCTGCTTAATGCGCTGCAGTTGGCGGATGTCCTCTTCGGCCTTTTGCTTCTGCCTCTGGAGGAGCAGGATGGCCGACTCCAGGGCGATCACATCAACGTTTTCGTTGAAGTCCACGGGTTCTGGCGGTGGCGGCTGTGGGATAGACTGAACCTGTGCGGGGTGCTGCTTGTGGGTGAATGTCTGGCGGTGGAAGGTGGGGATTGTTGGCGGCGGGATGGGTGTGGTTGAGTGGATGGGCCTGAACTGAGGTGAGAGGGGCTCCGGGACTGGCGCGGCCGGCTCAGCCTGTCTGGAAGGGGAAGCGCCCTGCGTTGTCGCCTGTGGTTTCTGTCCGGCCATGCTCATTTACGAGTGGTGTTGGTAGTTGTCGCAAGATGGGATAAATGAAGCGAGGTCCCGCCCGGCGCACTGATCCCGACGTGCTTTGGTGGTTCGAGGCAGAAGCAGTGAGATGATATCTAAGGTTGAACCAACCTTAGAGTGACGTGCAGATCGGCAGGGAAGGCGGGCGCAGGGGTCTGTCCGTGGCAAGTCATGCAGGTGCATGCGGGAAGGTGGAGACCGATATTTTTCAGGAACTCACACCCCCAACTCTTCTGCCAAACCAAAGAGTATACGGTACGTGTTTATTGTATTCATAAATGTTTCCTTGATGGTTTGATGAGTAGCCATATCCAGTTTCACAGCAGAACCTTGGAATAACTCTTGAGCATAGTATTCAAGTAAGAATAAGCGCCAGGATGAGGTTTAGGACGACCTCTTATGGAACAGATCCTGCATCCTGTCGAATCATCTGTCAATGCCTGTATCTACCTCCCCACGGACACACACTTTCTCCGTGCGCGAGTATAACTGAGATATCTATGCATATATCTTTGTCCCTTCAGATCTTGAGTCCCTTGTACAACTAGCTGGTCCCTGGCAACCCTTTGGAGCCCCTGCTCTGGAGAGGAGTGGGGTGGGTAAGGGGCATGCAAGGCAGGGGCCTACCAGAAAGCTGGACAGAGCGGCGCCCGCGGCAAAGGGGAGAGGGCCCGGGGCCGGAAACAGAGCCCGAGTAGGAGTCAGATCCAGGAGGGGCAAGGGGAAGGAGTCGTCCAGCGACTGATGTCGGTGGCGATGTGAGGCCGGACTGCTCTTCCATGCACTCTTGATGGGTTACGGAATACATGTCGCGAGCCAAGCCCTCATTTCTTTGCCGACCCGCGTGCGACCTGGTTATGCAGGGCCTGCCGAATAGACACGCGTCCGTGAGTGTGAAATGCTAGGTATTATAGGCAGTGGGCAGCAATGGACTCGTCCTGGAGGTCTCCCAGGGGTACCCGTTCCACAACGGAGCGCGGGTCAGCGGGCAACTCCTGCAGGGGTCTCAACCGTCGGCATCAGTTGATGACCAACTCCCCTTCCTGCTTCTGGTACGCGGTACCGGGTCCTTGTGCTGAACTTCAGTGTCAGGCATTTGATAATGGGAACTTCGGCAGGCTCTGCGAGCTGTCCACAGAGTACCTAGGCAGTCTAATGCTTGCCGATTACGCGTGGTCACTGGACTCCCAACCAAGAGAGCTCCTTAAGACTCGCCCACGCGTTGGCGTCGATGGAAGCCAATGCAGCCTCCTATCACACGTAGCGTCGTCACACTTGCCCCGACATCCTCGGAATAGTAGGCACTGCAGGGCGATAGAGCTGCCCAACCCATGTCAACACAAGCCAAAGAGGAGGCCACTACACTACTACAGAAGAAGCTGTTACAGGCACACTCCATGCCTGCCTGGCGCTCTAGACCATTCGAGCCGATGTATCCTCCAAGCTAATGCCGCCACCCACTCTGCCACCCACTCTGCCACTGTGGTTTCTCTGAGGGGCCCAGGTCGAATATCGGAGCAGAGGCCCAAAAGTGAGCTTCGTGTCGACTTCATGTGCTCTCAACCTTGAGCGCTGCTGTCCCTCACGCGTTATAGCTCGGAAACCGGGCTGTCCCCTTCTCGCCCAGCTCTGGAGTGAGGTGTCTCGCGCCAGGTCTCGGGTGGCTGCAGGGCGACATCCTCGGCACGCGACGAGGCGTGGGTTCTAAGTAGGCACATGGTAGACTGCAGTAGGCGGTGCTTTCAGAAGCTTTCTCGTCTGGAAGTATGTTGACTTCCACTAATGAAGTATTTTCCCGCTCATTTCCCAAGCTGCGGGGCTTGGGATAACTCGATTTTCTCGGTGTAGATAAGTCACGAGTCTGCCCTTTTTCGCTGCCCTCGTTTTCCCCTCTCTCGTGAACTCGCTCGTCGTAGTATCTTATGCCTACCAGACTTCGAGTCTGGTTATATTGCAAGCGATGTGACCCTTCAATCCCTGTGTTCCGAGAAAAGAGGCAGACACTGCGCGGCTACTTATCTATTCGTGGCTCATTATCGTCAAAACTTAAAACATTTACTCACGTTTCGATGCCCTCCGACAAGGGGAATTGACACACAACACATGTACTCGCCACACTGTGAAGCGAGTTTGCAACATCAGAAATCAGTCGCCATCTGCTAGTGTTTCCAGCTTCCGGGCTCGATCCATCTGCGGAAGCAACCCGGCTGGTCCGGAATTCAAGCTTGCTGCCAGGCCGGTCGCCGATACGAAAAGTTCATATTCGTCCACGACAAAGTACGCAGGACCTCCGTACTGAAGGGCTGCAGGAGTCGGACCGGCATTCGGGGGACCTGTCGTCATCTCAGCCTCGGCTCCTGCCCAGTTCCTCGGAATATGAGTCGCGAAAACAGCCACACTACCGACCAATCCAAGAAGAAAGGTGGCATAGCTCGGTGGCTATCACAGTTCAAGTCATGGGTTGCGGTGAGCGAGCCATCGGGGCAAGCATTTGAGCAGCACAGGAAGGACATGTTCCGGAACAATGGAGTCTCTCACCACGACCCGGACGCAAGCATGAAGCTGCAGTATGTCTGACCTTGTTTTGACAATACCCGTGGCCGCGGCCGCAGAAACCAGTGTCTCTGCTCGCTGCTAACATATCACGCAGTGTCCCTGCAACAACAATACCGAAGGAGGCAATAAAGCCAGCAGGGCCTGGCCCGGATCCCGAGGAGCTCGCGGCAGCGAGGAGAAGGAACCGGATGCGCCAGACTTGTGCCAACTCATCTGCCTCTCGCAGCACGCAGTCTTACTCAACAACCTCATCAAGACCAGATTGGAAGCCAGATTCAGAAGCGCAATCGCCCCGTGCTCCCGGGTGAGCAGAACTGCCCGGCTTACAGGTCCTGTAAGCTTCAGCGTTCAGACGAGACGGCACAGCTAAGCCAAGTGTCGACGTTCGTGTCGATGTTCGTTAAGGTAGTTTTGCAGCAGATTGGACCGAACCGACTACAACCGACTCAGGGCCATGCCGTTGCACGACCGAGAGCATGGCGCACCTGCACGTATTGGTGGTTGAGGCGGGGAAGATGTGTACGCCTTTGCAACCGATTTAGGGATGTCCAGGTTGGGCAATGGGATGTTTGCTGGAGGCGGGCCATGTAACGGCAGCCCCGCGCGTAGCTTGATGCCTCGACACTCTCGAACAAAGCACGCAAAGGAGCCACCTGGGCACATGGGAAGTCAAGACTGGCTGGCCACTCAAGATTGAAACGCCTCCCGCCCAGTATGGCGCTCTAGGCGACATTGAAAACCGTTAGTCCGTGTTTTAGGGCAGCTGCTAGGTAGTCAACCCTCGCCTGGACGGCTGAGCCTAGCGCACGCCAGGCGATGGTGCGCATCGACCTACGTCATCAGTGCTGTCTGCTGTAATAGTGACACTTGACAGTCAATCGCAGCCTCATAAAGGAGAAGGCGTCACGCCGGAAACGCTTGAGGCCCGGCGCTATCTGTACTGTACGTAGTAAGGAAGGCAATCAAACCAAATCAAACCAGGTCCATCCATTTGGCTTGCCAGTCCCTCTGTCACCATCAGTGACCTAACACCTGCCTCGGAGGGCTTTCGAGTCGGCAGCTTGGTAGACACGCCCGTGCTGTCGGCATCATGAAGCGAGTTTTCGGGGGAAGAGACGACAACGAGGGCTCCTCTGTGGAAACACACTCGGAGTCGCACGATGACGGCCCACCGCCGAACGAGCACACACGGCTGCTTCCGAACCGGGTCGACAGTGGCAACAGGCCAGGCTACCTGAGCCCGGACGATCCAGCTGTATCTCCATACAACTTGTTTACTGTGCGGTTTACCAGATACCTTACTGTATTCTTCGCCATCATCACCTTCCTGTGGTGGGTGCTCCAGCTGGTGTCCATCTTCATCACACCCCCCGGTCTGTCCACGAGGGGGTCAGGGTTCTTCGGCTTCAGCTACTCCAGCATTGCCCTGTCCACGTTGATTGTGACCCTCCTCTTCTTTGCCGCCCCGTCAAAGGCGGCCCGGATCCTCTCGGCAGTCGCCTCCGTACTGTTGCTCGCCAATGTGATCATCAACGTGGCCGTCCAGAAGACCAGGCACGAGGAGGCATGGACGGGCATCGCGAGTGTCGTCTGGGCGTTTCTGATGGCGGTCTGGTCGCTATCCGCCGACCGGATCGTCCAGTGGGGGAAGAGAGAGGAAGAGGAAAGGTTAACAGGCCGTGAGGAGCCCAGGCGGACTTTGCTCGAGTGGACCCAAGTGCTTCTCTCGACAATCGGGTTTGCTGTGCTTGCCGTGGTCGCATTGCTCCTGACCTTTACCCTCATCCTGAGGGCCGTGGACGCTAAGGTAGCGGCTCCAGGAGATCTGTACTGGGTCGATGGCGACAAGTACCAGATTCATCTGTACTGCCGTGGCAACGAAACGGACTCTAAGGGGAATAAGCTGCCGACCGTGCTTTTCGAGGGCGGAGAAGACCCAGTGGAGGACGGATTATGGCAATTTGCAGACAATGCTCTGAACAATGGGTCCTTTAGCAGATACTGTTTCGCAGATCGTCCTGGATACGCATGGGTAAGTCAGTATCTGGACCAGAATGCTGCACCGGTCAAAGCTGACAAAAATCCCAGAGCGACACAGCACCGTCGCCATTCTCTGCCAGCCAGGCGACAGAAGCCCTGAGCGAAGCACTCGCCCGTGCCGGTGAGACGGGACCCTGGGTCCTCGCCAGTGCTGGTATTGGATCCATCTACTCGCGTGTGTTTTCCTCGCGACATGGCAAGGAGATCAAGGGGCTCGTCCTGATCGACCCGCTGCACGAGGATCTCCTCCACCGCGTTGGTACTCCCGGGAGGGGCTTCACGCTCTGGCTGAGAGGCGTCATATCCCCTCTTGGCCTCGACCGCATCCCGGGCGCCCTCTTCAATGGGCGCACGAGCGAGGACCGAGTCTTTGGGAGAGCCTCATACCAGACTGGGAAGCAGATATTTGCTAAACTGCAGGAGAGCCTGGTGGCCGACTCACTGACGAAACGCGACGTCACATCAAGCCGGGCCATCCAAGCACCCGATGTTCCTCTCGTCGTTATTAGCTCGGCCATCAAACTCCGGACCGACAGCCAGTGGGAGGGCAAGCAGCGAGATCTCACCCATCTGACCGAAAACTTGCACGATTGGGATGTTGTGAACAAGGCTCCGCACCAGGTATGGAAAACGCTGGACGGGCGGGATGTTATCGAGAAGAGGATCAGGCAGTTGGTTCAAGGGAAGTAAAAGGCAGGTGAGACCAATAACATGCAGCAACCACTCATCAGGGCCTGTTATGCGCGGCAGGAATGTGATACACGGGGTTGGTCAGGTTTCTGCGATCGGGCTGGGGTGTATAGCGAAGGAGTACACTTGAGTTTTGTTTTCCCTGTTCCTTTTTTTTCCAGATTGGGCTTGTTTCCCTTTCCTTTTCTGTTTTCTCCCCCTCCTTTTATTTTTGCTTCTATTCTCCACTGGCACAAGTAAGCAGGCAGCCGAGATACGTCCTAGGTCTAGTAGCATGTCCATCAAATCGAGCGTATTCCAAATGCAAGACACAGCCTTGAGACCTGCAGACTCTTTGAGGTGTGATGCTGGCTGATTTCCAACAAGCCGTCGGGTGCACCCTTCGCGCCCTTGGGGACCTCGGAATGGTCTCCATGTACACAGGTACCTGGGTACATGCTTGATCAATGCCCTCCCGGCTGCTGGGTCTCTATAGGTACCCAACGGCGAGAGGTAGCCATGCAGGTGGGCACAACGTTGCCACAGGTGGTCTTTATGGGCACAGGGGCACTGGAGCAAGGAGCCAATGGCAGGGCTTGGCCTTACAATTGGACCTGCAATTTCAAGTACCTGTCTACCTGCTCCACCTGGGCACGCCCAAAGCAAGTGTCCTGGGGCTGTCACGTCTTGTCCAGACGCCGGACGGTTTTACCTGCCAGGACTACCTAGGTACCTGAAGTACCCAGGTAGAGTCGGCCTGTGTGCTCTGCTGCTGCTGGTGATACCGGGCCACGACCGCTCACTGAATGGCAGCGGGCGGGCAGACAGACAGACAGACTCATTGAGCCGACCGCTGCTACATACTTGTCCACCTCTTTCACAACTCCCCCTTCCATCATTCCCTCCTCCTGCCCCCCCCCCGGAGTCTCGTCTGTCGTTGCCGTTGTCGTCAGCATTGACAGGGGAGTTTTGTTTTTGTGCTTTTACCTATGCTTCTGCAACCCACACCCACGCCCTCGCCCACGCCCTCGCCCACACACGTACCGGCCGACCTTGACTCCTATTCAGCTAGTGCGCAGGAAGCCGTCATTTACGGACCGTACCTCTGAAATTACGCTTCGCTACCACAGGCGGGGACTTGTCGATCGCTTCTTCCTCGACGGACCAACCGTGACTTTTCGAATCGCATCCCAACTTCAATCTGTCTCATCAACTGCCACAATTCCCAACTCGTGTCGGGCTCTCGACCCTTACCCGCCTGCATCCACAAGTCCCTCGTTCCTGGCGCCAAGACCGTCGTTGAACTGTCCTCGTCGGCGGCGGCCACCCTCACAGCCCCCCTCTCCCCTTCCAGTGATGCCAGCGACAGCCCCCAGGCCCCAATAGTTCACGCCAGAAGGACCGCCTCCCCAAGCCCTGCGAACGGTCCGCTTTTGACGTCTCGGGCGATCGACAACACCAGGCCACACGGTTTGCGACACGGCCTGTCGAATCTGGCGCGACCACCCTGGCTCGACGACTTCCATGCAACAGAGACGACGCTGGCCTGTTTCCGACCCTTTGTGAGCTGCATCCCAAGACAGCGGGCTCGATAATCTTCAGTGGTCTGTCACCCAACACGCCTACGATTTTCACAGTGGAGGAAAGAAAGAGACGGGTAGCACAAGGCAGAGCGGGTCACCATGTTGGGGCCCGACTATGAAGGCGGCCCCCCTGGCGATCGCCCTGCACGACACCGAACACCAGAGCGAAGTTTTACAACTGACGATTCGAGGACCTACTCTCCTTATCGACCGCCACGGCAGAACGGTGGCCCTCGCGATGGCCGAAGGCCCTCCCTGTCCCCCTCTGCCGGGGCCGGTGACCGCAGCTGGGACGACGAAGGGGACTCGCGGCAGAGCCAAGAGCGGAACAGGTCAAGAGGTCGGAATGGACGACAGGCCAGCGGAGGACAGCGCATCTGCAAAAAGTGTGGCGAGCCCCTGACGGGGCAATTCGTGCGCGCCCTGGACGGCACTTTCCACCTGGACTGCTTCAAATGCCGGGTGGGTAGAGCAATCCAACTCCAAGCCGGACCGTGAGCTAACGTGTTTTACTCGATAGGATTGTGGACAGATCGTGGCCTCCAAATTCTTCCCGGCAGACGACGAAGACGGTCAGGGGCAATATCCGCTTTGCGAAACAGACTACTTCCGACGGCTCGGTCTTCTTTGCTACCAGTGTGGTGGCGCCCTCCGAGGGTCTTATATTACGGCACTCGAGCGAAAGTACCACGTCGACCACTTCACGTGCTCACTTTGTTCGACAGTCTTCGGCGCCCAAGACAGCTACTACGAGCATGATTCCCAGGTTTACTGCCACTACCACTACTCCACCCAATTCGCCCAGAAGTGCAATGGTTGCCACACGGCAATACTTAAGCAGTTTGTCGAGATCTTCCGCAACGGGCAAAACCAGCATTGGCACCCCGAGTGTTACATGATTCACAAGTTCTGGAATGTGCGACTTGCTACTCCCAGCGACGTCGCAGATGAAGAACCTCCCCCGGATGATGAGAAGACGCGCGACAAGGTCCGGGAAGAAGAGGAGAAGATGGAAGAGAAGGTCTACCGCATATGGAGTGTCCTCTCCACCTTCGAGGAATCCTCTGCCGCCTGCATATCCGACATGTTGCTGCATGTGAGCAATGGAGCTTACGTCGACGGTGTGGTTGTCGCAAAGAGGTTCATTTGGCATGTCGACATTCTTTTTAGGTCCGCTGACAGGTTGGATGAGACCATGCAGCAGCTTGAAATGAAACGTAAGCCCTCCCTGCACCGCTGGCACTGGCTGATGCTAACATCTAGACAGCTCTATCATACTCGCGAGAGGCAAAGCTCCTGTGCAAGAAGATTGTGCAATTCTTTTCTCTCTTGTCTAAGACGCAAGACAAGAATGCGCACAAGCTTGGCGTAACCCAGGAATTACTGTCTCTGGTAACCGGTCTTGCTCATTATCTGAAACTTCTCATCCGCATCTGCTTGCAAGGCGCTCTTCGGATTGAAAAGGATCAGACCAACGTGGAGGGCCTGTACGCCTTTCTCGACGATCTGAGCGCTCTTGAAACCCTCAAGAACGAGGATGGATCCTTGCAAATCACAGCTGCCATGTCGCGGCTGGCCGCCAACGAGTCCGACCAGTGTGTTCTTTGCCGAAAACCTGTCGAAGACGAGTGTGCCAAGAATGGCGACAAGAGGTGGCATATTGCTTGCGTGACTTGCACGAGATGTGGAAAGGAACTTGGCCGGAATCCCGAGGACGCTCGACTTAATACCTATGACCAAAAGATCTTCTGCAGCGGTTGCGAATCGTACAGCTCAGACTCGGCACCTCCCTTCGAGCGGATAACGAAACTGCAGCAGTACGTCTTCCTGCTTCAAGTAGCGCTCGCCCGACTACTGGATATACTGAAGAGCACTGGGGCGTTGTCTGCACTGGACGAGGCGTCCGTGAACGAATATGAACCAGCGAATGGAAGTGGACCAGGCGATGTGCCTCGTCTTCAGTACGATTCACGGTCCAAGTCATACGCTGGAGATCGAGAGCATCATCGGGAGTCATCCTACGAGAACACTTTGAATGATGTTCGCCGTTTGAGGAGCACGCGGCTCGATAAGCACCTGTCGGCGAGCTTTAGAAAAGCGCGAGCGTCTCGTCTCATGGATGACCCAGGGGTAGAAGGCGGCGGTAACATGCAGAGTCAACGTATTGAGGAGGATCAAGTTCCCGGCGAGGAGGGTGGCTCTGACCTGATGTTCGGCCACCAAGATGCCCTAACTCTGGACGACATACCTCGTATCGTTGCCGCGGAGCAAGCCCGGGAGCAACGTCCGGCGTTCAAGCCAGCACGTCAAGAGTTGTTTAGGTCTCCAGCGACTGAGCCATTCATTGGTGCCAACCAGAGGTCGAGATCGGCGGGCCGCGCCGGCGAGCCGGGCTATGGTGAGCCATCACCACAGCGAGGTGGTCGGAAATACTTCTCGGAGTTGTCTCCAATGGAGTATTTCATTGCCCGCCACCTGGCTGTGCTTACCATGCATCCCATGGTGCAAGACGATTTCACGCTCGAAGAGCTGCTCAACCTCATCGAATCCAAGAAACCGGCGACGTTCTGGAACAAGTTTGGAAAGGCATTCAAGAATGACTCAAGGAAAGGAGTCAAGAAGAAGGGTGTCTTCGGCGTTCCACTCGAGATGGTTATCGAAAGGGATGGCGCCGAGTCCACTGATTGCATCGGAGGAACAACCTTGCGGGTACCCGCCATTATTGATGACCTGATTTCCACCATGAGGCAGATGGACCTTTCCGTGGAGGGTGTCTTCCGGAAGAACGGAAACATCAAGAAGCTTTCGGAAATGGTCGAAAAGATAGACCGCGAGGGCTGTGACAACATCAACTTGATGGCCCAGCCCGTCGTCCAGGTCGCGGCTCTGCTAAAGAAATACCTCCGAGAGATGCCGGATCCCTTGATGACAAACAAACTCTACAGGTTGTGGCTTGTCGCGGCTAAGATCCAAGACGATGACAAGAGACGGCAATGCATCCATTTGGTGTGCTGCCTCCTTCCGAAGTGCCACAGGGACTGCTTGGAGGTTCTCCTGTCCTTCCTGAAATGGGCCGGAAATTTCCACCAGGTCGATGACGAATCAGGATCCAAGATGGACGTCAAGAACCTTGCAACCGTCATTGCACCCAATATCCTCTATAACCCGATGAAAGGACCTTCTCTCGACAGCGAGCCCATGCTGGCCATCAATGTCGTTGAGACGCTGATCAATGATGTGGAATCAATGTGTTTGGTAAGTGGAACATCACCTGGATGCTTCGCAAACTGGGACTCGGCTAACATGACTCTAGGTCCCGGACAACTTCGTCGACGTTCTCAATGACCCGACATACAAGGAAGGAAAGGATAGTGATATTACCACCAAGGAGATCCTGAAGCGCTATGGTGGCAGGGTGAACGGCGGTCACGGCGTCCTTGGCGACGCCAGCGACATGAATCCAACCAGGCCTCTCGCTAGAAGGGTAGAGACCGATCCCGAGGCGACCCGGCCGCCCGGCTGGCAGGAACCCAACGCCTCTTTCTCCCAGCCCCCGAACCCAAGCACACCGCCTAGGTGGCGGAACCCGGACGAGACACAGCAACCAGCGTATGGCAGCTCCTTCGAGGGGTCTGATTCGGACAACAATCACCAGCGACGGTCGTATCACGGGCGGCCGAACAACTCGGTCGGTGTTGGCGGTACGGGGTAGGGCGGCGTAGTGCAGCTCGTGGTCTCGTGCATAGTTGTTTGTCCACCTCATCTGAAGAGCCCGCTTTTCACGACCCACAGGAAACTGGAGGCTGTTTGTAATCCGTTGAAACTAGAGTACGCACGACTTAGCCTAACAAGGAGGGTGGGGGAGGAGGCATATCCAAAGCATCGCTGGACGGCGTTCGTTCCATTGTGCTCCGTCCTTTTTTCTTCTTTACTTTCGCATCATATTTTCGTTCGATTTTTACATTTTCAAATCTTTTCTTGGCCATAGCGACCAGAACACCTTTCTTCTTCTTATTCTTCTCCTCTTGCCACATTTTCCTGCGTGCGTGTCTCTTTGTTTCCACCCTCGAGCGGAAAGCAAGAAAAAAAAGTCAAAAGGGGGTGGGTGTGGACGATTTTACGGTTACATGCGCGCATGGCTTCTATTCGACAAAAACAACAAGGCGGTCGCGTTCCATTCCCGCTTCTGCTTTGATTTATATCCTTTTTCTTTTTGCTCTCATATTCTTCTCGTGGATCTAGTTATTATATGTTCCTCACTGGGCGAGTGTGACAAAAACGAGAAACTGGCTGGTTGCCCCTTTCAGAGAGAGAGAGAGAGAAACAGAGGGAGAGACGGAGACACCGAGGAGGGGGCGTGTATTGGATGTGGAGGGGTGGTTGATTACGACAAGTTCTTGTCATTGAAGCCCATGGGGCCCGGTCAGCAGAAGAAGCATAGAGGGGGGATTTTAAGCCGGCACTTGCTGCGCGAGGACGTCATGCGCTGTTGTTACAGATGCAGTCATATACCTGCTGGCCATGCAACTTTAGCAGCCAAAGTCAGTATTACGGCTTTTGCCACATGGAACAAACAAAGTACGGACTCCTGAGATCCTGGTGATGCTGTTTTGCAATTGCAGTTGTCCTTTTGAGAGCCCCATGCATGAAGCGTAGTTTGCGCACGCTATGTACAAGAAGATGATTACAAAGTCCATATATATATATTCGACGAGGTCCGCAAGGCCGCCTTAGAAGCTGGGAGCCTTTGACCGTATCCCTATTTTATCATTTCTTGATGTTGCCAAGCGCCTCTTGCTCCAAGGTCCACTTGACAGACCTCCTCAGCCCTTCCTCAAGTGGGACAAGTGGCCTGTAGCCCAGCCTCCTCTTCGCCTTGTCGATGCAGAAGTACCTCGTCATGCACGAGTAGACGCACCTCTGGCGGGTGAAGGTGGGCGGCTTCCTGATGATGGCGAAGAAGGTCTCGCTCAGCAAGCCGATGACGAGGCCCAGCTCCTTGGGGATGACCCAGACGTGCTCCTTGCCGTGCGGGGAGCCGGCGGCATTCCAGATGACGCGGCAGAAGTCCCAGAAGTAGGTGGGGCTGTCGTTGGTGATGATGAAGACCTCGCCGTCGACCTTCTCGTGGTCGAGGGGCTGGGTCTTGCTGGCGTAGGTGACGAGCAGCGCCCGCAGCGCGAGGATGTGGCCGTACGCGACGTTCTCGACGTAGGTGAAGTCGAAGAGGTTATTATTGTCGCCCAGCTGCGCGGCCGTCTTGCCCGTCTTGTAGACCTTGATGATCTGGTGCAGCGCCATGGTGTCGCCCTCGCCGACTATGCCCGCGGGCCGGATCGCGGTGGTCAGGAGCTTGGAGCCGTCGGCGCGGTTGGCGTTGATGGCGATCTCCTCAGCTGCGGCCTGTGAGACAGTCAGTATAAATGAAGTTGCCAACCCCCACACCCGCGTGTGTCAGAAAGCTGTGTAACATGCCTTGGTCTCGGAATAGTACTCTGACTGGTCCTTGCCCCTGGGGACAGGCCACCGCTCATCCGCGTTGATCAGGTCATTGACGTTGTCGCTCGCCACGCTGGCAGAGCTCGTGTAAACCAGCGCCTTGACGTCGGCCTTCTTGCACGCGTCGACAATGACCTGCGTCCCGTCTATGTTGACCTTCTTGTACAACGCATCGTTGACCTTGCCGTCCGATTGGGGGGCGGGGGACGCGGTGTGGATGACGGCGTCGGGGCGGATTTCGTCGAAGATGGATGCGATCTTGGAGGCGTCGGTGATGTCCGCCTCGACGTACTTGACGCCGTCGGAGTCGGGCCGCCGGTTGTGTGTGCAGCGCAGGTCGATGACAGACACTGAGCACGTGTAGTCGCGCAGGAGCATGTTGACGATGTGGTGGCCCAGGAAACCGCAGCCGCCAATGACCATGACCTTGCCGACATCGACCCTACCCTCCTTTTCCGAAGCCATTTCTGCTGCCGATACGCCTCTATTGCTGGAGAAGCATGTGGTGTTGTTTGGAAAGAATTGGGTCAATTGGCTTGCCAAGTGGTCGGTGTCAAGTCGAGACTCAGAAACGAATTCAAATGATTCGGCCACAGAGGTACAGAGTTCCTTCCGAGCAAGGATAGGCGACTTCTGCACCTGGCCATGATCATCCTAAAGTAGACCCGGCCAGCCTGCCCAAGTGCCCCCTCCCGCCCCAAAAGCCCGTGCAAGCAACAGTCCAATTGCTGAGACCCCTGCATCGGCCATTTTCCAGGACCCTGGGCCTGCCTGCCGTGAGGCTGCAGTGTGCCTAATCTAGAAGATATTCACGCTTTGAACTCAGATGACATTCATGAACTTCTACTATGTAGAAGTAGTGCCCCTCGTGATCAAAGACTCTGCCCCGCATCATTTCAATAAGACTCATAATCGGTATCGTCCAGCCTCGATCAAAAAAGAAGTATCCAACATCACCCCCAATGGAGCTCTTGCGATCGTCACCCAGCTCAGTCATCGGCAATGGGGAAGAATGAAGACAGCACTGAGATCCTGGTGCATATCACCGCACCAAGCGCTGCAGCAGATGACTCCAGATATCGAGCACTCGCACAGGCATACCTGGATTTCGAGCCCCAGGGATTCGTCGATCTCCCCCAAGATCCGTCGTCAAAACCCAGTGCTGTCCCTTCGGACAAATTCATATCCCCGCAAGCATCGTTTGGGAGCGTCTGGGATAATGTTGGGTCACCGCGCCTGGCAGGAGTAAGCCAGCAGCTGGCACCGTTAGCCGGCATACAGCCTTCTGTACCTCCAGCGTCATCTCAGCCCAGGGATGACACCCAACTCTCATGGGTTGCTCCACCAAGCGAGGTTCCGGATTCGATGCCAGACAATGACATCAGGGCGCCTGCTTTCAACACGCCGACGAGGGTGCTGAACTACTTCCTCCAATCCATAGAGCAAGCGTCTCTCTCCTCAGGGGGAGCTTCTGGCGAGGTACTTGAGGGCGGTAGGAACGTCGGGCATAACAGCCTCTCCCATGCAGCTGCCTCAGAAGGCCTGCTTGTTCGTGGGTCAGGTCTCGACTCAAGCCCATCTACCCGTAGACCGCACGGCCACGCGCCTCAGATCCCAGATCCCATCGAGACTCTGGGCAGTGTGTCCGACGTGACGGAGGACTGCCACGCAGACAAGGCGCCCTCGGGCTCTGGTTCAGCCGTGGAGACGGTGGGTCACCGGACAACGATTCCGAATACACTGCCAGAAAACATATCTGCATTTGTTGTCGACAGCGGTGACTGGGCACACGAAACGCAGCTGATATCGACTGAACCAGCCGTAGCCAACCACCGCCTGGGGCCTAGAGCACCCCAGCACTTGGAGAAGCTGGCGGAGAGCATGCAGATGGGGAGGAAGTACAGGCCGAAGTATCAGGCCAGAGACATGCGGCCTTTCGCGAGGGGATACTGGCTGATGAGGCTGGACGGCTGGAACTTCGAGGAAAAGGTCAAGGCATGGGGCTTCCTCGGGAATTATATCCGCCGGGATGACAAGGCAGGATGGGGCACCAGGGCGTGCCGCGACGAGTCGTGGGATTGGATAAGGCTCTACGGCTGGGAGCACATCGCCGGGGAGCTGTATGCACTTCTGTACGTGGCCAGCTACAGGAAGCTCAAGTACGTGGAGGTCAAGTACTACGGCGCGGCGGGGGACGTCCTAATTGTGGTCGGGCCCAGGGGCACTCAACCAAAGTCCGGTTGAGGTTGGTTGGATGGAGTTTTTGGACTTGGTTGCTTTTGTTTGGACAAACGCATCCACATCGGCGCATCGATCAGGTCTCATGATACCCAGCATCGCATGGAAGGGTGGAGTTACTGGCTGAGGACTGAATGAAACCCCCTGATTTTTACAAACTGTTTCTACGCGACGATTGCTGCGATCGCAAAGGCGGTCCTTCGTCACTGATTCGATTGCGATGATAGAAATGGTTGCCTCGGCGTCCATTGGGCTGCAAGACGACTAGGTGTTGGATGAGCAGCCTCAGCAGATACAAATCATGGTTCCGAGAGCTGGCATTGGTAACAAAGGAAGCAAATGACATGGTGAAGCTACAGACAGTCCTAAAATACTCTCACCAACAGTCGTGTACCGTACTAATGACGCACCGAACCGCCTTGGGGCATAAAAGGATAACACTAACGCACATTTACCGGGAGTACCGCACCAAAAAGAACCGTTCCTTTTCCCGCCGAGTTCCTCACACATACGCCGGTTCCGTGGAACTGCTCCCATCTGTCTCTTCCCTCAAATCGAGAGCTTCTCCAGTTCCTTGCGAAACCTGGAATTTTCAGCAGCTGCTAAGTCCTGGTATGGCTTCTTCTCAGCCGCCGACAGAGCGTGCCACTCCTCGCTCAGCTCTTTCGTGAAGTGTTGGCGTCCAGTTGTCTTGGGCCCATCGGCTCGCTTGGCCTTGACGAAGTAGGCGTACGGGGCGGTCGCAGGACGCTTGGGCAAACGCTCGTCAACGAGCCTGATGGGGAAAGGCGTCATGTTGAATTCACGCTTGAGGCGCTTGCGGGCCACGTTCGCCTCCTGGATCTCGGCTACGGAATGGCTCTCGATCCAGGTCTTCCAGTTGCCAGCATTGACCGCCTTGTTCTGTGTTGCAGTCTCTTCCAGGCGCTGAAGAAGGGACTCAGTTAAAACGCTGTTTGACATGACGTGTGGTAGAATGGGAATACATACCTCCAGCTCGGCGGGGGAAAGGCTCTTGAATTCGGCGGACATGGCTGTCATTTTCTTGCCAGTGTCGCCGATCCCGCCGGACGGCTTCCCCTTCAACGCGTTGCTCATGAAAACCACCCATCTGGTCGCAGGCAGGCTCTTGGGCTCTTGACCCGCCAATGACTTCCTCTTGAGCTCACGTTTCAGCACTGCCTGTTTCTGCTCAGGGGTCAATTCCTTCTTCTTCTTCTTGATGACCGGTCGCTTCGGCTTCGCCACAGCCTTCTTCTTCTTGGCCGGCGCCTTCGCGGTCTTCTTGGCCTTTGTCGCTGTGCCCTTCGCCTTGGACGTGGTCTTGGTCTTTGTCGCGGGCTTCGCGGCGGTACGGCCCGTGATCTTGCTGGCGGTGGCTGTTGCAAAGCCACGCACGGCGACCTTCGACTTGTAGCTAGGCGCGACCAGGAAGCTTCGGCGGACGATGGCGCCACGTGAGGGCAGCGACTTGGCCGGCAGGCCGCGGGCGCAGGGGCGCAGTGCCTGGGCCGCGACAGATCGCATTGTCGCCGACAGCATTTTGGCGGGTGGTGTGCGGCGACTTTGGTGTTTTTTTTGTGGCTTTCGCTGTGGGGTCGATTGAAGTGCCGAAATTGACGTCGAGGTCTAGGAACAGGTCGAGGTAAGAGGTCGAGGTCGAATGTCCTGGCCCCCCCTCGCTTGCTTGCGACTTCCAGCCCCCGTGTTTTAAGGACCTTGGCATGGCTAGCGCGTCCTACTACCCCCCAGGCACAGCACGGGACGATGAATTCCACCCTCCCCTGCAAAGAAAAATGTGTACATTTTCCATAAACGGCTAGCGCGGCCCGCTTTCCCACCTTAGCGCTTCTTGGCACTTCCCAAATCTAAAGTCACTTGAAGAAACGCATCTCGCTCATTTTAAGGAATATAAAGAGTACCGGGTTGGGCCTCAAATGGTGCTCGGCGATGCCTACCGGCACCGTCCGTCCTCGCCCCAGCCGGCCCTTTTTAAATTTTAATTGCTAGCCTTGGGGAAGAAAATTTGATTGAGAAGCTCTTTTGAGAGTGACTTATGTGCTCTGAGATGTTTATTTTTGGAGTGGAGCCGCTTTTCCTTTTTGGGAAAATGTACACATTTTTCTTTGCAGGGGAGGGTGGAATTCATCGTCCCGGGCACAGCACGCATGAAGCTTCCCCCCCTAGTGCGCCTACCAATGCTACCGCGATGGAGCTCCATTATTGGTGATCTGCCGTGCTTTAAGTGGGGCGATAAACAGAGAGCAGACACGGGCAGTACCCCAGTAGTGCGATCCTGGTTGCCGTGCCCCGTTTCCAGTCCGGTCGCTGGCTGTATCATCCCTTTACTGTAATGCTTAGGGCTTGGCTGAAGCGGCTTGCTTCTTTGTCAAGATACACCTCGTGTGTCTACTCAACGGTCTGAGCCATGCCCAGCAAGCAGAAATACACAAAGGCTGTATAGGCACCACGCTGCCAATCAATAGAGATAGAGCGGCCGAGGCGTAAGGAACGACTTATCCTCCGTATTGTTGCGGCTTTTACTCCGTATTGTTGCGGCTTACATGCCCATAACTTGCCTCTAATTCCGGTATATATGCTCTGAGGAGAGAGGCACGCCTACAGAAGTGCTAGACGTTTGCTAAGGTGCTTGAAATAGTCACCGCGTGCACCAAAATGTGTGGGCTGAGACTGTGACCGTCTAGATCTATGTGTGATGGCCCGGAATTGCTAGGGCCACTAACATAGACCCACCAGCCTACCAACGACAGGCGTTAGGCTCGACACCGCCGTTTTAGCCATAGACCCTAGAAGCCGTCGCATCGGATTCAAGTGTTGCAGCCTAGGTCTGATCACTCGCCCATCTCTTGGCCGAGTAGACTTGCGCATCTCAACGCGCAATTTTGAAGCCTCAACTGGCAATCAGCCCTGTCGGACAGTTCTATTGCCTTCCTAGAGGACCTTCTAACCCCAGGCAAACAGCCGCATCCACGAGTGACTGGCCTTGAGCCTTGATCGAGACGTGGCCACCATCTCGGGACCCTTGACTCGTCCAGGTTCTGACCAAAAAGTACTACTCACCGCGCTGAGCCGAAGATTCGATGATGGCTCGCCACAGAACATCGCGCTCACCATCTCCTGCAGGAAGTCGAGGAAGCCGCCATGACGACAGACGGGATCGTGACCGTGACCGTGACCGCGGCCGGCGAGATGCCCCGAGGGACCGTCGACGCAGCCGCAGCCCTGGTCGCTACCGAGACCATTTCGACAGGGACCGAGATTCATACCGTCGCCGGGACCGCTCCATAGACCGGAGAGATCGAGACGACGACTATTACCGTGGCGGACGAAGAGGTGGAGGCTCCCACAGAGACGGCGACAGGCACCGCTCCCGGGAACGGGAGAGGTCTCCACCACGCCGTCGAGACAGAAGCAGGGACAGGGAGAGGGACGCTCGTGGGAGACGCGATGACTCCCTGCTTCGTACTCGGCGAGAGGGCACCGCCGACTCGAATGCGTCACGAAGCAAGACTGACGACGGTCGCCAGCGAGGTCCCACCTCCGCAGCAAAGCCTGGCCCCAAGGATGCTGAAGTGCGTACCCGCTTGCTATCTCCTTATATCCGCCGTGCTAACCATTGTGGACAGGCCGCTAAGTCTACACAAACCCAAGCTCAGGCTCAAAGTGATAAACAGGCGGAACGACTTGCTAAACTTGAGGCTTGGAAAAAGAAGACCCTGACCAAGCAGGCGACCAAGGAGACAGATGCCACGAGCACGCGGAAGCTCCTTGCGGAGATGGATGGCAGGGCCAGTGGCACTCCAACCGCCATAGCCTCGCCTTCGAACGGCACGCCAGGAGCTGCATCCCCCAGCACTCCGCAACCAGCTCAGGATGCGTCTCCTACTGTGCCTTATGCGGGCAAGTTCGACCCCAAAGCGATTGCGAAGAAGTCAGCGGCCCGCCATCACTCTCCTGTCCCCTTGGGCGACATACCAGGAGCACCAGCAGCAACATCCGGAAAGGTAGCCACAAATACGTCGTCTACAGGTCAGTCTCCAGCCTCTGAGGACCAACTAAGCTGCTTTTTGCAGTTGGGTCTGCGTTTTCCCCTGAGAGAAATGACCTTCGCTAACATACTGTGTGTAGCTTCCGCCTTGCCAACTGGTAAGAATATCAGCGGCTTTGGTTTTCAGAAAGCCAATGGGGATGGTGAAAAGCCATCTGCCAAGCGGAAGTTGCTTCTTGATGATGAAGAGACGTCGAACCGCAAGTTAGCAAAGCTTCCCGACATGTCGTTGGAGGATACGGATGCTACCCCGTTTGCTAATCAAGAAGATGAATCGGACTCCGATGGCGACAATTTCGCTGGCACTGAAGAGGAAGCTGCCGCTGCTGCTCGAGCGGCACACGAACGACGGGAGGAGAGAATTCTACAACAAAGCATGGCCATGCAGACAGACGAAACCGAAAAGGAGGCCGAAACAGAGGCCGTGCCTGCCCCAGCAGCGAATGAAGAAGCCCCCTCGGCTACGACCCAGCCAGAAGCCGTACCCGAGGCCATGGAAGTGGACGACGACATCGACCCATTAGATGCGTTCATGGGAGATCTTGCTGACGACACGACCACGAAAGCCACCAAACCTCGCAGCAAACAAAACGCTAAACCCCAGGAACAGGAGCCAGAGGTCTACTTCTCAGACGATGAGTATGACTATATGGACAAGGCAGAGGCGAACCCTGAATCAATTCTAGCCATCACTGCCAAGAAGAAGAAGAAGGACATCCCCAAAATCGACTACAGCAAGATCGAGCTCAATACCATACGGAAGAACTTCTGGTTCGAACCATACGAACTCAGTCAGATGACCGAGGCAGAGGTTGTTGAGCTACGTATGGACTTGGATGGAATCAAAGTCTCCGGGAAGGAGGTCCCAAAGCCTGTCCAAAAGTGGTCACATTGCGGCCTCACTCAGCCCATGTCAAATGTGATTCGTGAATTGGGATACGAAAAGCCCACGCCAATTCAGATGCAGGCGTTGCCGGTCATCATGTCTGGCCGCGATGTCATTGGCGTCGCCAAGACTGGATCTGGCAAGACGATGGCTTTCCTGCTTCCTATGTTCCGTCACATCAAGGATCAGGACCCCGTTCGAGATGACGGCCCAATCGGTCTCATCCTAACACCGACTCGAGAACTTGCTACTCAGATCTTCCGTGACTGTAAACCTTTTCTTTCAGCACTAAACCTGCGTGCTGTCTGCGCCTACGGTGGCCCACCAATCAAGGACCAGATCGCTCAGCTCAAAGCTGGTGCCGAAATCATCGTCGCGACTACCGGAAGATTCATTGACCTCCTAGCGGCCAACCAAGGTCGTGTTGTCAATCTCAAACGCACAACCTTTATTGTGTTGGACGAAGCTGATCGAATGTTCGACATGGGCTTTGAGCCTCAGGTAATGAAGATCTTCGCCAACGTCCGGCCAGACCGCCAGACCGTGCTGTTCTCCGCGACCATGCCTCGCATTATTGATGCATTGGTGAAGAAGGTCCTCAAGAATCCCGTTGAGATTACGGTCGGTGGCAAGAGCGTAGTTGCTCCTGAAATCACACAGATTGTGGAGGTCAGAGAAGAGAAGGACAAGTTCTTGCGTCTCCTCGAGCTACTTGGAAACCTGTACGCCGACGATGATGACGTTCGTGCGCTAATCTTCGTTGAGAGACAAGAAAAAGCGGATGATCTGCTTCGGGAGCTGCTGCGGAAAGGTTACGGGTGCATGTCCCTCCATGGAGGCAAAGACCAGGTGGATCGTGATTCGACCATTGCCGACTTCAAGAGCGGAGTCTGCCCGGTCTTGGTTGCAACCTCGGTCGCTGCTCGTGGTCTTGACGTTAAGCAGCTCAAGCTTGTGGTCAACTACGATGCACCGAATCACTTGGAAGACTATGTTCATCGTGCTGGTCGTACAGGCCGAGCCGGAAACACCGGTACGGCGGTAACGTTCATCACCGAAGAGCAAGAAAATTGCGCGCCGGGCATCGCGAAAGCTCTGGAGCAAAGTGGCCAGCCTGTCCCGGACCGGCTTGAACAGATGCGTAAGGCGTGGAGAGAGAAAGTCAAGGCCGGCAAAGCAAAGGACCAGTCGGGGTTCGGCGGCAAGGGCCTGGAGCGTCTCGACAAGGAGCGAGAGGTAGCGCGCATGAGAGAGCGCAAGACCCACAAGGCCGAGGGCGACGACGAGGATGAAAAGGAGGAGGCGCCAGCCGACGACGAGAAGAAGAACAAGGCTGCGTCGGCAATCCAACAAGCCACTTCTGCCGTCGTTTCTCGCGACGCCGCCAAGACCGCCGAAGAAGGCAAGCCCGGCGCGACAGAAGCAGGCCAGCCGGATGCCGCCGCCGCCAAGGGAGGCGCGCTCGACAAGGCCGCCCAGGCGGTCAACGATATCAACGCGCGCCTCGCCCGCGCCGGCCAGCTGCGGCCGGGGCAGCCCATCGACAACAAGGGCCCAGACGCCGGCGCGTTCCACGCGACGCTGGAGATCAACGACTTCCCGCAGAAGGCAAGGTGGGCCGTCACGAACCGCACCAACGTCGCCAAGATTCTCGAGGCGACGGGCACGTCCATCACGACAAAGGGCAACTTCTACGCGGCCGGCAAGGAGCCGCCGGCGGGCGCGGAGCCGAAGCTGTACATCCTCATCGAGGGAGACACCGAGGTCGTCGTCAGCAACGCCCTGACGGAGCTGACGAGGTTGCTGCGGGAGGGCACCATTGCGGCGGCGGACGCGGAGAACCGCGCGCCGGCCAGCGGCCGGTACACCATTACGTGATCGGCCTCGGGCGTGTCCCACGGGCCACGGGCAGGTTGGGCTGGCGATGCTTGTCCTTAGTTGAGAGTCGTATAAGCAAAGCCGTGCAATCTATACTAGCGCATGGGTGAGGGAGAAATCACGACCAATAAGTTAGTCGCAGAGATACAGCACCAAACATGAACCCATTCCGATCCTATTGGCTTCTGTGTATAGTCTGAAAATTCGGCGGTTCCGTACGCCCTCCGTGTCTAGACTTGTTTTGGGATTGCATGGTTCGACGTAGCCACCCAACCATGACGGAATTGCCTGATTGTTTCTGCCATCGGACGATTAGGGGCTGAAACAAAAACAGTCCCCAACTGCCACTAAGCTCCCTGTCTTAACCGCGTCCGAATATCAAGCCCAGCGGTCAACGGCGCAGCTTGCGGGATAATGTAGAAACATAATCGATCTATCAAGACCTGGGACGAATGCCCTGACAATGCATGAGTGAAACGTGGTGGTGGTGTGGTCCTCGGCCAGCCCTTCTCACTCACTTTGAAGGGCCGTCTGTTGGTCTCATTTTTCTTAGGCCCTCTCGTGCCGGCTGAACGAACGGCGAGGACATTGGCAACCACAACGCCTGCAGACACAAAGCTTCATGGACATAGTTGCAACTAAGTGGTGCTTTGAGACATGGACTTGTAGGTAGAATGTATTGAATGCTAGCCCAAGATTATGTGCAGTTATATACTACGAAAAGCTCGCTTCCCTGTAGAGGAATTGGTACATGTAGTTTGATCTCTTTCTCGCTTCCACTTCAGATCTCCCTCCATATGTATCCTTACACCAGCTTTCTCTGGCCGAACCCCACCCGCATCTTCCTTCCATGGTATCTGATTTCAAGTCGAAGACGAGGTAGCGGATGGATTCGCCACGAATCTGAAAGGAAAAAGGGATCATCGCAATCGTGGGTAAAAAGGTGGTGTTGGCGAAAAAGTGTTTAAATGACAAAGAGAACACATTGCTTGCCCGGGATCGAACGAGATCCACGTGCCGGTGCTGATCATGACGCCAGGCTTTTTAATCAATAAAGTATTTCCGCCGACTCTTTGTCGAGGCGAGGCCAGTGTGCACTATCTTAGTAACCCCGATTGTACCCACTGTTGTACCCACCGCCATAGCCCGTCTGTTGACCGTAGCCGGTTTGTTGGCTATAGCCACTTGGTTGACTGTAAGGCCCATGCCCATACGAGTTGTCGGCATACGGTGCTGGCGCTGCCGAGTGGTCTTCGTAGCCACCTGGTGGTGCGGCATGCGAGACGAGGTTGGCGTGACTCTGGTCGTCGCCCGACGGGCTCAGAGGCCGGTAGCTCTCCTTGGTGTCGAACTTTGTCTTGGCTACGGAAAAGTTGTCCGAGTCGGAATGGGAGACCTTGCGGTCCAGCAACAGGGAGTTGCGGGCGTCGAGAGGAGTAAGGTTGTCGAGGTCGCGCATTTTCTCTGTGAGGATGTGTTAGTGCCTTGTCAATTTGTCCGTCGATGCAGGTCTCCAACTTACCCATCTCCTTTCTGCGCTTGCGGTGAGGGTTCTCCTTGCAGATGGCAATTATAGCGTTCCAGGCTATCAGAATGGCCAGAACACCAGTCAGGGCGGCCTGGATAGCGATGAGGACCACGCCAGTCACGGTAGATGTTGTCTCGGAAACGGCAAACTCGTCGACGAAGATGAGAATGCAGGCAACGGAGAGAACACGAACCACGGCGATGGTGATGTTGATAACGTTGCCCGATTTGCGCTCGTAGGGTCGGTTCCAGAGAAGAAGGCAGAGCATCAGAGCTTCGACTATGAGCTGGGCAACGCTCTGGGCCATTCCGTGGTTGTCGCCAGCGGCCAAGATGATTCCCTTTGCCAGCATGTAGAGAATGGTGGGAACAAAGATCCACCAGTAGTCCTTCTTGTAGTTCTCGTAGAACAGGCTGTACTTGATCCAAATGTCCTTGTTCTCGTACAACTGACTGGCATCGCCGTTCACCTCCTTGAGCTTCTTCGCGGTGGTGAAGATCTTGTATCCGAAGAAAGCCAGGACGCCGGTGAAGAGAGCAAGTGTCACACCAGCCAAGGTCTTGGCAGCCCACGAATCGCCAGTGGTGAACTGAAATATGCAGTACAGAACCCATGTGCCGTACAAGAGCAGGATGAGCTGCGTGATTGTACGTCCCATAGTCAGCCAGTAGTGCTTTCGGAAACCGGTCAAGCCCTTGGGGGAAGCTGCCGAAGAGAGCCCAAGTCTCCAGGATGACCTTGACGAGAAGAATGATGACGGCGATAGAGGCGATGACAATGGCGACAATCAGCAGGACGGTCATGAACGTGTTGGAGGACGGAATGCTCAGCTCCTCGACGTAGGCCTTGATGCCACTCACGGCCACTCGCACCTGAGTCTCGACGCCGCTGTCATCGGAGCCGGCGGAATCGGTCTCGTTGACGCTGGTGTTGATTTCCCGAGCCGCAAGCTTGCCGAAAGCATACATAGCACGCTTGAACTTCGAGGACGAGTCGTCAGCAAGAGACTCGGTTGAGCCATCGTTGAACACAAGCGTAGCATTCTGCAGGAACTGCACGCTGTCCTCTGTCAGATTTCCACCGGTGGCAGCCCGGAAGTCGTCAATTGACATCTGCAACTTGGTCCACGGGATGAGGCCAACCGAGAACGCGAAGTTCTTGGAGTAGCTTCGGTAGACCTGCGGCAGTGAGACAGCCGACATGCCGTTCATGGCCATGCCTTGGAACCAGCCGAAAACCTCAACGAAACTGGGGCTCGGGGCCACACTTCCGGCTCCGGCGCCACCAGCAATAGCTGAACTTGCGGCTGTGGCTCCTCCCATCAACAGAGCCATACCGGCGACTGCGGCCGCGACGTACGTGACTGCCGGGACATCGGTGGTCTTGCCGTTCGAGATTTCGGAAGTGATACATGCAACGTCCTCGTTCGAGTCGATAGCCACAAGTTCGAGTGTAGCTACGGCCGCAATATCGGGGACCTGGAAAGCGATGGCTGGGATCTGGCTGGCGTAGTCGGAGGAAATCTCCTGTGATCCCGAGGCCGAGAACGTGCCCGACGGTACTAGGTCCTGTTAGCCAGTCGTCCACGGCTCGAGGCGGCTGTTACTTACCTGGGCACAGCTGTTCTACGTAGGTGGCATTTTCGCACGGGTTGAACTGGTTCGAGTAGACGTCGATGCCGTAGGCTGTCACGTTCAGCTTGGCCATGACCTTCTGCTCCTTGCTGCTGGAGCCGGACACGTCGAATGTGACGGTCCCGGCGGCCTTGTTGTACTCAATGTCGACCTTGTTGACCTGGATCGCAGAATCTGTCTGACAGTTGGTGAAGCCTGAAGTCTTGAGCACGTCCACCGCCAATGCCCCTCTCGTCAATGCCGTGGCGGCCAGTGCCGCCCCCCATAATAGTGATCTCGCCATATCTGACGGTTGTGTCGATTCCCCGGATCAGTTGGATTTCCCGGGTGGGTGTACCCTTCTTCGAGTAGAAAAGGATTTGTGCCTGTTATCGCGTCGTGCGTCCTCCACTTCTGAGACTGTCGGTTGCGTACTCTTTCCAATCCGCCTGGTTGTGTGCCCTTTTCGAAAATGATTCGTTCCCTTCTCTATGTGGTATCAGATCTAGATAGCGTTTCGATGTAGGAAATTCGTCGATTGAGCTTAGGATTAAAGGTGGATAGGTCGTCTGAGCTGGCTGGCAGGGACGATTCAAAGAGTACTCGATACCGGTCGGCGAGAAGGAACAGCAAAGGGAGTAACAAAGAAACAATGGCACCACAAAGCAGGGTCCTTTTCGGAAGAAAGGCCGAGGGTCAACCTGGAGGAGAAGGAGAAAGAGGAAGAACGGCCCTGTCGTGTGGTGACGAAGAAGGCGGTGTTTTGTTTAGCTGGATGGTCTGTGGCAAGGACGCCAGAGTACAGGGTCGGTCGTCTTCTCTAAGTCTGTCTTGCTGGACAGAGTCGAGAGAGAGCAGGAAGAGGCATAGGCTAGCGTCAGGTCCGAGGGTGTGATAGGTGGTGAAGGAGGGAGTTGAGCAGAGCGAGAGATGCGCGGGCGGGTATGTGAAACGAGCGTACGGGGTAAGGAGGTGTGGTGACGGTTCCTGGCGACGGCGTCGAGACGATGAAGCCAAGGAATTGTCTGACAAGTCTCCGAACTCCCAAGGAAGAAGGCCCCGCGGGTGAGGTGAATATCAAGAACTGGATGGGACGAGAGTGCCAATTGGGGCAGAGATGGTTGGATCACGGACGCCAGAGGCTATGAAAGAGCGAAAAGACCACGATGGATCAGCAGTTAGTGGTTAGAGAGAACGGGTGAGAGCACGGCGGAGGAGAGGGAAAAAGGCAAGGTCCAAGGAGGAGCATAGCGTCGAGACGGGCCTTGGCTGGTGCCGGCGGAGGCCCCTTGGACGTCGAAATTGAGCGCTCATTGGCGAGATGGGACCATCTGGCTCGCCTGGACACCTCCTGGATGTGCTGGCTCGAGCTCATCGCCAGGGTGTGATGGCCAGGGTCTGACCTCGATCTGGACGCGGGTCGGACGGCGATGTCGACGACCAACCAGGCCCGCCCGTCTTTGTCGACCAGGCGGGAGACCAGGCACGCCCTGGCCTGGGCAAGATGAGGACGACCCACCCTGCAGGACCAGAACAGGACCTGGCGCGCAGTGGCGGACCTGGCACGCCTGGCTGGCTGGCTGGCTGGCGGGCTGGACGGCAGCTGGACGGCACCATGGGCGCGACGGACACGAGGAGGAGGAGGCGCCTGGTGGGCAGGCTTTTTCTCTGGCTGGTGGAGTCGAGATTGGGAGAACCAGACAACGCGAGGTCCGGCCCCTGACCTCCATGACCAGTAATTATTCGCCAAGCAGGGGCCATCCCGAGAGCCCCCACACGAAATGAAACGTCCGCGGCTAGGGGGGCTGAGCCATTCCGTCCCCTGCAGTAGCTCCACCCTTGGGATTGATCGAGCCCAGCAGAGCCCAGCAGAGCCCAGCAGAGCCCAGCAGACGGGCAGCCATTGGCCCCCGGCTCTGGCACACCAGCTGGCTGACCCCCTCCTTCCCTCGCTTCCGTCTTCACGAGCACCAGCGACAAGCCAGCGGGAGCCAGCCAGTGCCAGCCAGACAGCCAGAGCAGGCCAGATCCAGCCAGTGCCAGCTTGGACCTGGGCGCCGTTGCGTTGATCCGCCCCACTCTAGCTGCTATTTTGAAACGGGCTCTTTTGACGAAGCTCCACGCGCCCTGGCCATGGCTTGCCCTCCTGCCCTGCTTTTTTGCTTGTCTGCCTGTGATGGACGGCCGGGCTGGCTCGATCTGTTGATGTGCCGAGAGCATGTACATATACGCTTCCCCATCTGCATATAGCAGGCGGCCCTGCATGCATGCTGGCCTGGGCACGCGATAAAAATACGAGCTGATCGGACCAAGGCTCGGGGTCGAGGACTCGTCGTCAAGCTTCGGGGGGCCACAAGTCAAGGCGTCGCTACGGAGTAATTTACCTTGCCGCCTCACATCCTGCTACCCGGGTGGGTGTCTGTCTGTCTGCATTTTACCCTTTGGCTCTTTTGCTGGTAGCTGATCCTCCTCGGAGCCACCCCCTTTCGTGACCCAGTGTAGCACATAGCAACAGACCCTGGACTGATCAACGTCGTGGGGACCAAGACGTAGGAGACCACGCACTGCACATACGTACTCTTGCTGCACACTACGCACTGCACACACAGCTCTCGACAAGCTGGACAAGACATCAATCAAGGCAAATCCGTGCCCACGGCACTGCCCACCACGGAGAATCAAAATTGAAAAGGCTCGGCACGTCACAGCAAACCTTGAACGACCTCCAAGCCTCGCAGCTTATGCTTTCTGCGTTGAGAGCTACGCCACCCTGGGAGGGGTGTGTTCCCCCAAAAACGCCTGGGCCCCGTTTCGTTCTAGCAGACCTTCGAGAAGCCTCCTCACAGGGTCTTGTCTGAGACAGGAGCACGGGTTCACCCTCTCAGCCGCGCAGAGGAAGGGAAAAGGCTGTGCCGCACGCAAGACCACGGCAACTAGTGCTGAGATGCATAGACCCGAGGCTTTGGGGGTGGCCTGGGGCAAAGGCGGGCCACCAACAAAGCCCCCCCCCCCCCCCCCCCCCCCCCCGACGATTGAGGAGAACCCAAATTTGAGTGTTTATGCGGATGGGTTTTGGCCTTCGTCCGGCCAGTAGATAGCATGGAGATATGTCCAGCCAACAACCCTGGGGCCCGCTGGCCCAATCCCCGAACCCCAATAAGGTCAGGAGTCCCATCCAGTTATCACTACCACGCCTGGCATCATCTAATCTTCCAGGACCCTGCGGTGGCGCGGCTTCGGGACTTGAACTGTGATCGCCCCGTTGGCACAGCCGGCAATTTCGTCCCGGCCCCGGGGCCAAATCCATCCCGTCGGCACCAGTAAGTCGCGGCCACGCAGACTGGATTGAGCTGACTTGGAACTGGAACTGGGGATTATCAACGGACGAGAAATCGGGACATATTGGCCCTCAGCCTTGTTTGCGGGATATTCAATGGCCTGTCGGTCTGCAAATGCGGTTCATCTTGCTTGGCCCATGCCCGGGGTCCAAGATTAAAAGGCCGGGGGCTCAAGGCAAGCAAGCCTGGCGGTGCTTTGTGCTGTGTCTACGGACCGGGGTGGTCTCATCAGGTGCCATCGGTTTCAGTGTGGCTACTTGCTCTGGCTCCCACACGCCCCCTTTTTTTGGCTGGACGATGCTGCACGTAATTGGTTTCAAAACGCTCGATATATTCTTGTACATGATCCTTGACGTGGACAATTGCTGTCGTCATTCCTGTCCAAACGTTCCAATGAGCCAGGTAAAGACCTCGGCAGAGGTGAAGAAGAAATAAAGGTCTATAAGACAACGCCGAATTTCGAGATAACCCAAATGTCTCCGGTGTGTATAACGCTCGTGTTTTCCACCAAAGACCCGCAAATGAATATTGCAAAAAGTAACCTCCGTTTCCTTGCACTGAAAGCCCACTGAAGGCTCCTCGGCCGCGGCACAAGGTGATGGTCCGCCATGAACCAGACCACACAGCAACATCGAGGTAGAGGGGTATCTAAGGAATTCATGATCACAAAATGAAAGTTGAAGAAATGGTCGTTACGTCATTGGTGGGAGTAGAAACCACCCTGGCCCTGAAGGGGTGACCGTGAGTACGGCGATGCTGACCCCTGCGGAGTGTAGTGTCCTGCAGCGTTGGCAGGGTCAAGCGTTGTATCGTAGATCTGGTTTCCGGAGGCATCCTGTAGGCCGAGGGGGTTCATGAACGCCGGGAAGGGTTCGACGTGTTGTGGAATCGAGATGAATTGCCCACCCGGTGCCATGAATGGGCCGGTCGTCGCAGGCAGGTTCTGATAGGCCCCTTGGCTCTGGAAGCTGCCACCCATCGCGTTCTGCTGAAGCCCAAGGTTGGCGGCACTGGGCTGGTGCAGGCCATGCATCGAGGAGCCATAGAAGGTGTTGGGGAAGGCTGGCTGCGTCTGGTAGCCATATGGTGAGTGTTGATTGTTCGGATATGCCAGCACGCCCGGTTGCTGCTGCTGCTGCATAGGTGAGTGGCTGGCATGCGGAGAGGGGTTGAAGAGCTGAGCTTCGGTCTTCACTGAAGGAGCAGGAGGGAAGTTCCTAGGCGGAGGCTCCTGGACTGGACTGATGATGGAATCAGGCTCGAGCTCCTTGCGAGCTACCAGGCGGAGCACCGGCAGTGTCATGTTTTCCATGTGCTTTGCCAGGTGGACAGTGAGCTTCTTCCAGGTAGGAAGCGACTTGCCGCAGAACCGGCAAGGTTCATCTTGTGGTCTGCTCGTCGTCTCTGCATGGCACCTCTCGACCTTCTGCCACGTCGGGTCCTGGCCTCCAGCCCGCTTGATTGCGGCCTTGGTCTTCATCTTTGGCTCCTGGAATTTATGCTCCCGAACGAGATGCTGCAGGAAGTTGTCTCGCCTGTAGCAGGTATGTCGACAATCGTCGACATCGCATGTCCACCACTCCAAGTGCCTACAACCCCAGTCAGCTATGTCCATAATCGATCGAGATATTCAAGACGGTATAGAGCGCCGCGGCGGTCCAGTGGGTGCTTACCGGTGGCCCTCATTTTCATGTCGCACCCAGTCCGCTTTTCTCTTGAAGATCTTGGGTTCCCTGCATCTATCCCATGTGCAACAGAATGGCTGTACATCTTCGTGGACATGTTTCGTCCAGTCGGAGGGCTTGGTAAACTTTTTGGCCTGGTAGCAAAGCTGGCACTCAAACTCGGCCGGCAGTGTGCTGGCCGGTGGCATCGGAATATCTGGGGGAAAGCTTTCTGCTGTGACCACCCCCTCGAGTGGAGTCACATCTCCTTCAGACCCGTCGTAGACATTGGACAGAGGGTCCAATCCACGACCGTCACCTTTTGTGTCGAGTAGATTAGCCGATCCTCCGAGGGCGATGCACATAGTGCCGCACGGGCAGCTGTTGGATGAGATATGCTGAAGGTGTTTGACTTTATGATTCAACAGGGCCTTATATCGGATGACCTGCTGATGTGCGATCCGGTCAGCGAGGTAGGTATTGTGTTCCGCTAAGCGTGGGTTCATCAGCAGCGCATACTGCCTAAATCCGGCGTAGTTAGGCGTTATATCGTCAATGGCATTGTTGGCTTGCGTGTTGAGGCCGGTTTCCTCGTAAGTATCATCATCGTCTTCCTCGTCATCGTCTAGATCCGCTGCTGGTGCAGGTTTTGCTAGCTGAGCGACTGGTGGACCACCATTCTTCTTCCACATGCCAACAAGGTTGGGATGAGACTCGTCCTTGGCCCCTTTTGGGAGTTCTGACTTGCTCCTTGGTCGCCTGAGAGTATTCATAACCTGGAGATTGAAGGGGCTCTTTGGCGAAGTCGCGTTGCTAACAGAGCTGGTGCGGGCATGACTGGTGCCAATTGTCGCAGCACCCGCGGCCATAGAGACAAGAGCTGTGTTGAGGGAAGGCATAGGCTGCTTCTTGCCCCAGCTGCCCGTGCGGCCTGGGGGCGCCAGGCTGTTCTGACTCTCTCGCCGGTCCAGAGCCTCGCTATCACCCGAGCCGACGCCTTCCTGAATGCTGCGATTGCGCTTCAGCAAATTGGTTGTGCTAGACTTTCGGACAAAGCCGCGAATCTCTTTGAAAAGCACGCTGGGCTTCCTCTCTCGGCTTATCGAGAGCTTTTTCAAGAAGCTGCCGCTGGTGATGCCGTCTATATCTGTGATGCTCGGTAAGCTTCGGCGACGAGTGCCCCAGGTCGCTGCTCTTGAAAGGATGGACGAGTTGTCCTGGCACATCTGCTCAAACTTCTCCATTGCAGCCTTTGATGACTCGGGCTGTTGGCGAGCTGAGTCGTTTGGGCTGATATGGAACACCGCGGGTGCGTCTGACCAGACCCGATGCTGCCGCATCAGATCGATATCTTCTTGTGTCAGGGCTCCACCGTCCCCTGTATAATATGTCTGCCCGGGTAATGGTTTGTTCTCAGTTTCGTTGCCCATCGCTATCTCTCTGGAGCTGATTGTGTCGTCGCCAAAGTCATAGAAGTCCGGGAACTCCGTCGTGCCTTCAGGAGGCATACCATCGTCGGACGACACGATCCAGTTCCCGACTTCCTGGTTGCGCTCTGCGACTTTGCGGCGCGCATCCTGCTCATTAATGCTAACAGATTCACCGGCAGAACGGTCCTCGGGGCCCCAGCCCCTGTATCCAGCTCGTGGGTGCGCAATCCACGCCCCTTGCTCGTCACGTGCGACAGACGAGGTCTGGTACGAGGCTTCAACAAAGTTGTCATCGGTACTAAGCCCGGCAGCCCGAACGGTCGTTGGACTCGCTAGATCCTCGGGATAGAGACCCTCCTGGTCCCTCCCCCACATGGAAACAGTGACCCGGGGGCTCGGGCTGGCCATTGCTATGCTGTCTTCGGCAGAACGCGAAGCGAAGTGAGTTTCCGGGCTGGTCTTCGTGGCGAGCCGACTCAGAGTTGTGTGGGAGGGGACTGATCTCGGCGCGTGCGAGAACCCTTGAAACGAGACTGGTTCAAGAAGCGCTTCGCCAAAGGGTTTAGGGCTCTTGTCCTCACTGCTGGGGGACGTCGTATGAATGGAAGGTGTTGTAGGGTCAGGGCTCAAGGGGTAGTTTTGCAGATCGGCCGCATGTTGGGGCCTCGACGGCCGTGCCCGAGGGAACGACGAGTCGCTGTGTTCACTGGAGTTTTGGTCATCCAAGAACGATGGCGTACCCCCGTCGTTGTTGAAGTCAACGCCAAAGAATGGGTCAGCGTCGACCTCGAGCTCGCTCAAGTCGCTCGACTGGTAGTGGTCGCTGAAGGCGGATAAAGAGTCTGCCGGCGTGCTCGCGTCCTGCAGCACAGGCGAGGCAGAGCTTTTGGGGAGCTGTGAGTAGGGCGACAGGTGGTTGGAGACGAAGGAGGCCGTAGAAGGAGGTGGATGGGCGTGGTCAGCTGTTTCGCGGTTGACAGCGGGCCATGTCCTGTCACTCCCGTTGCTGCTGTCAAGCAGAGATGGTTGTATGCTGTAGGTCGAAGAAGACATTGGTGTTTAAGTGCAAGGGCGAGGAAGGTGGGTAGGTATTGGGGCGCAGGCGTATGTATTGAATCAGAAGGATGATGTAAAGTGACAAGGCAAACATGTGGGAGTATCCGTCACTTTCGGCTCGACAACCGGGCCTTGCACACGTCGCAATGACCACCAGTGCGTGGTGAGTAGGCTCGAGGCTTCGGGATCTTGCCGGTGTTTTGCAGGTGCGGAGACAGTCTTTTGATAGTCGCGCTCGAGTGCCGTCCAGACTTTGACAGAGTTGTTTCGTTTGAAGACAAAGCAGGAAATATTTCGAGAGGAAGAGATGCAGTCTGATCTTGGGGGCGAGGCGCTGTTCCTGTACCCGCGAGACCAATCCGGCGCAGCGCTTATTCCCATATGTTGGTGTACGACGTACCAATCAAGAAAAGCGCGGGTGCGGAACAGGGGCAGGGTTCGAGGCAGAGGTGAAGATCAAACTGCCCATGATGGGTGAGCCTTCCAGAGCGGTTTTAGACTTTGGTACCCGTTCTCGACGCCTTCTGGCATGTGGGTGTCGATTTCGCATGTGTCTGGCAATGATCACTTTGGAAATGAAGGGTGTCATTCCACTGCGGCGGTGCAGAGAACGAAATGGAAGAAAGGCAACCGCTCGTGAGAAGGGCGGGCTAATGCAGGTCACAGCTACATACTCCACCGCGTACCACTCACTCGTGTGGGAAACTCGCACGTATGGTACATATCCCAGCCAGATCCAGCATGTACCGATCTTCGGGGTCAGCTTGAGTATTGATGTCAGCAAAAGGACCGCCTAGCGAGGATTGGAGCAAGGGAACGAGGTCGCGCGCTGCGTCTCGTGCGATGGCGCAGGTTCGACAGGCAGAATTCGAGACCTGCGGCTCAATCACCAAATGGAGCATGAGAAAGGACGAGGCTTTCCGCTGGGCGCACTGGCGGAAATCCCCCCACGAAACAGCCCAACGCAGCCCCGTTCAATGTTTCCAGGACGCTCCTTCAGACGACGGCAAAAGTTGATAGTTGGATGGTCGTGTACCGCATTCTGGCACTGCACTCCCTAAACATGGCACAATCAAGCTTTATTATACAAGCTTGGCCAGGGGATTGAGACTGTTGGTTGACAGGCCGCTCATTAGACGCCAGGACGCGATAAGCGACCAGGCAGTATGAAATGGCGCTTGAGACCTGCTCTGCAGAATTGACCACTTTTCCAGTCGAGTCGAGTCGAGTCGAGTCGAATCGCGACTCAATGGCATCTGACGACATTCCAATTGACTTGAAAGTGCACAAGGCTCTAGGAGAGAGACCATGATCTACATAGATCATTCAGGCCACTCCGTCCGATCCCAGATGGTCAGCCTTTCAATGAAGTGTCTTGGCGATGCGGGAGCTCCGCCCTGCACTGCACCGCCGCGGGGCAGTGTGTGGGCGATGTGTACAAAGTCCGCAGATGCTCTCATGCGCGCCCGGGTGACGGAAGACATGGCACCCTTGATCATTGGTGAGATCCCTAAGCCTGGTGTCAGGCTCCCGGCCTGCTGACGGGCGTGTCCCGCGGAATTGGCACGATGCAGCAGAGCGACGGCGGCAAGGGAGCCAGCAAGTGAGGTCGGTGGGTATGTAGGCAGGCTCCGTTGGCGCTCGCTGACTCATCATCTATCCGCATCCCGTAGATGTCATTTCCCGAGGTGGCCGAGGCCGACGAGCTTAGTGCCAGGTTGCTCGTGAGCTCCATCACTAGTCGCCCATTTACGAGGACAAACTCCCGCAACACCAAAGCCGGTGGGTTGGTCAATATCATCAGAAAACCTCACAACGAAGTCATAATGGTGAGTACTTGATTGGCTAGGTCTGGTCGTTTCTAAGCTAATACCGATCAGGGTCTCGAGCTTCCGTCGTATATCCTAGGAGCGCTGACTGTGAGTGGAAGCTGAAAGTTGCGGGGGTAGCTGGACCGTCCATCCGCGCAGAAGAAGATCTTGTCAAGTTTCGTCGCGACATGGGCATTTCAAGCGGCTTGTGTTTTGGTATTAACACAAGCATTTTGAGATGCTTGGACGTAGATGCTAACATATGTCCGCGGCACTAGGCGTCAGGCGGTATCATTGGCTATGCAAGGACGAAGAGTCTGCCGTCAATAATCGCCGGGTGCGCCGTTGGCTTGCTGTGTGAGTCGAAACAAACCTTTTCTGTGGAGAGGAGAGCGGCGATTGACCATTGATAATAGACGGACTTGGTGGATATCGCACGCAGAACCACGAACCCTACGGTGTCGAATTAAGCCTTCTCGCTTCCATTATCCTGGGCGGGTCGTCAATTCCAAGGGCCATCCGGCTGCGAAAGCCCGTCCCCGTGGCTCTCAGTATACTGGCCACCATCGGGGCGCTGATATTTGGCAATGGACTGTACCAGCACAGTAATTAGATAGTTGAAAGCGAGCCCCGCCAATTCAGGCATCGAGCAGCAGAGCACGTCCCCCCATCATCATTGTTGGTCGTCAATGGTCGATGGGATAACCTGTTGGAAACATGGTGTCCGTCCGCGACCCGGAGGGCAACACACAGATTATAAGGCTATCTCGCGCAACGACGAGAGTTGTATCAGGCATAGTCCTTCCATAGAAGCTGGCCCATCACGCCCGAGCCGTGCTTTGCGAGCGCCGGTTTCAGACACTGGGGTATTGTTCGCTTCGACCTGATCCAGTCTGTGCGGTATAGAATCTCGGCTGTCGTTTGCAGATTCGTGGCCGTCGATCTTTGTAGTTGGTGATTGGGTATTTAGGAGTTCTCGTCAATGTCCTTCCACTTCTGCCGGATGACATCCCTCTTCTCCTGTGTCTTGCTGCGGTTGGTGTCCTGGCGCTTCCTCCTCTCTGCTCGGAGACATGCGCTGAGGGCATCTTTTGCGCCGTTGCACATTCCCATTGATTTCCACAAGAAGCCACGTTCGTGACACTCTTCGAGAGCCGTCATGAGGTCCTCGCAAGCTGTGTGGCACGGCCGTCAGTAGTGGCGCAAACGCAGGGGGTCTTGTCGCATACCGGTGTTGTCCTTTGTATGCAGGTGAGGATGCATTTTGGTTAGGATCAGCGAGTCTTGCGCTGCGTTGAATGTGCAGAAGGCGGAGCGTCAAGAGGTTCCAATCGTTGAAGATTGATTACTCGAGAATTGGTGGCTTTGTTCGCGTCGATGACGGAGCGCTCTGGTCGTTCGACAAGTTTTCTGCGATCCTTGCCGTTGCAGCCCGGCGATCTCGCTAGCAGAAGCTATGACCACTTTGACACCCGGCAGCAGTGGAGCAACGGTGACAATTTTAGCCACTGCAGGTCCAACTGGTACTTGGTAGGTAATCATCTCACAGCTCCACGTCCTAGCTCCAGTATCTGTGCCAACAGGTGTGAGCGACTGAATACCGCTTCAAACTACACCTCTTCTCAGTGCGACGTCTGATTACAATTAACAAGGCTTTTAATTCCCCCAAAATTCGCCCTCGGAACCATACGGGTCCAGCTCACAGTCTTTCACTTGAGACAACGTCGCGGACTGCTTTCAGACCCCTGGACCATCAAAGTAGAAAGCCCACCATGGCGACCCAGTCGGCGGCAGCTTCAAAGAAGCAGCAAGGTGAGGATGTTTCCAACCAGGGTTGGGTTCTAGGACTAACAAAAACGCACAGATCTCCAGATGCAATACAGCACCTATAAGAACACCTTGCAACAACTCGCCCAGAAAATCGGTGACGTTGACCAGGAGAAGGAAGAGCACAAGTGCGTTGTCACTCCGCGGCCCTGTTTTCTCTGCTCTTTTCACATCCAAACACCCGCCGCATGAGTTCAGATGAGCTCGAGGCTTTCACTTTGCTACACCGCTCCGTGGTCATCGTCTCCTCTTCACTGCCCACAGGCTAACCACAGGGATTTAGAGCCGTCCTGGAGACATTGGAGCCGCTCTCGGGGGACCGCAAGTGCTTTCGGATGATCAACGGTGTTCTTGCCGAGAGGACTGTCAAAGATGTCGTTCCGGCACTGAAGACGAACCTCGAGGGGCTGGAGAAGGTTCTGACCGAGCTCACTGAGCAATACAACACAAAGACCACCGAGATGGAGAAATGGAAAGTAAGTTTTGTCTTTGTCAACTTTGGTCCCTCATGGGCTCTGTATGTCTAACCCGTACTATAGAAGAAGAACAATGTCCAGGTGGTGCAGTAGGACTGAGTGCACAAACACCGCACGAGCAAGCCACGCGCCGAGCACGATATCGGGACAGGCTTTCTGGGGCTTCAGAGGCATGGATTATTTGCTGCAGGTTCAATACTTGTCTGTTCCGTACTAGAAACGATGTCATCATGACGGGTGACGTATGTCGTCGATGGACAATGACAGCCCTTGAAAGCAGATGTCGGCCGAGAATGAGGTTTCTACCCTAGTTGCAAGAGACCCTGGCACGGCAGATGGGAGGCTAAGGAGTCCCTCGAATTAGAACAGGACCGATGGCCATGTCATGAGTCCTCGGAGGTTCGACGAAAGATGGTGTGTACTGAGTTGTACAAAGTCAAGTCTCAATGTCCAGAGAGGGCAGGCGGCAAGGGCGCCTTTCTACCCAAGCGGCAGTCCGATACGTTTTTGAGGCTGTCGGGCGCTGATAGGTTACCAATGTATTCCATGGCCTCGCATACGGCCGCAGACTAAGGCACCTGCTTCAGGGTGCCTAGGTTGCACGTGCTCACGGCTCGCCGGGCACTTTTCCTGCCCAGGCACGATCGCATCTCCTCGAACGTCACGTCCATAGATTGGGTTTCAATGGACTCCTCGGTTGGAGTTCGTGCCTGGAAACACCCGTCGCGAGCAATGGGACGGACCGCAGTCATGAACGCTTGTACCCCAACTTGTCTCCTCGAGTGAATCACCACATGACCCCACCGAATTCCCGAGATGTAACTGCCGATTTCTGTTCGCATTCAACCGTGCAGTCAGGGAACGCTGGGTGGAGAGCTAAGCCATATTGATGCATGCTTGACGAATATGGCATTGTGTCGGTTTCTTCCCCCCAAAGGATCTGTGCGAGGATTGCCACCGCATCAATCCCTTCCGGTGTGTGAATGCAGTCATTGCGGCGACAAGGGGGGCAGTTGATGCGGGTCGGCGGGCTCGTCGACTAGTTTAGTTTATAGGGCGTGGGCACCCTACTGCAAACTATCTTGATCGCATCGAGGCCCAGTGTGCCCTTCCAGGCGACACCTCTGATGGATGCGTGTGAGTTGGCAGAGGAAGCAGAAAAAAGCAAGACAGTCAGCCTGATGCATGCATGGTAAAGTTGATCGCGGGTGCCACATAGCCTCCGCCAGGATCACATCGCACAGAAGCACGACCTAGTATCTTCATGTACATGACCGTGGTTGCGTCCGAAACGTCCGGCCTGCCCATCCCGGGCCGCGGAACGATAACTTGCATGCTTTCATCGAGACCTTGAGGACAACAAATGTGCCTCATTGGCCGACCGGCCGGTGGAACTGGCGCAATGTCTCCCAGCCTTGTCCGCTGCAGTGTTTGGCGGGGCGAGCTTATTTCCACGTTGATGATGGCTCTGCGCCAACCATCCTAGCTCTGTGATACAGGGAGGCGCCGTCCACGGCTCAGCCTTCTCCTCGTCCCGCGTTCGTGACGCACAAAATCCATTAATAAACCCGTTCCCATTGTTGGAATCGAGGCGTGGGTGACCACCCACTCTGTCAAGACCTGGGGCACGCAGACAAGGCAGAGCTGGATGCAAGAACGTCAGGCCCCCCAAGATACGACCACTCCGTCGCAGAGAAGGCCTGCTCGGTTTGCCCAACGTATAGGCAACAAGGGCAGGGCGACAAAGTGGTTGGCAGCAGTTCCACCGTCCCTCGTCTGCTTCATCGAGATGGCATGACGACGCGAGGGTACTTGGCGGCCTTCACCGCCAAGATACAGTACAACCCTTGATGCGGCGGGAGCGGATGCCTCCCTCCTTATGCTCTGCAACGCCGTTGTGTGCGGCTGTCAAGGCGAGAATCGTTGGGCTTGGCTTCCCTAGGGGATCATTCCGGAGACAGCAACCTTGAAAATGTGCAAGCTTCAAGGGTTGGGCAGCCGGGGCGCAAGTAGCGGTATGGCAAGGCCAGGCTTGAGGGATCGAGCTGATCGAAGCCCAGCAGACACCTTTTTTGCCCAGGGAGGTATTTGGGGGTCTCCGTGGCTTCCACCGACGGCGCTGTTGCATTTCGTTGTCAATGAGGTTCGCCTGCCCTGTCTGCGCAACCCCGCGTTCTCAGCTGTGGATTGCATGCGCCTGCAGTCAGCACTCGGTTGGTTGGGGCCCGATGGGGTTCCATCCCATACGACGGACCCCTTCGTGGGCAGCCAGCCAGCTACGGTTCGTAGCGTGCTTACCTCCTGCCCAGCGCCTGGAATCCCGGGAAAGATCGGGATCAGGCTCGCACGATGGTTTCCCGGCACGAGTATCGCAGACCTACCGTCGTCGTGTCAGAAATGTGATCTGCCGGAGTCTGCAGTAGGCGTTGTAGTGGCCGGGCAAGATGGCGATGGAAGTGGGTGGAGGTGTCCATCCGGCCCTGGAAGAGGTAACGGGGGGCGGGGGGAGGACCATGCGATCCCTGCTTTATCGATAAAAGCTGAGCAGGTGAGAGCTGGTCGAGACGGGATGAAATGGTTGTCTGTCTGTTGGTGGGCCTCCAGGGCTGCTCCTGCCTACCTCGCAGGGTACCTGCCTGCCCACCCGGTTTGCGCGTGTGGGTGCGGTACCTCGCAGCTCCAGACTCCGTACCGAGACGCGTCTCAAGCTCGCTCGCCCAAGGTTGGGACCGATCTCTCGCATCTCTCTCCGCCTTTTCCAACTTTCCAATCCTTCCATCCGGCTCCAAAACCCCCCGCGTCTTCATTGCGGCCCAGCTGTTATCGAATCACCTGCCTCGCAGCTTTTTCACAGACCAAGGTGTCCTGTCCTTGAACCTTTTCCGCGTGGACGCGCCCCGTTCCAAGGCCAAGGTGATTGGTCCGACCGCACCTGGCCACGGACAGCCTAGACCTACGCATGCTCTGCATCAACTCTGGAGTCAAGCCAAGGCAAGCAGTCCAGTCGCTGTCTGCTTGCGCCTACCCGTAACGTACTAGGTGCCCCCCAGGTATGTATCTGGCGTGTGCGGAAACGTCACTTGGTGTGCCCCGTGCCCGGTGTGCATGTTCGACGGTAGCAACAGGATGAGCAGGACGAGAGCATGCGGGCGAGGACGTGGGTGGATGTGGATGGAGCGCGATTGTGGATGGGCATGGGGATTTTGAACGTGGCTGGTGCGCTGAAGATCTGGGGCCCCCTCGTGCCTTGCCCGTTCCGCCATGTCGTTGCGCGCGACTTGAAACCTCCACCTGCCAAAGCCCGGCAGAGGACCGCTTTCTGACGCGATTTTGCAGACTGTCTACATCCAAGGCACGCAGGTTCCCAGCACCCTCAGCCAATCCTCTCCAGTCGCCTCTCGCCGGCGCCTCCCACCTATCGTCGCCTGGTTCCTGTCGCGCACACCTCACATACATTCATACTACATTCATCTACTCAGGCAACACACTTGCTGTGTCTATTTATTATATCCGCGTCCCAGCCCGCGGCTTATAGCCAACCAGCGTCGCCTAAAATTCCCGTCAGTGTAACCCGCAGAAGGCAAGACAACAAGCCTTGTTTGTCTGAACACGACACATCGGGACGGGATATTGAGCAACTGCCATCGGGGACCAGCACAGGAAGCCAAAACTCTATTTTTCGGTGCCCCAGTCCCAAGTCGTGTCTGGCTCTTCTGTCCAGGACAGGGCCGAGACGACATCCTGCAGCCACGCGATCCAGCAGCAGACGGGCCAGCGAGCTACAGCACTGTACTATCCAGCACTAGAGAACCAGTGACTACTGTGGGTCCCGCATTAACCCATCCCACCCCTCTCGCGCGTCCCGCCTTGAATCTCCGTTACAGCCTGAATCCTCGACCCGGCCTGGTGGACGACAAGTGCACAATAACAGCTCCAACCCAACGGCCACTGTCACTCTCAGCATCCGGACGGAGGCTGCGCCCACCATCCGCTGTACCAAGTGTTAAGAGGGCTGCCGTCGTTAGCCCTACCACTACTTGCCGGGAAGGGAACAAGTAAAAGTAATCCTGCCACGCGCGGACAAGGCACGATTGACGCATCTCTGCAGCTTAAGCAGACCCAAAAAAGTTGCACGCCTCACTACCCTGCAACGTGTCAGGGTGTCAGGGACACATCATCTCCCCCAGCATTTGTGCGAGGGACTCAGGCCAAGGAATTTTCAAGAAGTCTGCACCCGCTGCAGGTAGCCAAATATGTCGGATTCCCCCCAATCCCCTCCCAAGGAGGTCGAACAAGGTGTACAGTCACCAGACGAGGAAGCACAAATGAATGATCCTCAAGACCCACAGGCAAGCGGCCTCGCCTATGAGTTCGAAGTGAAGGAGCAGGACCGGTGGCTGCCGATAGCGAATGGTGCGTCTTACTCCCCCTTCTGCTTCGTCGTGATTCGTGAGGGCGTGCGCTGCTTTGTCCATCTCTGGTTTGCGCTGCATGGCTACTGGCTCTCGCTTGAGTGGCATGCTCCTGCTCTGCCTCTAAGAAAGCACCGCGCATATCCATTCGTCCATGTCCCACGACTCGTCTCCAAAGTCGCCAGAAGCGCCTCGCGCTTCATCCAAGGCCGACAAATACGATCTCTACGATGCTAACATACGCAACTTTGCGCCAGTGGCCCGTATCATGAAGAATGCTCTCCCAGAGAACGCCAAGATCGCCAAAGAGGCCAAGGAGTGCATGCAGGAATGTGTTAGCGAATTTATCAGCTTCATCACCAGTGAGGGTAAGGCCGTACTCGTCACCCCATCCCCTGAAAGAGAGGGAGTGTCTGCATGAGGGAGAGAGTGACAGGTCACCTGAGCGTGCAGATGACTGACCAGACATAGCCTCTGAGAAGTGCCACCAGGAAAAGCGCAAGACGGTAAATGGCGAGGACATCCTCTTTGCCATGACCTCTCTGGGATTCGAGAATTACTCGGAGGCACTGAAAATCTACTTGTCCAAGTACCGCGAGGTATATTCACCCTTGTCATTTCACCGAGTGAGAATCAGACAGACCGCGCAGGCGGGCTAATGACTACTTGCAGCAGTCTCAGTCGAACAGGAGCGAAAACCAGCAAGGCCGACCAGGTAGTCAAGGCGGCTACGGTGCCCAGGGCGGCGCGGCAGGTCCGTCAAACTCGGGGTCTTCGACTTTCCCAACCGGTGACCTGCCTGGCCAGGGCACTGACGGGGCAGAACCCAACTACATGTATCAACCAGGACACAATGGAACTGGAGCAGGCGAGGGCTATTAGGAGGGTTGTGATGTCGATCATTCAGCGGTTCCAAGCCGGTAAACTCACCTGCTGAGCATCCAGCCAATCTGCCCAACTCTGTGGATCAACTTGAATTCACTCGGAGCGACTCGCCGCATCGCGGCGGTGAACACTCCAGCGCAGCCCAAGAACAGTAAGATACCAAATGGAAGACAGGGAAAGCAACACGGTCAAAGGCAGGGACAGTCGTGGTAAAGGAATGGAAGCAAAAGGTGCGATTAAAAGGAAAATTTCCCGATAGATTTACCGAGGGCGTTCATCTCTACTTCGGCGCGTCAGATCAGGAGCGGTCCTGGAATGGTGCAACCTCTTCTACGCCCCATCGAATACAGTTGGGGTTCGAGAAACAGTCTCGAGGTAGTGGGCTATATACCAATTTAATCACGATTCGGGCTCTTTCTGTTTGCTGATCAGCCTCACAGTCCGCGTATGTGACTCGCTTGCTTTCACACAGCATCCACGTCGACTTCCTCTATGACCCGCCTCGTCGTTTGTCTCTTTCCTCCTTCGTCAGTCTGAGCGTTCGGAAGGACTCTGGGATTCTCGTTCACATCGCTTGCCGCTATCTTTCACCCAATCCCTCTTTAATTGGTCTTGTGAAGCCCTGACCTTTGCCGTCGCTTTCCACCTTTCCGCGTCTCCTCGTTTCCGCACACTCGTGCCCCTCTCCGTTTTCGTATACTCCAAGATTGGCGGTGTCCAAGTCCACGCAAATAATTGGTCCTGCTGTTGTTTGCCTGTCACGACACTTATTGCGCAGATCGTGTTACAACCCCGTGGATCCGTCCAGCCGTGCGTGACACCTCACTCCCCTCACTCCGGTTGATCGATAATCCCATGAACAACTCGCCTCCTTCTCCCGGCTCCAGCCATGGATCTGGATCAACTTGAAGGGCCTGGGCAGGTTGAGTTCATCCAACATCACCCGATCGTAAATCGAGGGGGGCCACTATAGGGACATATGGCTCCATCTTGGGCGATGTTCCTTGCGTCCAGCACCTCTCTGCCCGGCTACGGGAGAACTTGACTTTGAGTTTCAGCACCAGAGTCTTCTTTGGTGACTCAGAGCTTGTAGCACTTCCTGAGCTGTCGGATGCCACCAAGACCGAGAAACGCCGTCGAGAGGACGATTTTTGAATGACGTAGCTTTGACCAGGGATTCCCCATTCCTGACGATCCTATCGTCGCACAACACTGGTTCACGGGGAACGACGGGACATCCGACTAGAAAGACAATCGTCCTTCACGTCAACGATCCAGATTTTTGGCATTTGCCCACCAGGCTACGTACGATTTTCTCGTTTCGAGAGAAGCACATATGATCATTGATGTATGTGGACCCGAATATCCCGTCAAGCCAACGTCATATGGTCGCAACAGAATGGAAAGACTGCCATATAAATTCGTGGGCATCTCCGCCCTCCTCGCGTTCGGCCCAGCGATACAATCGAATTCCTCGAGGCAACAAGACTCCCATTGTTTAGAAGAAACTTGACCATGGCGCCCGCGACTACGACCACCGACACTATCCGCGCCGTTGGGGTCTCCAAGTATGGGTCCCTCGAGAACCTCGAATCCAGACGCCTCCCCAAGCCATCACCGCCTACTGGGCGGCAGATGCTCGTTCGGGTCAAAGGAGCGGCCGTTAACCCGATCGACATCAAGGTCCGAGGGGGAGTCTACGACGATGCGCCAGATTACTATGAGCGTGTCAAGCCCCTCACGCAGGACGAGCCACACTTCCATGTCATGGGTTACGACGGTGCTGGTGTTGTCCTGGGCGTCGGGCCGGACGTGAAGCACTTTAAAGAAGGGGATGAGATATACTATCTGGGAAACCCGCTTGGCCAGGGCTGCTATGAGGAGGAGATGCTGGTCGATGAACGGCAGTACGTGCTTTATTTCCGTTCCTCCTGTCAGGGCGATTTTGCAGCTTCTTGGGATCATTCTGTAGATTATTGACATACATCATAGCGCGGGCCACAAACCCAAGAGCCTCGATTTCGTCCAGGCCGCCGCGATGCCCCTGACATACGGCACGGCGTACGAGGCGCTCGTCGACAGGCTGGAGATCAAGAAGGGCGAGAAGTCGGGGATCCTAATCATCAACGGCGGCGGCGGCGTCGGCAGCATCGCGAGCCAGATCGCCCGCAACGTCCTGGGCCTCCCGGTGGTCATCACCACGGCCTCGCGGCCTGAGACGACCGAGTTCTCCAAGAAGATGGGCGCGACGCACGTGGTTAACCACAGGCAGAATATTGTCGAGCAGATCCACGGCTTGAACCTGCCGGAGGACGTGCAGCTGCGGTACGCGTTCATCACCTCCCGGACGGAGCAGTACATCCATCCCATCGCGGACGTGCTTGCCACCTTCGGCAAGGTGTGCAGCATCGTACAGGCCAAGTTCGACATGTACGGGTCGCAGTTCATGAGCAAGTCGCTCTCTTTCTCATGGTGCTGGCTGTGCTCCGGCGCTTATCATGGATATGCCAACGACGACGAGGAGAAGCACCATCGGTGGTTCGAGGAACTGGCCCGGATGCTGGATGACGGCACTGTCAAGTGCCACCTCATGAGGAGGCTGAAGCTCAGCCTTGCGGGGCTAAAGGAGGCGCACCGCGAGAACGAGGCTGGCTCGGGGATTGGTAAGACTGCGCTTGGAGTAGACGAGGAAGGCCCTGGGGAGGCATTTTGTTAGTTTGCGGCTTGGGGTTTGGGTGTTAATGTGTGTTCTCATTTACCAAGCGTACCAGAATGATCTCGAGTTGACCGAAATAGCCATATGGTGGATCGCAGGGCTATCAACATGTTGAGCCCAAAGGCGGGACGAACAGTCCTATTTCGTGAGAGTACTTTGCTAACGATGTTTCTTAACCCTATGCAACGCTACAGTGCCATTTTGGTTCCCAGGTCCCAGATAAAAATGCCAGTACAACGCCGTCAGCTGCAACTTTGCGCAGCGGTGTCCATCCGAATTAAGCGCGACCTCAATTTCTCGAACCCACACTGTTAGCCCGATGCCTCTTCTCCTTGCCACCGCCTGATATGTTCACGGAGATGCTGGACTTCCGCCTCAGCCCTCCGGCCTTTAGCCTTCTCGCCATTTGGTATGCTCGGTCGAGCTCCGTCTCAATGGCACACCGAATCTTGAGCGCCGCGACTGCCGGCCAGACGCTCCTCTCGCCCCTCAATATCCAATAGTCCAGAGTCTCTCTTGTCGGGGTCTCCAGGAGCCTGATGAAGTCCCCCGCCGTCACCTCCGGCACGAGCATCACGCTGGCGCCCGGGATCCGCTCGTCGACCAGGAACCGCCGGATGCCGGTCGGCAGGAGCCCCAGCGTGTCGAGCTGTCGGAGTCTGTGCCTGACTTCCAGGCCGACCATCCTGACTAGGAAAGCGGTGATGGATGTCGTTTTATTGCGTGTTTCGTGTTGTGAGGGCCCGTGCATGTCTGACTGTAGGAATGGAATAAGGTAGGGGCGGGCTTGTGAGACGATGAAGTGGTTGACGTTGAACAATTCTGCTATGCGCATCAAAGGCGAGTCCCGGTCTGAATACGATACGTGTGTCCAGTGGCGGAAGTCGATTGTATTTGCAGGGGCCCAGGGGACAATCTTTCCGTCCTGGTCCTTGCAGAGGATTGTGGTCTCGCGGTGACCATAGAATGTTGGTGTAGAGGCGTTGGAGGCCACTGCAGCCGTCCAGATCAACTATAGAATACAGTTAGCCTGGTATTCAGACGGGACATGAGGGGCAGGGTCACTTACCACATTCGGCGCCGTCAAGTAGTTCAGCAGCGTCGGAATGCCACCCTGACCAGTCGCGGCCACGGTGATGTTCAACACCCTCTTGCTCCTGATATAAGCCTCCTCGAACGTAAGGTCGCCAACGTTGGCACGCACACACTCCTCCAGCACCTTGACATCGAGGAAGTAGCCCTCCCGATAGAACCTCTTCACCCGGCGGAGCAGTGTCTCCCACCTAGTCGAGCCCGACCGTGTTCCCACTCCCGAAGCATCATCGCCTTTGCTCTTGTTCTTCGCCGCGAAGGCACTCAGGTCGACCCCTTCGCCCTTGAGGACCGCGGGTAGCTCCTCCTCCTTGTGAATGGCCACCAGCGCCGCGATCAGGGCCCCCGTCGCTGTGCCGGTGATTATGCGGGGAAGCAGCCCGCGCAGGAAGAGGGCCTTGACGACGCCCAGGTGGCAGAGGCCGAAGATTGCGCCGCCCTGTAACACAAGCGTGCTCCGCCCGAAGGCCTGCCTCGTGTCGTGCACAAAGTCCAGCTTCATCTGGTTTGACATCGTCATGGGGGTCTTGATGTTCGCGACAGCCGCATTGCTGGCGTTGCTGGCATTGCTGCCGGGCGTCGTGGAGCTGTTGTCGCTGAAGTGGACAGCGGGTGTCTGTGGCTGGGCTTGGGTCGGAGGCTGGGCCGGGGGCAAAGGTCCCTGGCCCGCGACGTTGCCGGAGGAGGAGTTGCTCCCGAGGAGACCAACGCCGCTCGGCGGGACGGCAGGCAGTGTGCTAATGAACTCGATGGCCTCTGCCACCTGCGTGATGTACTCCTCAATGAGGAACTTGGAGCCGGCGAAGCTGCGGTTGTAGAGCTTGGTGGCGGTGATGTTGCCGAGGTTGCGCACCAGACCGGAGCGGAGGAGGTTCACCAGGGCGTGGATGTCCTGGTCCTCCCGTGCCAGGGCGAGGCTGTCGAGGCGCTCGTTGATGAGGCGGTAGTCATAGTACCGCGAGACCTGGTTGTAGCGCCAGAGGTCGAGCCCCAGCAGGTTGTCGAGGTGGAGGGCGGCCTCCTCCCACTCCTCGTACATCTCGGCATGGCGGAGGACGTCGAGCCACAGCTCGGCCGGGGCTTTGCGGCGGTACCATTCTAGGAATCGCTGGGCACCGATGTCCAAGTCAGCTTCGTTGTTGCTTGTTCGTGGGTCCGTCTGTATACATACCCTGCGCCAGAAGTCAATGATCTCGACAATCACGCCCCATATGCCTATGAACACCGACATCACCGACCCCATATCTGCTGGTCGCCGCCCCCGCTTTGGGACATCTGAGCTGGCGCGGATCAGACTGCGTTGGTTCAGGTTTCGAGCTAATGGTCGTCGCTGGCAATTAGAACAATGGGTAGGAACTGCATTATGGTGTACGTTGGGACGGACAGACTGGTCAGTGCTGGCTGGGTTTTAATACCGAGTCCAGGAGTGCGTCATTCGGGGCGCGAGGCAACATTGCACGACAAGTGCCCGAGCGTACATGTGCTGCCAGAGCAACACAAGGTCTCGAGTCCCGCAGCGCAATGACAGCTGACATGTGAACGTGATGAGCTGTGGAGACACTCCAAATTGCCGGGCCCAGGCACCGGCCGACGCCAACCGACTCGGCCGGGATTTTCCTAAATCAGCCCTGGGACAACGACAGCTTCCAGTGACCACAAGGCCCGCGTGTAACGTACCGGTATGTATTATGGGGCAAATTTAGTAATTAGATGACCGGGCAGTCTAGATAGTCCCCAATTTGTCCCCGTGTATTGACAAGTATATTTACGAGGGAGGTCTCTGGGCTCATGAGTTTTTACGACAGATTACCTCTTTTGACTTTTTTTTCTGACTCGGCCTGATACTGTGAACCAAAGCCTCGCTCTGGAGTCCTCTTCACCACATTTTTTTTTTTTCGCCTTCTTGGCTGCTTGCTAGAACAGCTCTTGAGTCTCTCTCGCCCCAAAAAGTGGTGGCTCAAGAGCCCCTGAATCCAGTGATCCTGTACGTCTCCTAAGAAGAGAGTGAGCGGGAAAGGTATTAGAAGAAACCAGGCAGATCGGTGGGATCTGGAAAACGAATACGTGAAGCCCGTCAAGTGCCGTCTTTGACCTCGAAGAACTCAATGGTTCAACTACCATGCTACGTGACAACTCAATTCTCACACTTGAAGAGGTCACTCCCATAAGCGAGGCTGCGTAATCGTCGTTTCTACAGAACGGTACAATTCGTACAAGGAATGCCCGTATCCAGGCATTTGTAGAATTGACTGAGCCTGTAAGACACTCAACGCTTGTCTGCCTTGACTCGAAACAAGCAGTCCAGGGAAACATAAGCCATGGGGCAATCCAATAGGGTCTTTGTAGCAAGATGGAGACTTGAAAAATCACCATTGGAAGGTTTTGACTGCCTACTTGATTCAACCTAATGACCCAGCTCCTCCTCTCCCATAGAAAGATCATTCACTGTCATCGTCGTCCACAATTCGTCGCATCCTCCGTCGAGCATGCTCTCCACCAGATGTGCCTGCAGGAGCCGAATCCTCTGGCTCTCCATCAGCATCGTCATCAGAAGGTTCGGCTGTCCTCTGGCGCTTGGCCCGGGGCCTGTCACGATCCTCTCGGTCCACAGCGTCGAGAATGTCGTCATCCTCTTCCCCGCCATCCTCAACACTCTCCGCATCCTCGCCGGACGAAGCGATGAAGTCATCCTCGCGGTCGTACTCGTTGGCGTTTCCGTGTGCTCCGGCAGGGAGATCGTCGTCCGAGTCGTACTCATCGTTGTGGCGGCGACCGCCACCGCTTCGCTTCGATGACCCTCCCGGGCCACGCTTCCGACCACCTGGCGCGCGCCTGCCTTCCAGTCCGTCGATGGTCAGGTTTCCCCTTCGGAATCCACCGCCTCCACCAACGCCGCCGTCCATCCTCGCTGCCGCATTCTCCCGTCTTCGCGCCGCGCGGATGCGCTCCCTCTCGGCCTGCTCGGCCTGCTTCTTCTGCAGCTCGGGATCTTCCGTGGCGGTAATGATCATCTCGCCTTCCTTCATCCCGCCCTTTGCCTGACCCATCTTCTCCCTGAGAATCTCCGTGTCCTCGTCTACACGCTTCTTGTCCGGGCGGATGGTCCACTCCTCGTTGATGTGTGCGACGGTTAGCAGATGTGAGTGACCCATGTGCGCGGCTGCGATATATCGATGCGCATCACGATCGGGGATGTATGTTTTGTTGGCGGGAGGCACCTGGTCCTTGACCTGTATGTCGAAGTGCTCCTCGCCGACTTGCAAGGTCAAAGAGCCATCACTCCATCTGTAGATGTTGGTGTTGCTCACCAGCTCGCCGGTCTCGGGGTTCCGACGGTATCGAACGAGGTTGGTGGGTATTTTCCGCAGCGAGTTCTCAATCGCCCAGTCAGAAGGGTGGAACTCATCCGACTTGTACTCGGTAGGCAAGAATCGCAGGAAGTTGGGAACTTTTGCAGCTTGCATCTGCGGGCTGGTCAGATAGACTCAAGAGCCCAAGGGCGGGAGCGAGAGAGGGCCAACTCACGTTTCCATCGTTCGTCTTCGGGAGCCCATGGCGGTAGATGATTTCCTCTGCGACGGTCTTTTCTCGTCGCTCGCCGTCGCCGTCGCCGCCGGCCGCCTCACGCGCCTCGCTGCGTTGGCTACGTTGGCGATCAGGCTCTGAGGCGAGCTCATCGTCGCTGGGGAGTGGTGGGTTGTCGGCGATCAGCGACGCATCGCTGCCATCGTCGCCAAAGAGGTCGTCGCCTCCGCCGTCTGAGCCGTCAACCCGGTCTTCCACGTCTGACATGATAGCTTCGATGGCGATGCGACGTGCGACGTGCTCCGTGCTCGGGATGGTAAGGTGTCGGTTGGTCGGCCTGTGGGAGATATGCGATCAATGCGGTCGGGTCGTTCTTGTTGTGGGGCTGCTTTGAGTTGGATCGTGCTTCAATGGGTGCAGAGGCAGTGTGAAAATGTATTGCAGTTGAGGGGGGGATCACTGGTCTTTTGACTGACAGTAAGTATGCTGCTGGCATATGGATAGCAAGTTGCTATGCTGTGCATGGTCGAGCTCATGGATTTTTGGCTAGACAGGTCTGTTGAACAAGGGTCTTGCTGCCAAAGCCGCCTGTGTAAGCCGGTACTTGAGGGGTCCGCAAGTCCAAGCTGGCTGAGCTGGTACCTGGGAGTCCCTCACGCAGGTACGTACCCACCTACGTACAGTATGATGCACAAACGGATTGCTATACAAACGGGTTGCGAGACAGTAGGAGAGAGCGCCTGTATTGTGCAGCAGGGTATGTGGTGCGTGCCTTGCATTCTGTTGGTACTCCAATTGTAGTTGCTCTGTTGTGAGCAAAGGTTACGGCATCACTACAGTACATGAACACCACTCGAAGAGGGATTGTTGTTAGGCGCAAGTTGGCTCTCAGAGTTAGGCACGCAGACAGAGGCTGGTCCGTTTCATCGCACGGACCAGGCCGCAGGTGTTGCGCTTCCCCTGCAGCCCAAGAATAGGGGTTCACTCCCAAGGAACTTTGGAACGTCAATGCCAATTTCAACCGGGTTTACTGCCTCTCGACTGAGAAAACCGAAGAACCACGGACCGTCAACGGAACAGAGATCGAGTCAATACGTACGTGCCGCACCCTAGTGGCTTCCCGAGGGCGACGACGCGCAATTCTTCCCACGTCAACACACACAATACCAGTCTTCCAGTTGTCGCATCGCCGCAACCGCAGCCCCTCCCCCACCATGTCCAACCTCTTCTCTGGCATGTGAGTACCAGTATCTCTGATTCGTTTGCTGCCCTTGCTTCAACCCACTGCCATCGTCTGCTCCGCTCTACCGCCCTCGAGCATATCAACAGCCCGCTTTCAAGCCTGAGCCATGGAACTTCGCGCTGTGTCGTAGACAGCACCGGAATTCGCCGCAATCACAGCAAGAGCACGTGCCTGCGCCGCCCGTCCTCGGGTGCGCTGCGCCTTGAGTCCCCCCTCCCCCCGGCGCTGCCTTCCCTTCTCCTCGAGGCCGACAGGTCTTTCTAAAGAGCACGAAAAGCCCAGGAGAGATTCCAGCCCGTGCCATCAAAACAGTGCCCCCCCCCCCCAACGGCTTAAGTCTCCCCCGAGCCTCATCCTTGGACAACTATGTAGCGAGGCTCGGTGCACGAACCCAAGTCACGACAAGATAGCCCATCCTTTCTTCATCTTCATCTCTCCCCCTGTCTCTGCCTTCCTGTCTCTGGTCTCACGTTCATTGAGCACCAGTCTATTAGTTTAATTCCACTTTTCCGCTTGAAGCCCCACCGCCTCACTTATAACGGGCACTGATTATATGTCTCTATAGCAACGCCCGTTTTCGGGGCTCCAAGTCTCCCGGCCCAGGCAAGAGTCCGACCAGCAGTTCTGGCCAGCCACCGGTCTCCACTGAGCCTGGATAGGACTCATAGTAGCCAGTCCTCCGCCTCAGCAGGCCTCTCTGCCAACCTTCCACCTCTGCCCAAGTCACCCTCTCTGGCGCAAACGATTGCCATGGACGAGCAGAGCGGCTTGATGACCGGTGGTTATGATGCCCTCGAACAGTATCATCTCCCACGGCCCATGCCTCTATGGCTCAACCCAAATTATGCCAAGCATATCGTTAAGGGCAACTTCATGACCCTGAGTGCCAGGCCAAAGACCGTTGAGCAAGGAGAGTGGATCGCTCACCAAGGTTTGTGATACCCAGGCCCAGGCGGGAAACCAAATTTTCGCAGGGCATCGAGAAGGGCGAGAGCAGTTGCAGTGCATAGCCATGGGTCAAACTCATCAACATCATGGCGTTCATGCGACATCCTGGTCGGAGACATGTCCATTGGAACATACTCCTCTCTGGGACGCGCTACTGAGGGAGAAGCTCTGCCCTGCGAATCCCCATCCAGCTGAACAAAGGAAAATGAGGCTGACTCTCCCCAAGTTATCGAGCACTACCGTAATCTGTGGAACTTTGTTCGTGTCATTCATGAGAAGGAAGAAGATGGCTCATCCATATGCAATCCGAACAGTTGCCCTCGCATGTCTGCAGGCCAGTACGTACATTCAGAATGCTTCCTCCGCCGTGGTATTGGCCGCTGACGCTGTATTTGCAGGAGCCACTCGTTCACTTGGCTCAACAGTCGCAGAGAGCCCGTGGAGCTTCCTGCTTATGAGTACATCACGCTTATGCAGCGATGGATATCGGGCAAAATTGACGACACGAGAATCTTCCCCACTGAGGCTTCTGGAGTCTCCTACGCGCACAACTCAAACATCACCACCACCCCGTTGTCCCAACTGACGAATCCAGGGGAACCTGATTGGGTCGGCAAACGATCTGGGTTCCCCCAGAACTTCGTGGAGGTCTGCCAGACCATCTTTCGCCAGATGTTCCGCGTCTATTCACACCTGTACTGGGCCCACTTTGTTGAACCATTCTATCATTTGAACCTGGAGAAACAGCTCAACAGCTGTTTCAGCCATTTCATCCTGACCGCCACCGCGCTCGATATGCTCAAGCCACATGAGCTTGAGCCCATGCAGCCGTTGATTGACCTATGGGCTGCGAGCGGCACGTTCCCGCCCGAGTCCAAGGCCTACGAATACGCCAACCTGAGTTCAGGCCAGAAGCTGCTTCAACTCGGCAATGCCTCCGCGTCCTGATGCTGATAGGTATGGTCTCAGGGCACACGAGGTGTTGGGTCAGCAGCTGCCCGAGCATGATGCGCGGAGAGCACACAATAGGGTGCTATCGTACGATATGAGCGAAGGGGCTTATAGATGAGCGGGAATCAGACATTGCACATTCGGAGTTGGCATGGACTTCATAAGACCCTGCGATATTTAGTCCAAGGATTTGGCTGGGCATGGCAAGTTGGCAGGGGCTATGGGGGCTATGGGCGGCATTCAGTCGATTGTTGAATCGCATTGCTTAGCATAGGAGGCCAGGGTGATACCATGTCATAAGAGTTGGATGGGCCATCGGAGGCGTTGCTGGGAAAATGTGTTGGGATAGAGGGCGCGCGGGTTGGGGATTAGGGATGACATCAAGTGCATCAGATGAGCAACGCGATCAGGCAAGCCATTTTGGGGCGAGGCATTGACAAGTTGGTAGTCATGCTACTGTACTTCTAGCCATATAGAATCATTTTCTCACAAGGCAGGGACCGGATTTCCTCCAGTTAAGCGGTTGATGGTATCACATCGAGTGTCGCCTGTAGAGAGCACACCGTTGGCTAACCTGTCAACGAGTGGGCCGCCTCGGAATGTACGCTTCAGGTCGACACCTCACTGATCTTGTACTCGACAGTGACAGGCTTCCCTGCCTCCAGGATGAAGCGCCCAGAACCGACAAAGACCTTGTTCTCCAGGACCTTGAGCCCCGGATGGCCCGTCTCGAACTTGACGTGAGTGACTGGGAGCACACACGCACACACGCGCACACGTTAGACAAGAGGAACACACAAATAACGTTGGCGTCTCATACTCGGGTATACTCACAAATGTCACCAAACTCCGTCGTAGCCGCATCCGCATCGCCCCTCAGGACCTTGCCGGCGGGGCCCGACATATCCACAACTCCCGTGTATCTGTAGCGGACCAGGCCGCCCGTCGCCGTGTCCTTGACAAGGCTGTCTACCTCGAGGCGGGATTTGCCGCCATCCGCATCGGTCTTGATGTAGTCCGAGCCGTGGACCCAGGTCCCCTTCAGGGAGGTGGAGTAGCCCGCCTCGGAGGAGATGGCCTCCTGGCCGGCTATGAAAGATACGTGGGTCAGATTGGTCCCGGTGGATAGGACGCCCACTCCGTTAGGTGGGTCGATTGGGATCTTGGGGAAGAGACGTTGGTGAGTGGCTCTGTGGATAAAGCTGTGGATATGACGGAGGGTTTGCGGTCAGGGGAGTGCCATCCACGGCGACGCACGCACCTTGGCTGTAAAGGCTGGTGTGAGTTTCGCGAAGCCGGCCATGATGATTGCTATTGCGGTGAAGATGTCTGTGGACGTGGATTCCTCGCTATGCGAAGTGCATTCGGAGAAAAGACGGAGATCACAGTAACCGGCGCAGGGTGTGCACCTCCTTATGTATGTGGTTGGTGATTATTATACACTACACTACACTACTACACCTTCACCTCCACAGTATACTAGGAAGGATCAGGCGGGGTTTGTCATGCTTCCGTGATTGGCAGAGCATGTCGAGCGTCTCCAAGCGAAGGTGTCACCGAGGCCTTCTTGGATCGGCATGTACGTCGAGTTGAGCTCCCCTGAGATAGTGGAGAAGGGATGCTTCCTTCTACATGCACATGGAGGACACCCAGGCAGGCCCCTGAAGAGGTGAGCCGGGCCTCCACGACGGGATTGATGTGCTACTGTGCCAGTGTGTCTTGTGGTCCATCAGAGTTTCATGAAGCTACCCATTCTGCCGGGTGGTGGTCATTGGCGTGTAGGAGGTACCCGAGTTTTGCGGGGGAGTTTGACGACGTCGACTAGCCAAGCAGACAGCTAGAGAACCCCGCAGTGAGGTCAGTCAGATCAAATCAGATGCCCAGCAAAATTGACGGGCAATTGGGTTTCGTTATTGGTCTGCTGCTAAGTCAACATGGTGTGCATGCATTGGCGGCTTTTCTGATCGATCGGGAAATACTCTATGCCAATCAGGAACCAGGGCCTCGGGCTAATGAATCGAGTTGTCCCACTGTGTAGTCCAGCTGGATATGCAGGCTATGCTGATGTCACTCTCTCCCCCCGAGCTCACTCTCACACCTTAATTCGAGCCGCTTGCTTAGCCTTGATCCCAGCATACCTACCTAGCCTGCCCATCCTCTATTTGCCCCTGCAAAATTCTTTCTTTTTTCTCAACGCATAGCAAGCATCTACTCTTATCAATCGTTCATCAAGCAGCCCAGACTTGCCGTGTTGCTGTGTCTGCGAGATCCACATTGTCCACGCTGCAGCAAAGCCCGGCTTATCACCGTGGAGTGGCATCATGGCAGACGTCCCCGGCCAAGTCCCCGGCCGATCAGGCACAGCTGAGCCTGGCTCCAGCAATGCGGCGCCCACCAAGAAGAAGAAGACGCACCGCGGCACCAAGGGGAAGAGGAAGAAGGACAGAAGAAAGTCCTTTGCCGTTCACAACGACGACATGAACCAAGACGAGCCCGCCACCGCCGGCCCCCACCCCAGCAGCTTCTATGCCCAAGACCGCAACCTCAGTGGTACCAGTCTGGACAGCGAGGCCCTGCTCGACCACAGGTGAGTCCACCGTCTGCCTCTGCACTTCAGTGAACTCCTGCCATGGGCCATCAGGCTAATTCTGTCCCCGAAAATCACAGAGACCAGCCGCGTTTCATTCGACCTCGGCGAAGCTCTACCGTTACTCAGATGCACAACACCCAACAACCATTGCCAAGCAGCAGCAGGCTCCGTACCGTCCGCGATGGAAGTCCTGCAGGCGACGAGGACGACGAGGCCAACGGGGATGAGAGGGCACCCCTCCTGTCCGCCTCGACCCGCATGCGCTCCGAGCCGGCCATGCCCTTTCAGGGGTTCGGCTCGACCGATACCAGGAAGGATCGGCCATCAAGCCGGCGGGAATCAAGCAGGGCCAGCGGCAGGAAGGACTTCAGGAATATCCCCTTCACTCCTGTTGGTACCGAGCGTTACGATGTCAACTACCCACCATCAATGCCCGGGTCTCCGAGGCTTGGTGGTCTGGAAAGAGACTTGAGGTTCGAGGATGCCATGTTGATGGATGAGCTCAGCTCGCCTCACCATGAAGGTAGCTTCATGGATGACCTACTGCGCTCTCCATCTAGCCCGCAGGGCCCATCGACCCCGTACGAGAGGCGGCACACCTTCTCATTCCAGGCCGAGGGAGACGTCTGTTTTCCCCAGGAGGGCATGTCGGAGCTGGCAGATGACGAGGTTCGTGAGATGCGCGAGCAACGTGCACGTACCAGGCGGCGGAAGAAGAGATGGCCTGTTCTGTCCGTCCTCGACGAATGGAGCCGGCTCGAAAAAGAAGGTCGCAACGAAGAACGAAGAACCAAGATGATCACGGAGCCTCAGTTGGTCAACGGGAGACTGCGCCCTGTCCATAAAGGCTGGTTCCAGCCCGAAGAGGACGCCCCGTACCGCTTCACGTACTTCAACGAAGAGTTCAACAGCACGATACACAGCTCCACTATCTCCGAGCTCGTACAGGCTGAGGGACAAGGGGCTAACTTCCGGGAGCTATTCGTGCCGGATAGACCCATCTTGGAAGACTCGTCAGAATCAGAGAGTGAGGACGACGATGCCCAACAGCAAGCTACCATTATGCGGAGGGCATTGAGCGGCCAGAACGGCGAATCAAAGGGACCCACACGCCAGGCCTCTGTGGCCGCAAGTGTGCGAGGAAGCTCAGATGTGGCCCGAGAAGAGACGTTGTCCCCAAAGGCTACCCAGGAGGGACAGCGGCACCCGAGACAAACATCTGGTGATGCCACTCCTTCGCAGCCGAGATCCGTGACGTCTGCCCCGCCAGTCAATGAGGCCAAACCCGTCCGGTACGGAGAGCGACCGGTGTGGTGGCTTGACATAATGTGCCCAACGGACGCAGAAATGCTGGTTCTCCGAAGGGCCTTTGGCATCCATCCGCTCACGGTCGAAGATATCATGCTACAGGAGGCGCGGGAGAAGGTTGAACTGTTCCACAACTACTACTTCATCAACTATCGTACCTTCAACCAAGATGCGACAAGCGAGGATCACCTGGAGCCTGTCAACTTTTATGTTATCGTCTTTAGGGAAGGCGTTCTGAGCTTTCATTTCTCCCCAACCCCGCATTCAGCAAATGTTCGGCGACGGATCCGCATGCTGCGAGACTTTATGGTCCTCTCGTCGGACTGGATCTCATATGCTATCATCGACGATATCACCGATGTTTACGGACCCCTCATCCAGAATATCGAAGAAGAGGTCGATGAGATCGACGCCGCGATCGTGAGGCTTCATTCCGAGGAGGACCCAACGAGTAAAGATAAGCCGAAGGGTGAGAAGTCTCACCACGATGCGTCAAAGTCCGAAGCAGGAGCTACAACCTTCGACTCCGGCGGAGATATGTATCGTAGGGTTGGAGAGTGTCGCAAGAAAGTCATGGGCCTCTACAGGCTACTTGGCAACAAGGCGGACGTTATCAAGGGCTTTGCCAAACGGTGCAACGAGCACTGGGAGGTAGCGCCCCGCTCGGAAATTGGACTGTTCCTGGGCGACATTCAGGATCACATCGTGACCATGACCGGCAACTTGAGCCATTATGAGATGTAGGCAAACCACAGTGCACCCTACTGACCAACAACAACTTATGCTAACACCGCTGCAGGATTCTCGCCAGGTCACACCAAAACTATCTCGCCCAGATCAACATCCGGATGAACGAGCGGGCGGAGCAGACCGCCGACGTCCTCGGGAAGCTCACGGTGCTCGGCACTATCGTTCTGCCCATGAACATTATCACGGGTCTGTGGGGCATGAACGTGTGGGTGCCCGGGCAGGACTACGAGGACGACCTTACATGGTTCTGGTGTATCACCGCTGGGCTTGTCCTCTTTGGACTGGCCTGCTACCTAATCGCCAAGAGAGTCTACAGGATTGTGTAGGCGCGATCTACTGGGTGACGGTAATATGGGTCTTTTGCAGAATTGCATATTGAAATACCCTTACTAGCCATCGAAACATTTGTGTGAGCGGAGCCGGGACCAGCATGGCAGGAAAATTGGTCATTATAGAGTCAGCATAAGCCTGGATCGACTCGATTTTGGAAAAATGGGGTTACAAAACGGTACCCATACCAAAATGCTTAACAACGAGCGGAATATACGGAAGGAGTCACAGCGGAAAGAGTTCAAAAGTACATAGAAACATGGGCAGTTCATATTCAGTCGATGTACTTTAAGCCATTTCGAACACAAGCACTGCATTGATGTGGGTGATTCGCCCGACGAGGATGGATCACGTCGGACAGTCTATCATTCCATGATCTTTTCGAGATCCCTCGCGCACGCCGTAACGCCTTTCCCGGTCCAACCTGGCCTCCGGGCAAACCCCTTCCTGTCCCAAAAGATGAGATTCATCGTACTCGCCAAGCCAGTCGCGTTCCCCCAACACATGAGTGCCCCTCCGTATGTCGAGAGCCCGGTGTCGGATGGACCGCCGTCTAGCGCGCAAGTGTGTATGAGCTCTTTCCAGGCTCGCCCTCTCTCCGTCCTTTTTTACCTCCCTCATTGATTGTGGTATCTGCCTACGCCCATGCCCCCTTCCTCTCTCCCGTCTCACACCCGCTGGCCGCTGTACTGGGCCCGAAGCTGGAGGATAGCCTGCTTCTCTGCCTCAGGAAGCTGCGCTATAACCTCCTCGGGGAGAGACAGCACCTGCTGGATCAGGTCGTCTGGGTTCTGGCCGGGCGCCGCGCCAAAGGCACCAGCAGCCGCCGGGGCGGGGCCAGCGGCCGGGACCGCAACGGGTGGTGCGGGAGCCGGGGGCGGCGCGTACGGCGTCGGGGCGGCCACGGGCGGGGTGTTTGTCGCGCCGGGGAAGCCGGGCTGCTGCTGCGCGGGGGGAGGGTAGCCACCTGGTGCGGCACCAGGGGGCGGGCCGGCTGCGGCGGCGGGGTTGGAGCCGGGCTCGAGGACGGCGTTGATGGCCTCCGGGGAGACGAGGCCCATGAGCAGCAGGGCCTGGAAGACGGCGTAGGAGAGCTGCGGGGCCTGGTTCAGCAGCTCGGTGGCGCGGGCCGGGTCGGTGGAGGCGAGCTGCTTCATGGAGGAGAGGATGTCGAGCAGCTGGGCGGGGGGCAGGGTGTTGAGGGTTCGCGAGATGGCGTCGGTGCAGGTCACGCCCGGGGGCAGGTCGCGGCCTGGTGGGAGGGGCGGGAGGGCGCCGCCGGCGGATGGGGTGTCGTTGCCATTGGGAGGAGGCGGGTTGTAGTTGTTGTTATTGTTATTGTTGCTGTTGGTGTAGTTGTTGGCGTCGCCGCGGTCGTTGCGTCCTGAGTCGTCGTTCCCTGCTCCCCCCTCGTTGCTGAAGTCGACGCGCAGCTTGCGACCCATGATCTCGTGGTCGTTCAGGTTCCGTACTGCTGATGCGGCGGAATCTGAGGGAGTGAAGAAGCGCCGTTAGACGAGACGGCCGACAGAGCTGCGCAAGAGACTGGGTGGATAGAAGGTAGGCAGGTGTTGTCGCTTACCTGCGTCGGGGTACTCTGCGAAGCCAAACCCCTTTGGCCTGCCTGTGTCTCTGTCATAGACAAGGCGAAAGTTCAGGACCTGGCCGGCGCTGCTGAACAGCTCGCTGATCTGCTCTTCGGACAGTCCTGGGCAAAGATACGGTCAGTGGTGCATGGGCGGGGTGTGATGAACTGGCCGAGGGGTCTCACCATAGGGTATGTTGCCCACAAAGACAACCCGCGATGGGGTCTTGGTAGACATTGCGAGGAAGAATTCAAAGTGACTTCTTCGTCGGTGCTAAGAGAACAGCAAGCTCACGGATGGGAGGTGGTTGCCAATATGTCCAAGGTTCTTTGGCAGAGCCACATGCCAGAGGTGGACCTGCCGGGCCCCTTGTCTGGAACAGCAAGAGCTACGGCGGGCAGGGATCACAAACATCCAAACTGGATTGACTTGTTCGCCATCCACTTTCATGTTGCATAATTTTATGTAGTATTCTTCTAACACATGAGCTCTTTGAAGGAATCTCATGTAAGATAGTATCTAATGATAAGACCTTCTACATGATTATTATGTAGTTCATGCCAGCATTTCCCTCAAAGAATGTCGTTTGTATGCTGTATGTCTGCATCCAGCAGGATCTGCGGGTGAGGTCAAGTCCAGGTAGCCCCTGCAGGCCTTGACAAACTTTTCTGGTCCAAGCTTCCCCAGGATTTTGGCAGCTTGCCTGCCCAGTGGTGAGCTCCGCAAGGTCCTGATCCCTGTCAGGTGGAAGTCAATGATCACCCCAGAGCTGGGAGCTCTAGTTCGAGATGCAGATTAGAGTCTAGCAGCCACACTCATACACACGGCCGAGCCTCCACTCGCCGACATCCACACCCACCTTCAAGCCTTCCTTGCTCGACAGCACGAAAAGGCTGCCCAGCACCGCCCACCATGTCCAACAGGAATCCCATGGAGGAGTACATACAGCGGCTGCAAGCCGTGGCCAAGTCAAGGGGAGGTGGTTTCCCCGGTGGCAAGCCCCCGCCAGGCGCCGGCTTTGCCCTCACCGGCGCTGTCGCCCTTCTGGCCGGCGGCTGGTTCCTCAGCAACGCCCTCTTCAACGTCGACGGTGGTCACAGAGCGATCAAGTACAGGCGCATAAATGGTGTCAGCAAGGAGATCTACAACGAAGGTGAGTCCGGCTGCTCCGGCCCTGGCGCATGAAACATAGCTGACTGCGTTGCGAATAGGAACACATTTCATGGTTCCGTGGTTCGAGACGCCCATCACCTACGACATCCGAGCGAAGCCCCGCAATGTCTCGTCGCTCACCGGCACCAAGGACCTGCAGATGGTGAACATCACCTGCCGTGTCCTGTCCAGACCAGACATAAAGTCCCTGCCGCAGATTTACCGAACACTCGGCCAGGACTACGATGAGCGAGTCCTTCCTTCCATCGTCAACGAGGTGCTCAAGAGCGTGGTGGCCCAGTTCAACGCGAGCCAGCTCATTACACAGAGAGAAATGGTCGCGAGACTGGTTCGCGACAACCTTTCCAGGAGAGCGCAACGGTTCAACATTCTGCTGGACGATGTGTCGCTGACCGTATGGCATCACCCCTCCCCATGAACGGTCATTTTTTCCGGCTGCTAACAGAGACATAGCACCTCGCATTCTCACCCGAGTTCACAGCTGCAGTGGAGGCGAAGCAGGTGGCACAGCAGGATGCGCAGCGCGCGGCCTTCGTTGTCGACAAGGCCCGCCAGGAGAAGCAGGCAATGGTGGTCAAGGCTCAGGGTGAGGCACGCTCTGCAGAGCTGATCGGTGAGGCCATCAGGAAGAACAAGGCCTATGTGGAGTTGAAGAAGCTGGAGAACGCGAGGGCCATTGCCCAGATCATGCAGGAGAACGGCGGAAAGAACCGGCTGCTCCTGGACGCGGAGGGACTGGGGCTCAACGTGTTTGAGAAACTTGACGGGGACAACAAGAAATAGGCTGGGTGACGATGCATGGGCGCTCACCTCCTCGTGGGCAGTTTGTCCTTCGGGTCAGAAGCTCTTGTGTAAGATTAATACGACTCAACTTTGCCCAGGTGTAAATTCAGGCCTCGCTTTTGTTGAAGCAACCTATTTAACGACTCAACAGCCCAAAGTACTTAAACTGAGCCTACCATGATGTTAACTGCAAGTCTCTAATTGTAGAGAGACTCATCGTTGAGATTGAGTATCGATGTAACCTAGTAGGTTGAGCGGCTCAGTGAAGGCACGACCGCCTAAGCCAGGCTGCCCCACCATCCACTGGTGCCTGCTTTCAAAGCCAAGGTTGAGCCCGAACGTGCCCCTCAATGACACACCCCTGCTCGGTGCTCACGTCTGAACCCGCCTACAGTGACCCATCAACGGCTCCAGCACCCTTTGACAATAAATGGCCGTGATCGCCGACATCAGGCCCATCACAACACGCCTCAACTCCCAGAGACAAAGCTCCTTTCTCAGCAGACAGCTTCTAGCCAGGAGTACAAAAAGCACACTCAAGAGTCATCTCTTCCTACCGTCAAGATGCAGATCAAGTCCGTCTTTCCTCCCCAAAACGCCGGTGGCCGTGGAATGACTGACTGACTGACCGTTCCACCGCCAGGGTCCGAACACTGACAGGCAAGGAGATCGAACTCGACATCGAGAGGGACTACAAGGTTCGCACCTCCCCCCCCCCTAAGAAGCCCTCGCCCCTAAGCTCTTTTTTGTGGACAAGCCCTAACCGTCGTGGCTCCCATCAGGTCTCTACGATCAAGGAGAAGGTCGAGGAGAAGGAGGGCATCCCACCCGTGCAGCAACGTTTGATTTTCGGAGGAAAGCAAATGTGAGTGCAAGCAAAGCGAACATCTACCTGCTCTCCTTCCAGCCTGCCACACGACACACGAGCCGTCCAGGGCGCCGGCGCATCATGCCCACTACGATGTGTGTCAGGGGTAGACGACGACAACCAGGTGAAGGAGAGGAAGCAGACCCCCAAGACAGGGAAACGGACAAGAGAGCTGACCAGAGTCTTTACTACAATCCCAGGGCCGACGACAAGACCGCCGACGATTACAGCCTCACCGGAGGCGCAACGCTCCATCTGGTCCTCGCGCTGAGAGGTGGAAAGCAATAAGTCGTGCCCCCTCCGACCGATCCCCTTCCCCGTAGACGGCGACGAGGGCACCTGAGAGGTAACAGCAGACGACGGAAGCCGCGGCTTGGTTGCGATACCGACACCCCTGGAAAACATAAGAGAATGAGGCTACCGGCTCCCCTGGCGTCTGGATAGCAACGGCACGGGCGGCACGACTCTCATGTCCCGCGGCTTTCTCTCATACAGGGTGAGGCACGGCCGGGCGATCGGTTGAAACTTTTGGAGAGAGGCTTGAGTTTGGTCTTTGTGGAATTGCGAGAGCACAGCAGGTGGTCAGACATTAGAGACCGCCCGCCTTGAAGCGCATTATCCGGGCGGCGGCACTGAATATAATTTTGAAGTCTTACGACGGTGCGTTGATATGTGTGATCGATCCTCGGTGAGGTCCCTTGCATTCACATCTTTTCGAGCCTGCGTATTCCAAGTATGCACAATTTGTATTGTATTATCGAAGCGAACGCCGAGCGATGGTTTTGCATGCGTTCGAAATGGCCCTTGCCCAGGCAAAATGTCGCCTAACAGCAGAGACATTCACTGACTATTCCAGCGTCCATTTTACTCCTCGAATCTGTCCGTAAACTCCTTGCCAATGATGCCCCTTTGACTCGAAATGCCTTCATGCTGATATCCTTCATTTCACAAACGCCGATGCCTTTTGTGGCACTTCAAATTCTGAGTGATTCCTTCTCAGAAAGACGTTGAATGCAGACAATGCATTCGAAATTTAATGCTCCTCGCCTAGAGGAACCTGATGCTTTCACACCTGTCGCTGTGTCCTGACTCTTCAGCGCTTGCGGCGCATGAAGATGTCCACTTTCTTCTTCTTGACGGGCGGGTGCGCCGCTGCTCCTCCGTTGCCTGCGGCCGGGGTCTCGTCAGGCTTGCGCTTAGAAGGGGAGCCCGACTTGGCCTCGTGCGCCGTAGGTGGGGTGTCCGCTCGTTGGTTCGCAGGTCTTGCCCGCGCGGGAGCAGCTGGTGACGAAGACCTGCTGCTGTTGGACTTGAAGGATGACCTCCGTCCACTAGGTCCCGGGGCCTCAGGCTCCGGGGAACTGAACATGTCCGAGGCGACAGAAGAGGAACGAGATACTCGCTTGGGAGGCACAATCCTACTAGGCTTGTACTCCTCGCACACGGGTGATGCGACCCGGGAGGCGGCGCGCGACAAATCGTTTCCCTGACGGGCTGGGGCACTGTTTCTCAAAACTCCTGGGCGAGAGGGCTGCTGCTTTGGTGGCGGAGTGGATTTCGCGGCAGATGAGGATGGGTTGCCCGTCGCCGCCGATCCTGGGTGGCCAACCTTCGTCTTGAGGGCACTTGCGGTCTTCTCGGGTGCAGCATTCGGACCAGGTTTGCCGACAGTCTTGACTGTGACTTTGCTCTGTGGGATCGAGGCGCTCTGTGGGCGCGAGAAGAGACTTCTGGGCTTGTTGGGACTGGCGGACGGGTGTAACTCGGATCTGGGTTTGGCGACCAAGTTGGTTGCCTCCACCGGCTTGGACGAGCCTGACCTGAGCTCCTGGTCGCTCATAGTCTTTGGCTGGACCTTTGGTCTCTTGGCAGCGAGAAGCCTGGCCTCCATTTGGCCACGCTCGTCGTCCTCCTCGCGCGGTCGCTTGGCCACAGTGGGCGCAGTAGGAGGAGGAATGAACTTGGGCTGCGCGCGAATGCGGAAGTCGGCCTTCATGGACTCGGGGGCCTTCGTGACCTTCGCAAGATGCGCAGTTGGCCTCATCGTTTTCGGGACCGAGAGCCTCTTCCTTGCCGCCGCCTCCATCGCCTCCTTCTTTGCTTTCTGGACCGCATTGGTCGTCCTTGCGCCACCTCCGAAGGTCAGAGTCGCGGAGCCGGGGCCAGGGCCTTTTCCACGGCTTCTGCCAAAGCCACCGCCGGAGGGAGCCTTGGGGAGCTTTCTTGGGTCGCCAATGGCGGTCTTGTTCTCCATCTTCATCTTGTTCAGGTCGGCATAAGTAGCGCCGAGCTTCTCCAATGCTTCCACCTCTTTCTTGCGCTCCTCATCAGCGTAGAACTCATACACGTCGCGCCATGCTCGCGGGTTCTCAGGCTCGCGAGGGTCGCGCTTCATGGGCACCCGAAAGTCCCTCCTGCAGAACGCCTCCCAGAGCTCTGCATCCTCGCCAACGATTTGGGGTGAGTACTCCTCAATGACGGCCAGCTGAGAGGCGGTCTTTACCTGTTTGAGGATATCGCGAACCTTGAAGTATGGTAGGGTCGAGACATAGGAGAGCTCGTCGATGTTGTCCCAGATGACCCTCCGACAGAGCCCTGCCAGACTGGGGACGGGCATCTTAAATGTATGGTCTGGCCTTGCAATTCAACACAGAGAAGTGAAGGCAGACAAGTATCGAAGTTGAATCTGATGTTCAGTAGTAATTGATGATCTTGGGATTGGAGTGTGTTTGAGAGGAGACTTTGAGGAACGTATGTGCAGTCAAGTCGAGTCGGGGCGTTGTGGCGACCGTATGTAGGTGGTCAACTTTATGTAGCTGGGCGACTTTATGTAGCCGGTGAGAAAGTGGGAGTGGGCCTTGAAGTAGAAGTATTAAAGGAGAACAATGGAGGCTGCAGAGACGGTGAATAGGACGTGGGCAGAATGGACTCGGCCCATTCTTCGCCGCTCTAGGGCGGAGGAGGCTTGGTGACAATTGCGGGGTGAGAGATTGATGCCAGAACTCATGGCTGTGTGCTTATTGTGCAAACGCTGGTATTCAATTGTGTGGAAGTGAGATGAGATGAAATGAGGTGAGGTGGGAAATCGAGGCCGAAGTAAGAGCCTCGTGGCACATGTCACACCCCTAGCTCTCTCCTTGTAAGGAACAAGGAGTGGTGGGGTCTTATCCCCAGCTCCAGCCTTGCCGAGTTTCTATTCGAAGGCGGCACAGCAGGTATTCTCCGAGCTCGATCCATTGGCTTGAGCCCCGTTTGGCACTCAGCTACCCGATCATACCTGGAGGCAGTGATTTTGTTTGTATGTAGCGCCTCCCTCAGGAGTCCATAGTGCTATGCTCCTGCCTTTGCTCTAGACATTCAAGTCCTGAACAATACCTGCAAATTTGCTGTCCCAGAACCTGAATCATCCTTTTTTTTTTTTTTTTTTCAAACAGCTGCGATGTGTACCTGTTGGTTTGGGTGGGCTGCCGGTGAATAGGGAATTCACATTGTGCTGTTACCTCTCTGGGTACCTGGGTACCTAGGTACACAGGTACCTCTGTGGCAGGGAGCTGTAGGTCAGTCTAAACCCTGCCACCGTGTGCCTGCCCAAACATTTGACTTCAATTTCACCCATTCGTCACTCACGCCGTCCCATCACAAAAAGTGCCTTTACTGCAGGACCTTGGTTTTTTCTAGGAGATCAGAAAAGCAGCTAATTTTCAGGCTGGAGAATACTGTTGGAAGAACCTCAAAGGGACAAACTACTTTCCCGCGCGACCTACCTTCGCACTCGACGACAGCTCTCGCAAAACCGCAGCCATGTCGTCCTGGCAGCTCCTCGACCCGGAGGAGGAGAACGAGATCCACAAGTCGCGCCTGTTCAGTGTCGAAGAGCGGCCCTTCAAGCGCATCACGAAGCGCCTCTCCACAATCAATGGCCTCGCCAACTCGAAGATCCGACAGACCGTCACGCCTCCCCCCGACACCACAAACGCAAGCAACGGCGACGATAGCAGTGCCGCCGAGGCAGTCGACTTCGCGCAGCTGAAGGAGGACATTACGTTCGACTTCGCGGCCTTCGACTACACCATCGGCCGCCTGCAGTTCCTCCAGACCGCCAACGCCCAGCAGCGCGACAAGTACGCCGTCGAGCGCGGCGCCATCCTCGACACCTGCACCAAGGTCAAGGACAACACGGCGCAGCTGAGGGTCCAGCTCGCCGCCGCGCAGGCCACCCGGGCGCAGAGGCTGCAGTGGGACGCCCTGGCGCGCAAGATCAACGACAACAAGGCGCTCCAGGAAAGGCCCAAGGCGACGGCGACGCTGGAGAAGTTGGAGGAGGAGTGCAGGCAGCTCGAGGCGGAGAGCGAGACGTACGCCGCCACGTGGAGGGAGAGGCGGGAGCAGTTCAGCAGGATCATGGACGAGAGCATGAGGCTGCGCCGGCTCATCCGCGACGAGAAGGAGGAGGTCGAGCGGCGGGAGGGCATGGACGAGGACGGCAGCGGGGAGGGCGACGGCGCCGCGGATGGGCATACGCCGCGGCCGGGAAGCGCCAGCGGGAACGCGACGCCCCGGCCAGACGGCGCCGGGGTGGCCTCTGCCGTGCCGAAGGGGCTCGGGGAGAACGGCGACTCGACACCGCGGCCGATTTCGGTGGGCGGGCGGACGCCGATGCGGGACAGTCCCGCCCCGAGCGCCGTGGATGGGCTCAAGCCGAGGCCTGAGATGTCAGGGAACTTGTCACAGTCTGGCAGCCGGTCGGGGAGCCGGGAAGCGTCACCTGCTAGGAGTGCCGAGCCTGAGAGCCGCCAACCAGAGGGTGAGGATGTCGAGATGGGCGAAACGCCTCGCGATGATCCCGCAGCAACCCCGCAGATCACCGTTGAGGGCCAGACTGTTGAGGATAAGATGGATACGTCGTCATGACAACATCCATAACTGGAATGGGACCCCAAAGGACAGGGACGGTGCGGAAGCGGTCTGGCACGTCCGCTTGACTGTTTAGATAACGTGCAAGATACCCCGTGGGAAAATCAAAATTGGCGATTCGCAAAGCTGATGACAGGTTCAGCTCGTACAAAATCCCATTATTCGCGCACGCGACTTCGTCCAGTCGATGCATCTTGCAGGACAGTACCTCTCAGGAAAGTGTCAAGGCCCGGAACAGCCCCGTATAGTTGCCGCTCAAGTCGGGTGACTCTGGCCGGGTTTGACCTTGCTTCACTGCTCCTTCTTTGTGACCTGCCAGACCACGAATCTGCATTCACAACTATGACTGCGGCAACCGCACTGTAAGTCCTGTAGTCTCTCTCATAGAGCGTTCCAAGCACTTCCATGTGATGGGTTCCAGGGCAGTATTTCGGAAGCCATTCTTCCCTGCAACGGTTCGTCCGTACTTTGGCTCCTGGAATCGTCTAGTCTAAATTTGCCTTGTGCCGTCGATTTTGAGATACCTTGGGAATCGTTTTTCTTTCAACCGACCGCTCTCCATCCTATGGCGAACTTGTTCTACCTGCCAATCGCGACAGGATGTCCCATGATCATAACATCTGGCATCGCAGCCCATCCCACCGCCCGCTCTAGAGGTTATGCCCAGCCATGCCACGATTCGATCGTGCCCACAGGCCATCTTCCGCGAAAGCGAGACCCAGAAACACGATGAGGATGCCGAGCGGGGCCTTCAGAAGGGCGGCCTACGCCTCCGCCTTGAGGGCGTCCTGGCCCTGCTTGAGCACCTCCCTCGCCTTGGCCAGCTCGGCCTCGGCGCCGTCGCCGCTCTCGCCGATGGCGATCTGCTCCTCCAGCTTGGAGACGGCGTCCGAGATGCGGCTGCGCAGGGGCCCAAAGACGTTCTTGGTCTCCTCTGCGGCTTGTTTCTGTGGGTGGGTGCAAGGTGAGTCAAGGATGCCATGGCCGATGTGGAAGGTAAAGGGGAGGGAGAGGGTTAAGAAATGAAAAAGGAAGATGGGGGGGGGGGCTAGCAGACCTCCTGCTTGAGGACGTAGTCGGCGTTCTCGTCTAGGTCGGCGCTCTTCTCGGCGATATCCTTCTCGAGCTTGGCGATGCGGGCCTCCTGGCTGGCGAGGTCCTTGTGATAGTAGGCCTCCTCCTTGACCAGGCGCTGGACGGACGAGGTAGCAACGGCGAGGGGCGTTGGGGGAGCCATGTTGATTGTGGGTGTGGAGAAGCGGGGTTTGCGATTATTTGTTGAAAAGTGATGGTATTGATCCCCTGGCTAAGTTGAGAATGTACACTATGTTCAGCCAGTAAGGGTCGTTGATGTTGATGTTGAATGTGGATGCCTGATGTGTTCGCATTCGTGGGGCTTTTCAGCGTGCCTGTACACAGACGGGTCTGTTATGTCTGATTGTTTGGCCAGTGCTGTACTGTCCCGTGCACCTGAGACCCAACCGGGAATATTGTTAGACGTGTGCATGGGTACACTCATTTCAACCCGTATTGTTTACATTTGTACATGTAGTGTGCGGTATGGCTAAAAATCATCAAGACCCTGTGTACATCGAATCCATGAGGTCAGTTTTCCTGGACACGGGCTTGCCTGGCTCGCGCGCACCATATGTGTCGATTGCAGTGCAGGCCCAGGTATGTAGGTACGGGGCGCAAATGCGGGTGCGGGTACCGTGCGTTACCATGCTTTTTTTTGGCGTTCCGGCCTCACCGGGTTTACTCTTCAACAGGCCCAGCAGCCAGACAGAACATGCTTGGATCCCTGGAAGCCGAGGGAGGCAGGATTTAGGGAACAGAGCCGCAACTGCCCCGATTCCAGTTTCCCCGCACTCTGGACTCTCTCCCGGCTACAGGCACACGGTTATGGTAGGCTAATGACCTCGTCAATCTTGGAAGGTGGGCGCCACAAATCAAGCTTCCCCACGTTCAGGTGCCTGTGAGAATTGTATTGCCTCGGCTGCGATCCAGGTCGCCAACACCTCTCTCTTCGCTGTGCAGATTGCCCTTCTCTTGGTACTGTGTGGTACGCGTACAATGCACAGTCTGCCGCTCATGACAGTTCAGTCGAGACTCGAGAGCTCGGCCGAGGCAATTCTCTAGACAGGAGCGCCCTCTTCAAGATACCACCTGGGCCTGATAAACATTCTCGCGGCCGCCTCCTTCACAATGTTTATTCGCCTGTGCCTCAGCCACAAGATACCCTAGGCGAAGGGACTGCGGTCAGAACCTCTGATGCAACGTCTGTAGTACCTACCTGTGAGCCGTGGCCCTCAGCATGTGGGGAGCATGCGAACTGGTGTCCGGTTACGTGCAAGCGCCTTGGGCTCTGGCTTCGGAGCTGGGCCTGGTCCTTGTTCCCTCCGGGTCAGCCTAGGCCAAAAACACTGTGTGACATCCAAAGCAATGCAGCAACATGCCCGGGATCGACCCGGACCCGCAGTGAGTGCGGATTCTCGTACTGCGAGCTCTGCGGTCCAATCCACGTTGTGCCTTTCCAAGTGCTGCTGCATCCAGGGATCGTCCTCCGGCTTGCGACAGACTTGCCAGATCCAGCCCCATATTGGACACTCGCGCGGGTCCCCGGCAGTCACTTGTAGTCTTGGCTGTTTGACGACAAGACTCCGCCTTCCTCACGTCTCCAATCCGGTGCACACAGGAGTCGGACCTTTGAATCTGCCCGGCCTGTTTGACACTCCTCCGGTCCACTTCTCGACAGTCTTCAAATAAGTCGTCACCTCCGTGGTTGACGAAGATACACGTCTGCTCCGTTTCAGACGTCAAACGCTTACTAGCTGATCTGACCACTGACCCCTCGGTTTCTTCGACCCTTGCAGTCAACTGGCAGGTCCTGCATCGTGCCCAATCATATCATGCCTCTGGATGTGTTTCTCCAGTTGACACTCTGAAATAATAATCCAAGAGCTGCGCTCGGCGATTCAACTCCAGGGCTTCATGCTCAGTTTGACTTCTTGCCCTCGAAAGGCAAATTGGTCGTCTGATCATCTCGAACACGGCGGGCCGACTGCCCTAACATCGCCATTCCGTCGTCCGCTCATCAAGTCAACAAAGCCAAACCATCCAGAATGGGCCTGCTGGAGTATGTATGGGAGCTGGTGTCTCCCAAGACACTCATTGCTGCCCTCGTTGGCATCTATCTTGTCTACGCATGTTTCCAACGGCTATACGAGAGCTATCGTATAAGTAAACTCGGCCCCAGGGCTGTGAGCGTCCCTTACAAGCTGCCCTATGCTCTTGATTTCATCTACTCGGCCGTTCAAGCAACCATGCACCATAAGAACCTTGAGAACTGGCGAGCTTTCTTCACCAAAACCGGCGTGGACAGCGATGGCAACGGCGCCTACACCCTCGAGGTGCGTGCCTTCGATAGACGAGTTGTCTTTACGGCAGACCCAGAGAACATCAAGGCCATTCTGGCGACTCAATTTGGGGATTTCGGAAAGGGCGAACCCTTCCACGAGGAATGGGAGGAGTTCCTGGGCGACAGTATATTTGTGACGGACGGCCAGATGTGGCATACCAGCAGGCAGCTGCTGAGGCCACAGTTCATCAGGGACAGGATCAGCGACCTGCACTGTTTCGAGTCGCACCTCGAGGTGCTCTTCAGGGCCATGGCCAATGGAGGCGCACTGGACGGCGAGGACCAGCAAGTCGACCTGGGTGCTGTGCACGGACGGGTTGTGGATATCAGTGACCTCTTCTTCAGGTACACCCTGGATGTTGCAACTGACTTCCTCCTGGGCAAGGATGTGAAGTCTCTCAGGTGAGAGCTCACTGTTTCGAGCCAAGTTGCCATTTTGAGACCTGACAAAATATAAAGCAATCCGCGGCAAGAGTTCGCCGACGCCTTCAACGAGGTGCAGCGCGTTCAGAACATCATCACACGCGCCGGCCCGGGCATCAGCATGTTTGTCCCGAAGAAGAACTTCCGGAAATGCCTGGCTACCATGAACGCCTTTGTCAACACATACGTGCAAAAGGCGCTCCTACTCTCTCCCGAGGAACTCGCGTCGAGGAACTCCAAGTCTGACATGTCATACACCTTCCTCCACGAGCTGGCCTCGTACACGCGGGACCCCAAGGTCCTCCGCGACCAGCTCGTGGCCGTTCTCCTCGCCGGCCGCGACACCACGGCCGCAACACTGTCATGGACCATCTATGAGCTGGGCCGGCACCCGGAGGTGGTCGCCAGGCTACGCGCCGAGATCCTGTCAACTGTCGGTCCGAACAGGACCCCGACGTACGCCGACCTCAAGGGCATGAAGTACCTTCAGAACGTCATGAACGAGATTCTGCGCTTATACCCCGTGGTTCCCTTCAATGTGCGCTCTGCACTTAAGGATACCCTGCTTCCCCGGGGCGGCGGCCCGGACGGCACGCAGCCGCTCGCCGTGCTCAAGGACACGCCCGTCGGGTACTCGACCCTCCTGATGCAGCGCCGCGAGGACCTGTACCCACCCGTGTCAAAAGACTTCAAGCCCGTGGAAGACTTCTCTCCCGAGCGCTGGCAGGCCTGGAATCCCAAGCCCTGGAACTATAGTGAGTTGCCCTATGGCACCCTACCGGTCCACGAACATCCCAATGCTGACCCATGTGAAATAAGTCCCCTTCAATGGCGGCCCAAGAATCTGCATCGGGCAGCAGTTCGCGCTGACGGAGATGGGCTACGTGCTGACGAGGCTGTTCCAACGGTTCGAGAGGGTCGAGAGCTACATGGACCAGGTGGACGGCGGGAACCCGACGCTCAAGGCTGAAATAGTATTGCAGCCAGGTGATGGGGTCAACGTAGCATTCTTCCTCCCTGAGCCTTCAAAAGGCTAAGATCTCGACTAGATATTGTAGCCAAGGTCCTGATCGCTAAAGCAAGGGACTGCTTGTGTTCTATTCTTGTTCAATGTTGTCTCCGTGATGTCAGTACAGCTGGTGATGCGTGGTTCACATTCACTTCTAGCCAGCCTATTGTGCTCGTGGACATCACCGGTTCTGCCTTTTGCGCCCAGGCGCATCTCGTGAAGACGATGTGACTAGAGCCTCGCCTCAAGAGGAGATAATGGCCTTGGACCTCCTCCAGCGTGTGCCTCGATCCCGGTGCATGCTGCCACGCGGTGACTTGTCGCCCTGGCGTTCAGTTCATGGAGCCTGCTTGACAGGTGCACCTGTTACTGTAGGTCAGTATCACACCAGACAACTTGTGGGATAGCCTAGCCTCCTGTGGAATACCCTCCAGTGGATAGTTTCCCATGGGACAACCTCCTGTAGGATAACCTCCTATGAGATAATCTCCTATAGGATAACCTCTTATAAGATACACTTTTATAAGACAGCCTCTTATCGGATAGTCTCCTATGGGATAACCTCCCATGGGATACCTTCTAGTGGAACAACCTGTTTCAATTTACCCCTGGTTCTCCGAGTCGTTGGATCACCTCCTTGAATGGATTGTCGCTCCCTACTGTGGTATCGAGTGCCCGGTGGCTTGAGGCTATTCCTATAATACCCATTACTTCGAGACAACCAACGGACCGGCACAGAAGAGATTTGTTGGCATCAGCGTTCACTTGTACATGATTGGAGTACTGAAGCCACTCGACCAGGAATTGACTATGAGTTGCGTGAGCAGATATGGCAGTGAATGGGAGTAACGGTGAATACGGCGGTACGCATGTGTAAAAGGGGTGGCCTTTAGCCTTTCTATAGTCAGAATCCTGGCCGTATACCGACTTCAAATACAACTATCGCAATTCGTCTCAGACCCAATCGCCCTTCTATAGCAGAACCACGGATGCCACGGCCTCGTCCGAATCCCCGGGAGCTCGAAAGATGCTGTGGTGACCGGGTGGATTCAGCAGTTCCAACCAAATGTCGACGGACTCGATAGGTGCCAGGTATTTAACGTCTCTTCTCTTGTCTGGCAAGTGATGGCAGCTATAAATCTGACTGATGGCTCATAAAGAGTATTGAGGCTCAAGGACATCCATATTCTCGCTCCTCGATCGTGCGGAGGGATTGTGGACTTCAGAGGGCAACCAGGAGCATCCCGATCCCCTGTCACGAGAGGGAATACAGAGGCAAGGCAGCTGTCCTTAATACGTCAATTCAAAGCAAGACGGCGCTACCTTCTATATAAGGAAGAGGTCTGGTAAAAATTGTAGGCGAGGGGTTTTATGCCTGAGGGGTGTGGGGCCCAGAGCCTTAGTGAATGCCAGCAGTCAATGGGGCCTAGTCACACACATACTCACATCTCCTCGCCGTTTAAGATCTAGAGCTAGCTCGTGCCCCATGAATGACAGGGAAAATGATGCTCTGCTGATACTCCACGTGATACCTAGGTATACTCCATATGGGGGGGGGGGGTTGGTGTTGGTAGGTCTCTTGTACGTACGATAATCATATGGGAAGCAATCATATATTGGTGTTATTCTGTTTAAGTTTTAAGAAGCTATATACCCTAAAGGGGATAATTAAAGTAGCCTTTTAAGTATAAGGGTTGTACTTACTAATACTTATAGTTTTTCTCTTTTTTTAATAAGTATATATAATCCTTATTATAATTAATTTAAAATTATAATTTATTATATATTATATATATATAATCTTTATTATAAGAAAATATTGCTAAAAAAGCTTAAAATTATAACTTATAAGTTTTAAAGTAAGTTTTAATAATCTTTATTATTATATTATTCTTTAAATTTATAACCTTTATTATTATATTATCCTTTAAATATTATATTTATTATTTTTAATACTTAGCTTTTAAGGTTGCTTTTTTATAAAGATTATTAACTTTTATATAAAGGCTTTAATCTTAAATTTTTTCTTTATAAGGAAAGTTAATACTTATAAAGTTAATATTAAACTTCTTATACTTATTTTTATTATATATTTTTATAATATAAATATTATTATCTTTATTTTTATTTTTATTATTAAAATATATTTAATATTACTTTAAATTAATTTTCTTTAGCTATTTTTTATCTTTTTAAAACTAAGCATTATAAGTAACTTAATTATTTATTAAGTTCTTTTTTTACTTTTTATTATTTTTTTTAATTTCCTTAATAATTATCTTTTACTTAAATTACGTAAGTAATAATGCATACTTCTTAATAAATTTCTTTATATATAAGCTTTATATATGCTTATTAATAATTTAATATAAAAAGTTTTAAACTTAAATTAGCATAATAATTTAATCCTTTAATAATTAAATCTTTTTAATTTAATATATATAAAAAATACTTAAAATTAAAATTCTTATTAAATTATTTATTATAAAGATTATAATAATTTAATATTTAAAATAATAATTACCTTAATAATTCTTATTATTAAGGATATTATATAATCTTATATTAAAAGTTTTAATACTCTTAATATAAATACATAGCTTTTTAATTATATTATTAAAAAATATTTACTTATTTTAATATTAAAAGTTATTAATAATTTAAATAATAATTATTATAATAACATTATTTAAGAAAATTATTTTAACTTAAGCTATAATTATAACCTTTAACTTATTAATTTTAATAATTTTATAAAAATTAATCTTAATAAACAACTTATTCTTTTTAATGCTTAGCATAAAAGTAAAGTTAAAGGTAGTTTTTGCAATCTTTATTAAGATTTTATTAACCTAATTTTAATTATCTTTATTATTAATAATAATTAAATTATTATTAATATTAAATAAATAAAAGTTATTATTATTAATATCCTTATTAATATTTATTAAATAAGTAAGTAAATAAAAGTTATTATTATTAATATCCTTATTAATATTTATTAAATAAGCATTATTAATAATAACCTTATTATAAGAATTAATAAGATTAATAAGCTTATTTTTATCCTTATTAATTAAGGTAATTTTAGCCCTTTTTATAGCCTTAATAATAATTTCAATCTTTATTTTATTACTTATTAAAAATATAATTATAATATTTATTTTATTAATTAAGATTATAATTATAATATTTATCTTATTAATTAAAGTTATAATTATAATATTTATTTTATTAATTAAAGTTATAATTAAGATATTTATAAGAAAATCCTAATTTTATTTAAGGATTATAATAATGCTACCTTTAATATTAATTATATTAATAATAGCTATAATAATAATTATATTAAGTATATTCTTAATATAAATAATAAATACAATATTTATTAAATAATTTTATTTATTATTATTATCCTTATAAGATATATTAATAAAAATATTAAATAACTTTTATAAATTATAATTAATATTCTTTATTATAATAAAAAGGAAAAGATTTTATAAGAATTTAATAATTAAAATAAATATTTATAATATAAAACTTTATAATTATTATATAATAATTATTAATTTATTCTTTAATTATAAGAAAAGTTAATAAATTATAAATAAATTTAATAAAAGTTAGTTTTAATATTACTGCTAATAAATAATAGCGAAAAGCAATAATAATAATAAAGTTAACTTTAAAATAATAATTATTAATAATATTAATAATTATAAAGTTATTCTTATATATAATAAGGTATTAAAAAGATTTTAATTAAAATATAAAAGGTTAAAGTTTATATTAAAGGTTTAAGTTTAAAAGGTATAAGGTTTTATAGCTAATAATAACAAGGTTAAAAGGAAAAGGTATTAGCAATAAGTTATTCCTTTCTTAATAAAAAAAGGCTACTTTAGGTTTCTTAATTAACCTATTTATCTATATATAAAGCTTATTATTATTAATAAGCTTTTATAATGCAATATTTAAAGTTAATTTTATTATTATATTAATAAAGTTATTTTTTTTATTTATTTACCTTACTTTAATAATCTTTTTTATTTTATATAACTTTTATAATAATATAATATTAATTATAAGGTATTTTTCCTTTATTATTTTTAACTTTATAAGGTATTTATATAAGTTATATAAGTTTATATAAATAATTAAAGGTATATTTAATAATAAGAATTATTTTATAGCTATCTTAATTATTATAACTAAGGAAATTTTAATATTTACTTTATTTATTATATTATAAATTTTACTTATTAATATGCTTTAAATAATATATTTATATTTTATTAATAATTAATAAAAAATATTACCTATTATTATAAATCTCTTAATTTCCTTATAAGTTTTATTTATAAAAATAATAATATATTTAAGTTAAGATATTAAGTTTTAATTATTTATAAATAATTTATTTATAAATATAAAAAGTTTTATTATTTTAAAATTTAAGGGTATATATTTAATTCTTTATATAATATTATTTATTTATTATAATAATTATATATTTAAGCTCTTATAATTTCTTATCTTTAAGTTTTATACTTATATAATTATTAAAAGATTATATAAAGCTTTTAATTAATAAATTAAAGCTATATATACTTTATAAGCTCTTTATTTAAAATATTTTTAAAAAGCATCTTTAATTATTATATTAATAAGGGTAAGTTTATTAACTTATTTCTTTTATTAAATAATAATTAAGCTAATGGTATTTATAATTATATAAGCCTTATTATAATTTATTAAGTTTTTAAGCATTAATTTTTATTTTAATTTTCCTTATAATTTTATAGCTTTTATCTTAATCTTTTTCTTATCTTAGAATTTTAATATAAATAAAATTAATATATTATTTATTTATATACTTATTATTTTAAAATATTATATAAGCTTTATAATTATTAAGCAAGAATTATATATAAAGCAATTTATCTTAAGCTTTTATTAATAATATCTTTAATATATATTAAATTAATAAATACTGGATTTTATTATGCTATATAAAGGTTAAATAAT